TAACATTTAACCATTTCAAATGACCCAAATCAGTTTCAAGACTGTGTAGCGTCTAGACTTCCATATTGGTTCAGATTCAATTTCAAACCAATTTGAGGAGCAGGTTTGGACCTTCATGTGCCCTAATGAGTATTAGGGCTCGTGTCTCGTGTTTACTTTGCTACGTTTGTCAGAAGAATCAAGATTTCCAGAGGAAAATCAAAACACGCCAAACATAAACATCTGAAGACGGATCAGAATTTCACCTTCACGTTAACAAATTCAAAAAATCTATGAATCTGTAGGATGACGAAACTTTGACAGCAGCTAAAGCTGAGCTGAAACGCTGCACATTTATTGTTAAAAATGTTCTGTTCCAATTGCAAGGCTGCATTACTCCATCCTCAATAAGTAAGAGGTATGTGGATTAAACGAGACAAATCTGGCTTGATTAGAGCTCAGTGAAACATTTGCCCCTTTCAGAGGACAGGTCCAGATAAACCCAACAGCAACTACACTACTAGTTTTCCTGGATGATAATTAAACTACTTCATCTAATTTGGCCAGCATTTGTTTTTTAACCTGGATCTGAATGCGCATAAAATATCTTTGTGCTAATAGGCTGTTTATTAAATCTTTTTGTCACAATTAATCTAAAATATTTCAAGCTTGTTCCTTGAACTGAACATATCCATTTCAGTGTCACCGAGTCCCCTCCAAAGTCGGTCAATCCAATGCAGAAATACAGCGTCTACTCAGCTTTCGCTTTACAATATCTTTAATGGTATCATCATAAAATTATTTAATTGAGTCTCACATTAAAAGTTACAAGGGTTAATCCACAGACTCCATGCGGAAATCTCCATTCAGCTGTTGGATCTCAACCTTTAGAAAATCCTCTGACACCCTGAAACTCAACTCGGCCTTTCTCATTTGACAGCAGCCCATCTGGTCAGCCAGTGACGGTGAAGCCTGGCTCCCTGGTGTATTTTTGTCTTGCCTCTCCCCCCACCCCTGAGCTCATATTATGCAGCAACACCCCCTTATAAGTCAAAAGCTTATTCCAAGAAGTGACAGCTTGTGCAACTAGTCATTTCCGCCCCCCCACCCCCCTCTGGCCCAGAGGCATCTATCCACCGATAAGGAGTAAACACCGGCATGAAATAGTCCGAGATTAAAATCGAGAGGTTCGGCAGCAGAGCTACAGGAAAAGATGAAAGCAAAGAACTATTCCATGAATGAGTGGAGAAAGATTTGGTGCCAATTTCATTTCATATGTCAAGGCAACTGAAAAGAAAAAAAAGGTAGCAGCACTAAGTTAACATGCACACTGAGACTAATCAGAACTGATTAGGATGAACTGGGCTTATGCCTGTCTCCAGTAGTCACTTGAGCAAGAGGCGGAGCCCACCCTGGACAGGTCAGCAGTCCATTACCTTCGGGCAGCTTAGAAGACTAATTAACCTAACTGTTTTTGGACTATAGAAGCACAAAAACATGACTTCTACAGTCATGGACAAAACCCATTCACACACAGAGAGAACATGTAAGCTCTATGGAGAAAGACCGCAGGCCAGAAGTCAAACCTGGGGCCTTATTGCTGGACGGCCCTTCAGCAAATGGAGTCTTGCACAAGTGAAATAAGATGTGCAAATTATTTTTGATGACCTGGTTAGTCAGGGATTACCTATTCCAAATAGATTTTTAATTCTTGATGGTCAAACACACCGCTGCTTCCGGTCTGAGTCGGCCGAATGGCTCTGTGCACAGCGGTCAGATCATTCGGCTCAGACGTCCTCAGCTGTCCCAGAAAACCTGTCCACAGTACTACTGACACACTTCAGTTTACAACCTCCACAGCAAAGCGCCAAGTTTCTCATGCAGGAGGCCAAACGCTTTCTGAAAAGTGCCTGGTGGAGATGATGAGTTCGGACGCGTCATGATCAACAAGTCAGACAAAATTTGCTAGCAAATCGAAGAAGTTGTTGTTTTTTTTTCCTGCATGAAAACATCAACCGAGATAAAGAAGTAAATATCATGTAGACTGTAGCTGATTCCAACACCAATCAGTTTAGGCTTAAAAGTCCATCATTAATATTTGATCTGAAAAATTAAGAATTGAAAAAAAAAACATTTTCAGGATGATGCAGGTTCAGAAGCTCTATTGTTGTGAATGCCATCTTAAAACATAATAAAACAAAAGCTTAACTTTTCCTGAGTGAAATGTAAAAGTTCTTAGTCTTAAATATGTATTTTTGCTCTTAAACTCAGACTTTCCTTTGCCTTTATGCCAGACCCAAATACAGAATATTCAAATATTTTTGTCAGTTTTCTGTTTTAGGAAAGGAAAGCAACCCACATTGTCTAAGGGTCACAAACATGACCAACTTTGGCCTTAAGCTTCAATTTAACAATAAACAATTTGAGATTGGGTACTGGTTTGTAATTTAAAGTGGATGTTGTCTTTTCTCCCTCAATGTCAAAGTCATGAGGAAAGGCCATCCCACAAAGAGCCCTTGAAATATTTCGCCAAAATAATCCACTCTGATATACTTTTCCTCTTTTGCTACAGTAGTATATTGCAAACAAGAAGCAGTGCAGAGCCAGTGGACACTGCATATCAGCTGGTGTTCAAATAGAGAGAAATGTAAATTTAAAGCTAATTTAAAGACGGAACCTATAAGTATATTTAAGTGTTACTTCTGAAAAGAAAATAATTTCTGATGATGGAGGACAAAGAAAATTGAACAAATTCTCTGGATTTTTACAAGCAAGTTACAGCTGAAACATCTTGCATGTATGCAAGCTCAGTTCCTGCCTCAATAAAATGGATCGGCAGGGCTTACCAACAACTAATGCTATTTCTGTTGAATGCTGCTACTGACAGTGAGTGTTTTAACTCAAGAGGTTTCTTTAAGTATGTTGCAAGATTGACTGCCTCCATAAATCTTTCCTTCCCACAGCCTCATGATCCACAACAACTCTTTGAAGATACTTGGATAATATGAGTTATGACAACACTTAATTTCTTTTTGGGATAAAAATTTTACGTGTTAAATTGAATTGAAGTTTGTATCACAAGTGCAGACACAAGCCACTGTTAAACTTTGCAACATGGCAAACAAACGTAATTTTAAAATGAAATTTAGCTTCCCGACTTCCTGAAAAGGAAAATAGTTATCTGTCAAAACCGAAGTTTTCTTCCTGCATCACTGATCAGTTCCCGCTTGGTAGTAAACAAGGCTAAGGTGGTTACAACTAATAGTATCAAATCAACAGCAAACCATTAGTTAGTTTCTTACTGTCAGAAACGCCATTTAATAAGGATTTAACCAATCCGACCTATGACCTTTAAGCCGTTTGCGCTGACCAAGCTGCTTCTGAACGACACGTTGATCCAGGTACTATAATCTCCTTGTGACAAGTGTTGCTCATTTACATCTCATCAATAACAGACATCATTTTTAGAGCATAAACCTTATGTTGACGACAGAAGCAGCAAATGGGGAACAGCGGTAGGTAATTAGCTGATTGGAGGTTTTCCCAACAGAAACATTAAGCCATCGCAGCGTTAAGGGCAGTGAGGCTAATAATAACCTAAACTCTATTGGAAACGCATGGACAATACTTTGAGTCAAACCAAACATTTGAAACAAACTCCACCAATTACGATATGGCGCAAAGACCGCTGAGAACAGAATTAAGACTGAATCTTAATGGCTACAAAACAAATGGCTTGTTACTTGCTACTTTGCACTTATTCAAATATTACTGTGGTTGCAGGCATTTGCAGAAAACCTGTATGTCTAATTTTGACTCAAAAAGCCCTTAATAAAATTAATGCATATTGTTTGTTAAAAAAAAGAAAAAAACATCTAGACATCTAGAGAAACAGCGTTGAAGTTGTTTTTTTAGAATATCATAAAACCCTGGAAAAAGGACAGCTCAAATCAATTAATAAAACCTCTCAAATGAGATGATTTCTGACCCACAGTTGCACAAAACTGTTGATAATTCACAAGACTGTCACAAGTGACCGAATTACAAATTTCTCCTTTTAGGCAGTGGTGTCAAAACTTCTTGTCATGTGGGTTAAAATCATATATATATACTTAAATAATTCTAATCATTTTTTTTTTGTAACAAATTATTGCACTTTCAGCAAAGGATTTTAAATACTTATTGGACTATTAAAAAGGCAGGTGCATAGCTTTCTAACTTTTTGGGTCACAACTTTTATCCACTGAAGAAAAATAAATTTGTCAGTGAAAATTTTGTAGTAATAAAATTACAAAGGATGTCCATCAGCTCCACTTGCTGGAGGGCCAAATCTGTGCTTCCCTGCAACTATGGACAGGGCCCCACCGTTGAAAGGGTCGCTAGGGCCACACTTTGGCAATTGTGTTTGTTTTATAAGACAACTGTTTTATAAGAACAACTGTCAAGAATCAGCCAAAAAAAAAAAAAAACATTTTTAAAAAATAACAATTTGTGTCCGAGAGACCATTCCTTGAAACAGTAGCCAGATTCCATATTTACATATAAAGTCAAAACATATGGTGGTTTAGATATATTCCAATTTTTCTGTTTTTTTTTTTTTTATTATTTATTTTTATTTTATAAACGCTTTCTAAAACCGAAAAATGAAATAAAAAAATGTGTTTGGGAAGAATAGTGTCGTGTTTTCAGACTAAGTTCCAATCACCTCATCCTGAAGCTTCTCACTCAATTCCCAGAGCAAACAGTCGCGTCTAAATACAAACAAACTCATTTTCATTGACGTGAATAAAGGCCATAGAATCGGCGTGGCATTAATTGCCAAGCAGGAAGGCGGTGAGTCAGTCAGTCAGTCAGGACGCATTTCAAAGAAGCGTTCTTGATAAGCGTTCAGTCGTGCACTGACGCTCAGTCAAAGTGCGGCTTTTCGTCTGCTTCCATTGAAACAGAGCAGTACCAACCCGCAGTTCTACACCCAACTCCGCTGAAAACCAAAAAAAAAAAAAAAACACACACACACTAACCTCTAGGAGCGATGAACACAGCCCTCCACCAGCAGCAGCAGCAGTAATGGTTTCCTTTCAGCGACCTGTTCTCCCTTTGACAGTCGTACAGTCTCTGAGAGACCAACTCCGACTTCAACTCTTCTGGCAAGACCACAAGATCAACTTCCGCTTTCTGGTTTCCACAATAAAAGTCCCTCAGGAGCTACTGGGCTCCCTATTTCCAGACAGATTTATGTTCGAAATGCTTACAATAATACATTCAGTTCCAATGAGAAGCTTTTCATAAGTAATTAAATCACATCATAGGGTACAAAGTACCGAAATGCTAAACAAAACAGCTTTTCTACAGAAGGGGGGCGGTTTGTAACCGTTAAATAAATATATTATTTCCAGAAGAAAGCATGAACTCCATATAAAGTGTAAAAAAAAAAAAAAACAGAAAACAAATCAATGTTTTATTCCGGTAGCGTTAAACCTTCAGATAAATCCAACCTTGAATTTGAATTAAATCTCTCCAGATCATCTATTTGGGGCTTTGAAGGAGATACAGGCCCACAGCATCACAGACCCTTTACTGTACTTAACAGGATGAGGTATTTGTCTATTTATTCTTACTTTGTTTAATTCCAAACTTGACAGCTGCAATTTTGTGCCTAAAGTCTCAATTTTAGTCTTATTTGACTGTTTACTAAAATCCACATGTGTGCATGTGATGCTAAAAGTTTTTGTTAAGTGACTGATTGTTACACAAAATTGATGCCACTCTGTAACAGTGAGCTTTGGATATTTTTCCTCTCTTACACTCATTGTGTGCATGCCGGCGTATGCATGCGTGTGTGTGTGTGTGTGTGTGTGTGTGTGTAGGCCAGATAGCAGACAATATATGGCATGCTATTTCTATGCCCTGATAGATACAAATTGAAGGTAATTGATTGTGGTTCTGCTGTACCTTCTGATGAACTTCAAAAAGTGTAGTATAATTGCATTTATTTGATATGAATTGTTAGAAGCAGTCTATCTTTCTAATGTTAAATCTATTGCAATAAGATAATTTATAAAGCATTTTAAATTAATGACAAGATGTTGTTTGTTTTCAAACACACTGAAGTTGATGGATTATATTTTGTCTTCAATGTTTTGCTGTAAAGAGATTTATTACCTTTATTTTGAAATGCAGCAAGCCACCTGTTAGGAACTGGTTTTGTGTTTGTTTCTCTGCAACTTCACACAAACAGTGAGAACTTAAAAAAGGGTGACTACCCCATCCTATCAAAATATACTCGAAAGGGGCCAGCAGAGCTTCTCCTCTGCTTTCTTCGTCACAGATTAAAAAGAGGCAAAAAGAGGCTCCTTTCGTATTTGCAACAGTTACATAAACAAATGAAAACTTATTATTATTTTTTTTTTAATATATCAAAAATCTTACTTCTAAATACTAAAAGGAAATATAGTGATGAAGATGCAGTTACTCTAAATTATTTAAACTTCAAACTGAACACTTGGTTCTAATTTGATTTTGCTGAAGGCCAGGGCACCGTAAGACTATGGGCTTACGGTGCCCCCTGGTGGTGAAACTATGCTACAACCTCTTGAAAGACATTTCCTCTCAGATTTCTATCATTTCATGATAGAAATGTTTCCTATCATGTCCTTGAGGTTCATCGAAGCAAATCCGAATTACGTCATTCTACTTTAATCATATTTCTCATCTTTTCAAATGAGGAATATGATGAGTATGGTGTTTGATATGTGTCAAATTGTAACAGTGCAACAGCAGACATGGTGCAGATCTTATAGTGGAAATCGGAGAAATAAGAAAAAGAAGCACAGGACACAGGTTTAGAGCAACAGTAGATCTCCAACAGTGCCAGACAGAAACCAAGGAGAGTAAACAGTGTAGAGATGCTGTTGCGGTGCCAGATGAGGACAATAAACAGAATGCAGACCAGCTGGTGGGGAACCTAAAGAGGAAATTGACAGAAGGTGGAGATAGGATAAAAAGAAAGGAAACAAAGAGAGTGCAACTAATCAAAAGCTAAGGGCTAATAGACTAAATCAGCTGGTCATCAACTTCAGTCCTTAAAAGCTGGTGTCCCTGCTTCAACACCCAGAATCAATTAATAAGGTTAGCAGGCCTCTGGACAATTTGACTGCATACTGAGGAGGCAATTCAGCCATTTGATTTGGGTGTGTTGGACAAAGTACACATGAAAAAGTTTCAGGACACCAACCACTGGACTACACAGAAATACATAGAACAGAGCAAAGGATGACGCTAAGAAAATCTATACAAAGAAAGAAACATGTGGAGAGGCACTAATGGAGAGAGATAATTAGCACAAAGGGAGCCAAGATACTCAAAAGAATTACAAACCGAGGATAAAGACTAACACTCATCTAGGAAAACTAAACGCAAATGCACAAATGAAAGAACAAGAATAAACAAATGAAACTCAAAGACACAAAGCTTGAGTTGCTAGAAAAAAATAAACTCAGAAATGAACTGAATGAGGAAAGACCTACAGAACATAAAAAGCCCATAAGGTAATTATCAAAAATGGTTTTGTTAACCTCAGTTCATCTACTACAGATGACTCGTTGTCTTTTTAAATTCCACAAAGTAACTGGAGGTTTGGTTTTGGCGTTTTCCCCTTTCCAAGTGCAATCTGAAGCTTTCCCACCGCCATTAAACCCTCCCACCTGCCCACCACTCTTCTGCCCCCTCCTCCTTCTCCTCTTCCTCCTCATACTTTCCAAATAAAACGGAACCAGCTGTGCGCCGTCTGCTGCTCAGACGCTGAGCTGAGTCTGTGTAGTGGAAGGAAGCAGAGCTGTCCGGTGCCATGCTGCTGCTGGGGTTCTGGGGTCTGTGTTTACTGTGGACGGCCGGCGCCATGGAGCGAGGTCCCGTTAGTCTGAACGAGATGTTCAGGGAGGTGGAGGAGCTGATGGAGGACACTCAGCATATGCTGGAAGAGGCGGTGCACAAGGTCTGCGTCACATTTTATCCATTCATATCAGAGAAAAAAGAATTTATCATTGAAATCCGTGCTAGTCTTTATTATTATTATTATTATTATTATTATTATTAATTTAGAATATAAAAAGTTTAGAGTCAAAAGGGTAAAAATCTGCGTGGGTGGTATTTAGTTTGTCAAGTTTCTGCCAGGCTGCGAATGCTTTTGGCAGATTACACAGATTTTCCATGGCTGGATGTTTGGGGAAAGTCTGTCTGACCCAGCCTGTTGAAGTCTGTTTTGGGCTCAAAATAGACCCTGACAAATTTACTTGGATGAAGAATTGTCTCTGAGGTTGAGACCCACTTAGTTTTGTTCTTTAAAGTCTTTTTGAAATTCTTTTTAGGGCCTTCCTTTGGATTTCTTGTTGTTTTTTTGTCTTAAATTTCATTGGTCCATTAAACCCACTGAGTTGGGTCGTTGTCTGCTTTGGACAAAGGCATACGATCATTGCACTGTCTCCAACAGATAACTAATGAAAGTGCTAAATTCTCCTCATCCCCTATGGATCTGCCTCCCAACTACCACAATGAAACCAGGAAGACGGTAAAGGGCAACAATGGGGAAACTCGGATCCTGGATCGAACTGACAAGGTGGGTCCTTTCCAAACAAACTCACTTGAAAGCTTGAGTCTGTAAAACACCAAATCAGAAGCAATGTGCTTGCCAAAGCTGTTTTGTCGTTCAACTTCTGCAACGCTGCCTCTCGTATATCGCTCTTTACTTGCAGGAAACTGACAACAGAACAGGAGAGACTTATACTTCCCATGTGCATCTGGAAGTCTCTGGCCAGTGGAACAGTGTGGCTCATGTGAGTTTTTTTTGTTTTGTTTTTAGTGTTTGTTTTGAGTATTCAGTGAGGAAGACTGATTACAATAACAACAAAATAAGACGTGTGAAAGAACAGCAGATGGCCGGTTAAGAGGACTGCAGCAACACTTGAAGGTAGAAATTCAGCTGATGTGAATTTATTAACGCTGTCAGTTGTCTGTACAAAAACAAACTGAAAAGGATAAAAGTTATGAAACAATTGTTATGACTAACATCTAAAATCCTAACACTTTTTCTTTCTTTTTTCCCCCTAAAAGATCACTCACTGACACTGTAGCAGTACAATGTTTTTTTTTGTTTGTTTTTTTCCATGCTGTGTGAAATGAAGTCATCCAGGAAATAAACTCACTGTATATCTTTTAAAGTTTTTCACCAGCAGGCGGCTGGCTTTTTGGAAACTGAGATCATTACTGGAGTTTGCTGCATTACAAAGGTGGTTTTGATATTCTGCTTTCCTGGCAGCCATACAGATGGTGGTTATGTTAATAGTCTCTGCTGCTTAATGCCAGGAAAGCTTAGCAGGGGGAGGGGGTGGGAACCAGCAGAAGCATAACGGAGCAAGCTCAGTTTTTCTAAAGTCGGTTCAAATGTTCTGCATCACTGTGCAGTTATTGTAAAGTAGCAACTTGTAAATCGACAAGAATATCAGTGAATGTGTTTTGTAAAAGGTGGGGAACATCTGGCTGTTTAAGAGTTTAATTTGGTTGTAAAAGTCTGTTGGTTTATGAAAGACAGACATAAAATGACCTGAGAAAAAATAAAACCAAAACATTTTTAAATTATGTTTGTGCAGGAATAGTGCCAGTCACAGTTCATGGTGCTCCTTGTAAAGATGATGCAGCCTTAAAACTGAGCTCTTTGCTGGCCACTGTTCCTTTTAGTACTCTGGAACTTACATCTATTGGAGCTAAAAATGTTATGAGTAGAGAGGAAAGTAGCTTTTATGCCTGGTTAACATCTGTGATGATTTGGCCATATGTTTGTATGGAAAAAGGTCCTTTGTTTTGAATTATAGGTGTGGTTTAAAAAAAAAGAAAAAAATCTTAGACAGTTCAGACGTCACAATCTTTCTGCAAGGGTATGTGAAAGAGAAACGAACCCCCCTCCTTCATGCGGCCACCCACCAACCGGTGGTGCAGCAGTCAGTTGCCAAATATCTTGAGTCAAGACTGCAAGTGCAGGTCACCAGACACTGAGACTATTGTAAAAAAACAAACTAACCTTGAGTGGCCTCATCTGATTACAGCACATGTTTCCCTTGAAATTCCCAGTAGAGCTAAGCTAACTACAACATCTACATTGTCTGTGTCATTTTGTTGTGGAAACTTTTTTTGATTTTTTTTTTTTTTTTAATTATTATCATTTTAATGACTATTTCTTTTGCAGTAACTCAAACTAAAATGGACAATGAATCTGGACAAAAATGCAACTTGTGATATAGCAAATACATGTCTTACAAAAATGCATGAACAGCCAAGTCTATTCAAAAAGACACATTTTTATCTTGTGTACTCTGTCCATAAAGGATTTTTTTTCAAATTAAGTCTAGTTTGTTGGATGCAAATTGAGTTTGGTTATAACTTTGCACTGTGGACTGTGCATGCCGATATATTTTGTGGAACTACAATTGAAATTTTCAAAATGCAAGCAAATTAAACTTGGATAATATGTATAACCGTACATGTAATTCAATTAGTGAAATTTCTTTTGTGTATTATATGTGCATTTTATTTTTATTTACATAGGAATTTTTGGTACTGATGACTTTATTCTGATCAAGTTATCAGTAGGATATTTATTTTTATCAGCTTAAATATGAATATGAACAAATGACTGGAATAACAAGCTGTGATTTAAGCTGACGGTGTAGTATCCCAAACCAGTCTTTTGTACAAACTGCCTTCCTTTTATAAAGGCATGAAATCAGGAATACAATTTGCACCTTACAAATTCTCTATTTAGAACTTTATAAACTTAGATTTTTTTTCTTTTTCTTTTTTTTATTGCATGCAATCTGAAATGACATGTTTTAATTGCATTCTTGTCTTGTTTCATGCATGGGACAGCAGTTTACATGTCTCATTCACGTGTAAGTGTTGTCTGGACATCGACAAATGAATAACATGAAAATATTAGAGGTGTCAAATGTTAAAATCAAATGAGATAACATGAATGAACAATCAATCCACAGGATGTTTAACTTTACTTAAAACTTTTTGACATTTGAACCTTCAGGAGTGCATGGTGGATGAGGACTGTGGGGACCTGAAATACTGCTTTTATGAGATTGAGAACTCAAGGTGCCTTCCCTGCATAGCAACAGATATGGTGAGTCATCATTTTTGTTCTGTATTTGCTTCAACTCCACGTGCAATCACAAAGCCACTATAACAAGATGCAACAAGTCATTACAGGTGTCATGTACCAGTGCCTTGTACTCTTTTCTTTTTTGTTGTTGTTTCTCTGTTCTTTACACACACACAAAAACTCAAGGACTCAATGGAAAGCATCTGTGAAAGTCAGTTATCAAGTGCAGATTCCCATTTGAACATAGGACTAGACTGTGGCTGGAACATTCTAACACACTGATATGCTTTTCCCTAAATCACTCCAGACAAGCACTAGCTCTTTATCTAGCGGTAAGCTGGTGCTGTCCAGCTGGAAGATGAATATCCATCAGTCTTTTGTAGCCAGGTTTCTTCTGAACTATTCCTGTATTTATCGCCCTCACCCTTCCTATTCCAAGTTCCTTTTGAAAAATGGAAATGGACTGAACTTATATAGCACTTTTCCAATCATTTTGACCACTCAAAGCGCTTTACACTAGAGTCACATTCACCCATTGATACGCAGACCGGTAGGCAATTTGGGGTTAAGTGCCTTGCCCAGAGGCACATCGACATATGGCCGGAGGAAGCTGGAATCGAACCTACAACCTTCTGATTGCAAGACGACAACTCTGCCACACAGCCACAGTCGCATTTTACTTCCTCCACCAAATTTTGATGCAGCTCATTATGTTTCTGAAGTGATGTGGGAGAGAATTGTGTAAATGATCTGATAAAAGTTGTCATAATGTCTGACTTTTTTTTTCTTTTGTTTTAGGTAGTGAAACTGTTTCTGAAAACTGTGCTTCCCTTACAGCCATGCTCAAAGGATGAGGAGTGCTGCTCAGATCAGATGTGTGTTTGGGGTCAGTGTACGGCGAACGTCACCCAGGGGACAGCGGGGACTATCTGTCAGGGTCAGAGCGACTGCAGGCCAGATCTCTGCTGTGCATTTCAACGAGGTGACGTGGAATATATGTACAGGTCAAAATTTGCATCAGATACCATGTAGAGTGTACACTTTGAATGGAAAAATCTGTTTGTTTAAATCTTTATTTAAAAAAAAAATTCATTAGATAAAACCCTATTTACTGCATTATAGCAATGCAATTTGAAATGCTGAGGTTTTAAAAAAAACATACAGTGGCATTTTAGTTGGCAGACATTCAAAAGTATGTTAAACAAACATGGATACATGCACAAAAAATTAAGTCAGGCATGCATTGTTCAGTCAGTAGTCTACTGAATGGCAGGCTTTCTGCTATTGACTCTATGAATAATTATCGGCTGTCTTTATCTTGTGCATATGTTCTTCCCCTCAGAGTTCTTGTTTCCAGTATGCAGTCCCAAACCTTCAAAGGGAGAGTCCTGCCTGAACCACCCCAACCTTCTTATGGACATGCTGGAATGGGACCAGGAGGGCCCCAGAGATCACTGTCCATGTGTGGCCAACCTCCATTGTCAACCTCATGGGTGAGAACAAACTGAACCACAAATTTGTTGGGCACGGCTAACAGCAAAAGCGACAAAGTTTTACTCCAAACTCTTTCTTTTTGCAGTCGTGGATCCGTGTGTGGAGAGTAAGACTGAAGGTGTAGAAGTTTCTAAAGAGTTCAGTTCAGTGCAGTGTCCCATCTGCACATCATCTGCATTCTTTATACTATTTATGCTTAACCGCAAAGTCTGTATTGCAAGACAAAAAGTAAATAAATGACTTTAATTTAGTTTTGACAGTTTTATGTGTTTTCTTTCCTGGATCCCTTAAAGGTAGGAAATCTAGTCCTGGATGTTTCATTGAATCTGATTTATGTTCAGATTCAATGTTGGATATTTTTCCAGGTCGGTGAGCTGCTGCATCTTTTATGCTCTCATTAAGTTGACCATAAACTTCTTTGTATAAGTATGCCTTCTTGGATCAAAAGTTAGGCAGTCTGCAGAACAGCTAAAGACTGGCCCAGAAAAGACTTCATGCGAAACATAACAATTATACAAATGTATAATTGGACTTGCAATTGCAAACAAAGAATAGTGTTTACTTTTTTTCACCCAGTGATGTCTTGATTTTTAAAGTTTCTCGATAATTTAACCTCTTGCATCCCCCACCAAAAAAAGATGGTGACTTTTTAAAGAAAACAAAGTCGTACAGACTGCTACATTATTCAATATTGTTTGTCAATGATTTCTTGCTGATAATCCTCATTTGTCATCTGACAAACTGACAAATCTATAGTAATTTAACATCTCTGAACACTAGGGGGCACTAAACGGCAGAAAGGGGAAGATGACTGGCTGCTAACTCGCATGATCATTACGTGGTCAGATACAGATCTCTGTCCTGCAGCGAGCTCTGCTGCAGAAAACAAAATGCCTTTGTCAGAAGTTTGGATTTGATCTGTTTTAATTCCCATTTTCATGTTTGACTATGTTGGAAAAATCTAAAGCTTTTCTTTGAGTTTGCCTGACTGCAATGGGGCCTTTCTGTGATTAATAAAATATATTTTGAAAAGTAATTGTGTTCAATGCTGCATGGACAGTTTTTTTTTCTTCTTCTTCTTCTTCAATAACAGTGTTTACTGGATACAATCTGTACATTTTCCCCAAAGAGGATACACGCCTGTAGCAGCGTACTCAACACGACCAAGAGTTAAGAGTGATAAAAGTAAGAATCTGCACAATGCAAGATCCATCAATGACGTTTAACTCAGAAAAATGCACAAGCACCTCCAGGAGAATGTAAAAAGTGACGGTGTCTGAGCTTTGTAATGAGTTAAAAAACTCCATCCCTTTCTTTCACTTTGAAAACTGACCTTTGTTGCACATTGACATTTAAAGTACAGATGTTTATTACTTTAAGCACTAAGATAAGTTTCACATATACAATCTTTAAAATAGATTGTATATGTGAAATAGCATAAAAGAACAAACAATACATACAACCTATCTATTAGTTTCTTCTATGTTTAAAATTAGATTTTTTGATTTTGTTTATATGTATTTAATCAGCCCTCAGTCGAGGGTATTTTACTAATATGTATTTTTTTTTATGAATTCTTGTGGTACCCCTCTTTCCTTCACTTTGTTAATATGGTCTCAGTTCTCAACTGAGTTTCTAAACTCGTCGGCTTTATCACATCTAGTTGTCCCTGACCCTAACCCTAACTATGTGTCCTAGCGCTTTATCCAGGCAATGCTGTCCTTTGCAGGATTAAGGGATACAAATGGGCTGGGGGACTTGTTGGAATTTCGTCTTAAATCCTGATATTTTCTATTTTCAGTGCAACCAACCTGTTGAGTTATTAGGATATTTCAAATAAAGATTTTGGCTTAAAAAAAATACAACGTGGTTATGTAATGAACTTTTGGTTCACGGCATTTCTGTCTGAGATAGTAGATCTAACTTCAGTCGAAGATGCTGAGGTCTCTGTAGTTTTATTTTCGGGGAAAACGGATTGTTACTAAAAGAAACAGGAGTGAGACATCATCTTTTTTCACATCTACGCCGGACACCGCTGCCGGGTGACGTCACGGCGGTTTATTTATGCTGCAAGCTTCCTGCCGAGTCTTGTTACTCTATCTGCCTCTTAGCGGCGCTCGTTGTTACTCCGCCTCTTCGCCGATCACACCACGTTTCCAACCGGAGGAGGAAAAATAAAAAAGTCGAGCTCCCGTATTTTCTGGGTACGTACAATGTCGCCGCCATCAGCCGTGTGGGGTCTTTATCGGGGGCTGAAACACTTGTTACCGGTTTTCAGAGGGCTAAACGCCTCGCGCCGCTGCCACCAGAGCGTGTTTTAGGAGGAAGATGCCCCGGGAGGAAAAGGAGGGAGGGCTGGCTAAAATACTAAAATACTGTGTGAAATACGCAAATATGTGGAGCAATTTGGAGTTCCTTTGATTACGGTCGACCTCACATTAGCAGAAGTCGCAGCTGCGCTGGTTTTAAGCAATATTCTCAATTTTCAGGGGTTTTTTTTCCCACTCTTACTGTATTTTTTTTACACCGAAATGAGGAAGATGTAATTGGTTTCGGTGCTCATTTAATTAGCTTCAGCTCACCGAGTTTCCTCGGCCACTCCTGACTTTGGAATAACGTGATTACAGGCTGCTAACGCGGTGGAAATGGACAGCGAGTTTTTCTGGTCGTGATAAAGGATGTCACGTCGCTGTGTGTAATGAGAATCACGGGATCCGTTGTTTTCAGTTTGCAGTTTTTGAGGTTTTTTTTTTTTTGTCGAACGTATAACTCCACCCCATAGTTTAAGCACATTTTTATTTTGCAGCGCGTAAGTAAAGTTGTCCTGTTGTACATCCATAATGATTCCATCATTTTACCAAGGAGCTGAAAAAGATGTAAGACAACTCAAAAATGCTGTCAGAGCCATGCCAACTAAATTGGCACACATTGGCCACTTTCAGTCAAGAATCTGTAGAATCAACTTTCGTTTGCAATTGCAGATCTGTTTTTTTTTGAGACGAAACTACCACATTGTCACATCTAGTGTGCATTTTTTGTGCAACATATCTTTCTATTTGTCATACTTGTTGAGGTCTGGCCATCCCCTCAGACTGGCTTTCCTGTCTCTGGTGAGGAGAAGTTTCCCCACAGCAAGAGCCTGCTACCACTGTCACACAAACACCATGGTGTGTTTTGCATGTATGCCAGATAACTAGATTTAGGACTCACCTGACTGGCAGGCGACGCTACTAAGAGTTAGAACGGATAGAAAAACCTTGCACCTTTGTCGTTCTACTTCAGCCAAGAGCCGCTTTGTGTTGGCTGGTCACATTATGTTAAATTCATTGAAATCAATGATGAGCACTGTGGGACAAGATAAGGCAATCAAACTGCTTAAGAAATACAGATTTCAATCAAACTGCTTAAGAAATACAGATTTCCTGATTGCCGTCATGAGAGCGAGTTGACCTGCAGTACAAGTCTGCTCCAGTCATCTGGAAAGATGTGCCGTAGTAGCAGGAACCAGGGAGAGTCGGTTGACATTCGTGACTGAGATGAAGAATGCTGTTGCACAGGGAACATGCTATTCTCTGTGGTGCTCAATCAATGATCAATTGGCTGTGACTGGGCAGCTTTGTGTGTGTGTGTAAAATCACAAAGAACTGAAGTAGATGGATGTGTTATCAATTGGGAGATTTTCACCTTGCGATAGATTGTGAATAAAAATAAATGTTTCTTTTAAGTAAAAGTAGAACCTAATGCATCTTTTTACTATTCTGAAAATAAGTTGTAGGTTGGAAGGTTAAATGGAGAAGGCCGAGTTAAAGGCATTGCAGATCTGCAGCGTAATATAAATTTCATTACCGCACCAGCTGCAACCAGATGGATGTGACGCTCTCAATCGTGGTTTCTCACAAACCTTGTCAAACTGGTTCTGTTTAAATGCGGAGGCTATTATAATACAACTATTACAACAAAGATCCTGTACTACTGCACGCATCAGCGCAATGCTTCATGTGACAGTTTTGCTTGAAATCAGCTTTCCGTTTTACTCCAAAGAGCTGGAGAAAAGACTGGTCTTCTTTGGCGTCACATTAAAAAGCACTTTGAATTTTAGATTCAGTATTAAGAATAATTTTAAGCGCTTTTAAGACGGACCAAAGTTTTAAAACTTTGGTCCCTGTACTTTGGTCCTTTTGAACCTGTACCGAGCTGTCGCTTCTCTGTTTTTCAAAGCAGAACATTCCCCGTTTCAAAATGGCACATTGAGATTTCCTTAATTTATTTGTCAAATTAAAACAAGCACTTGTTGTGTTTTTTCTTTGTAGTGGTGGAATCACTTCCCTGAGATTACTTGTGGAACGTCTCATCAATTTAAAAACTTTATTCCACAGGTCCCCAATTTAGGCATTATACCCCATCACATCAATTATTTAACCTTAAAGCATCAGGGATCAACTTGCTGCCTGACTGTCTGACTATAAGTTATTGTAGCTCTTTCACAGACACTTGATCAAAGGCCACAGAAGCTTCTGGCTGATTACAGATTACAGTTTAAGATTATAGATTACATCTTTGTTTGCTAAAATTTGTTTTACAATAAGGCATATATATGTGTGTGTGTGTATATAAATATGATCTTACAATTTCTATATTCACAAGCTGGTGTTTGCAGAGAGACATGCAGAAATTCTGTGACGGTGAGCTCTCTGTTTAAAGGCGTTGACACAGTTTCTTCTTTCAGTGTTATAGTTAAAATTCATGAAGATTACAAGAAAGTATTTTCAGAAGGTTTGTTTAGGAACTTGTACCCGTTCCCATCTTTCTTCCTCGATGTTTTAGAGATAATTGTACATGTGCCAAGTATCCTCGATCTTAAAGAGAAACAGCAGGTTTTAGCGGGAGTGATTAAAATCGCACCTAATTTATGACTTTTAAACTGTGATCAATTGCTGTTTTCAGTAAAGTTAAAACTTGGGAATGCTGAAAAAAGCTTTAGCTGTAACTGTTATCCTCTAAGAGTGAGCGTTACAACTGTAATATAAGTAACACCTTGTTGGTTTATTACAGATGAGTAACATTTGATGACTAAGAAACTACACAGTATACTAATAATGCACAAATGCTGTATTTCTACAGCTCTGATTTGCAAAGATCTTGTGATATCTGAGGGAATGTTTTCCAGAAGGCATATTCAATCCCAGTTATAGCTGAGAAGGGGCTATCGGAGTGGAGAAAAGTCTGAAAATCTTATTTATCTACAATGATCTTTAACAGACTTGAACTGGATTTTGGTTAGTGCTTTGCAGGGTTCCCCCGGTTTGTTCCATTATCTTTTAAAATAATGTATAAATGAATGTTCATAATCATCCAACCAATGGTGCAGGCAGAAGTTTCCTATCTTTCATTGATCAAACTATACAGTTAACATTTAACCTGACTTCTGTTGCAGCGATTGTCCCCACTGAGGATAGGAAACTTTTCTAGCGTCACGTACAACTTTCTTTGTTAAAATATGCCATTTTTTGTTAATGGAGAACTGGGTTGCATGGTGGGACAGAAGTTCTTCTCTCATGTTCACTAATGTCAGCTAAGCCAATGGGTTGAACATGATGGAGAGCAACAAAGGCAGGACAACTAAGGTGTTACTTTCTTCCACTGCCTATTAATAGATAATGCTACAGTGCGTCACCTTCTCTCTTACAGCTGCATATTTATATCTTTGTTTATGAAACTCTAAAACATGATTTTTATTTGCCCATTTTCACCCGTTATTCCGGGTCTAGTCTAAATGTTTTAGACGACAGCGTGGATTATACAAACTATCAAAATAACTATCACGATGAAGAGCGTAGCAGGAAAAAGAAATAAAAATAGAACAAAAAATTGAAAAGCGTGTCTTGAAGGATATATTTAAAATGATCCAAACATTTAAAAAATTGAGCTTTGAGGTTAAAAAGATGTTTTCTTGCAAGCTTTATTGATAACATTTCAATAAAAACCTCATTGTGTGTATGGTTTAACTAGAGCATAGTATTAAAGCTTGTGAGTTGCACAAACTGGGTGGAATGCAGTAACAAAGGACTGACTTGAAGTTGTATAATTTTCCCAAATTCCCAGAATCATCCTAAAAAACAGCAGGGATTACAATAAAAACTCTGCTTATACAGTTGAATTATGTACCTAATTGGATCAAACTACTCGCCTTTTAGTTTATTCTTGCCAGTTTAGCAGCCAAACTGTAGCCTTTGACAAACCTTAAAGATGAGCCGAACTCTCTTGCACAGGTCGACTTTCAAGTCAAGTTTGCGTCAAGTAGAACCAACAAAGAATGTCGAGTCATTTCACTTTGGAAACATGTTGCCCAACTATTAAGCCATCAGCTGATTCTGAAAACAGGATTTCTTGCTTGTCTGTTCTTGCATTGCCTTGCTTCCAAAACTCAATCAACAATCGCTACGCTCTGGAATTTTCCTCATTTCATGAGAAGGGGACAAGTGATGTGTTCAGGAGCACTAAGCGCAACTGAGCTTTCAGGAAATTGGATGCAGATGGGCAGAGGTTGCTATGAAAATTTAAATTATAACAGTGACATGCCATTTATAACATGCGTATGAAATGATTATTTATGTAATTACCCAGTCACAAGAATCACGTGTGGCAAAATGGTGGTGAATAAAACCAAAGAAACATTTGTTGCTAAGCTCCTAAAAGTAAGGCTCTAAGGTCAAACTGTTTTAAGTGAAACCGTTTCTAATATTGTCCCAACATCTGCTGTTTTTTTGTTTTTGTTTTTTTCATTTTTATCATTTGCCACACAAGAAAATGATCTGTTTTGATTCGGGCCTGCCGTCTAGCTCGTTTCGACCGAGTGTTGTGTATTCAGCTTGGCTGCGGTCGCAGCGGCGCTCTGACAGGCGCTCAGCTGGAGCGAGCCGCTTGGCACTCGATGCGATGCAGCAAACGATTCATCCGCAGCTTTCAACTGTGCTGGGGTCCACAGAGCTGTTTCTCGCTTCGTTCCGTAAGAGTCGCCAAGCCTACGCAGTCCGTAGTAGAGCTGTTGTCATAGCAGCATGAAATACTCCATTAACGTCCCCTCTTTCACTAATAATTAATGTTTGTTGGGTAATTATGATCCACTGTTCCGGAGCAGAAGCGGCGCATACATAGTGATGGAGGAGTCTTGCACAAAATTGATGTAGTTTCAAAACTTTCCTATGTGATTAATAATTTAAATCTCAGATGTTATGAACTCTGGAAGGTTGCATCAGTTGTTTTAGCTTTTTGAAGATGCTGTAGGAATGGGGGATTGGTCAAATATAAAAATTAAAAAAAGGTGGGGTGGGATTTTGGCATGTCTTGTAGTGATGTTTTACATATTCAAATGGATTTTTATGTTTGGTTGGCAGACAAAATGTCCTATTCAACTGCTTAAAGGAAACTGTCCGACTTCAGCCTGAATAAAAGTTAGTATTTGTATTTAGGAGGTTGTAGTATACAAAACATTTACAACTGTTGCATTAAAAAAAATTGACAAGATGAGAACTTTGGCACCTTTTCACTATGATTACGAAGTATTAATGTTACACTACAGACTTGACATGAGACCTTTTCTTAGAACCACCAGTAAAGTCATTATAATTTAAAACTGTGAATAAAAACAATGTGTTTTCATGCGGTCTGGTGGAAGAAGAGTGTTCTCCTGCTTTATGAGTCAAGTGCTGTAAATAAATGCAATTCTTAAAAACGAGTGTAATACCAGAGTGCTAACTGTTTAACTGTAACCACTGGAGCCGAAAAACCTGTCTGATGTCACAGTCACTTATCAGACACCTTTTGCTTAGTTTTATCTCGCACTGCTCCGCCGGCTGTCACGCTGGATGTATACAGGACAAACGCTCATAGTGCTTTATAAATGATGGATGGTAGACGAGAGTGAAAAGATTTGGTATTCAAAAGGGAATTAAATGTGGAAATTCAGACCTGCGTCAAATGGAGAAGTCGACGCATTCATTTTAGAGCAGAGGTGCATACTTGTGTTTGTGAGAACTGTGACAAGAGAGCTTGAACTGTGAAGAGGAAGCTATGATGACCCAGTCTTAAAATGAATATGGTGGTCGGAAGATGTTCTCCTTTTAGATTTTTTTTTTTAAATTAAGTTTTAATGTGTTGTATTTAGGACTCCAGATATCCCTTAAAAGTGCATTTAAAGTCCAAATTTTCCCAAAATTGTTGAAGGTGCTTTGCTTTTCAGTCATCTCGAGGCTGCAGTTTTAGCCTTTGTCTCAGCAGCTTTTTTTGCCACCTCTTGTTTTCTCCTTCCACATAACTAGTTGAATTATATGACTAAGTCAATGCTTTGATGATCTTGATGATTTGGTGAATTTGTCCAGGTTAACCCTCTAATTAAAAAACAAACAAACAAACAAAAAAAAAAAAACTTCTCAGCAAAGTAGTCGGCAAATTCATTCCAGGCTGCATCAGGCTGGAGTTCAGGAAATGCAGTCACAGGAGGGTTTGTGAGTCTGACTACTGTTGCAAATAAACCTTGAGCATTGTTAAGGTTTTTGTCATGATTTCCTCAAAGAATTTTTCCCTTGCATGTTTTAGTGTGGTGTGATAGCGCTGCAGTCTTTGTCGATTTCTTAAGAGACATGAAGTTGAGTTTCCACAGAGACTATCTAATAAAAAGCCCAATAGAAGCTAAAAATCAACAAAGTTTTTAGATAAAGTAAAATGTCAGAGCCAGACGGGAGACATGTTTCTACATGAATCCGTGTGGTCATACTTTGGTTTCGAAGGTTTGCCTTATCTTTTGTTTGAACACACGCTGTGGCACACTTCAGCCCCACCAATTTGCACAAGGCAGTCTCCTCAGTAAATGATTAGATGTCTTATCTCCAGAATGGCCTGTAACTGTACATATGAAGTGGTTGTGTTTTAAATCTAATGTAATCCCACTGATAAGCCTTCTCATATTCACAGTTAATGTCAGAGCGCGCTCCAAGCCTGACTGCCATTGTTCAGCTGCTGTGATAAGCTTTATGGTGAGCTTTTTCTCTCTTTGATGGAAAGGAAAACAAAACTTTGAAAAAGTGTATTTGCTGCTGTTTTTGTCTTTTGATAAACATGTTGGATAGAAACATGGCAAGCGCATGATTTGTTTTCAGGCTTTGAAAGAAATTGTTTTGAATGGAGTTTCTGGTTTAGTCATGAAGAACATTGGTACATTTATCAGTTTGAGTCATTTGTCTGAGGAAAGCTTGCCTTTCTCCTCATTTTCAGCTTTATTATACGTTTAGCCCAGTTCAAGTTGTCCCGCAGAATCTCAATGAGTTCAAGTTCTGATCTTTGATTCTGGTTCAATCTGACTGCTCAAGATTGAACGGTGACGGTGTTGTAGAGCTTCTGAAAACTTCTTTCATCATTTTGTGGTCTACTTTCCGGAAGAACTTGATTGGATATAAAAGCTGGGCAGGTTTCCAGTTGTTGGAAGTTCCTCCAACTGTTGACTAGTTTCTGTACATTGTAATTGCTAATGCCAAATAATTTTGATACCTATTTAATTCCCTCTTTAAACTCAGTGCCTTCGACATTTGATATCAAAGTGTTTATACCCACTTTAACAGGGCAAACTACCTTCAAAATGCTGAGCAGCAATATTCTAGACATGTGAAACTAAAGTGATTTTAGTTTTGAAGAATAAATTTTAGTTCAGACTAAATTATTCCACATCAGAAACTGCACATTCAACAGTCTTAAAATGTCTTTTTGTTGAATTTTTTGGGGGCGTTCAAACAATTTAATACTAAATGTCCAAAACAGATATGTTTGAAAACACAACTGTACATGAATATAATGTCAGTCATACATTTTCTTTTGCAATATTTATGATTTAGGGAAGGATTGGGGGGAAAATTCAGGCTTTTTGTTTTTTTCAGATATAAAGCTTGACTGAAAAAATTGTCCCTAATCCAGCTATGTGTTCCTGACAGAGTGCAGCAGGTTCAAATAAAAATAACTCCACTCTCTGCAACCTTTGACAACCTTCAGCAATCCCTCGAAGCCTTTATGTTTGACATTGGGTCCACAAAGCACTGGGTTACCTCTCTGCTCCCGGCTAAGAAGTGCTTCCATGAAGTGTTTATCTGTTCATTTCATCATGTAGGTGGCGTTTCATTGAGGAAGTCGCCAAGGCAGCTTTCCCGTCATCATGGTGAACATCCCAGAATACTATGCAGGGAAAAATGTCCTGATATCTGGAGCAACAGGCTTCATGGGAAAGGTACGGCAGTGATTTAACTGGCTTGTGAAATATGGCTGAACTTTGTGAACTGCTGCTTGGAAGTTGTTTTTTTTTACTTTCAGCTGAACAGTGCATGTGTGCGTAGTTGCAAGAACGTAATGTTAATGATGTCAAAAAGTTTTTTGTTTTTTTTTTAAGTGGTTTGGTCTATTTTTAGCTGCATAATGTCAACTAAACTAAAAAAATAAAATAAAATGGGGTCAGTGCTGACTCACGCAATGCTCCAATAAGCCAAAAATAACTTTAGTCAGTTTATCCATGTTGCCTTATAAATCATGAAAGTGACTCTTATGTTATAGGAGTGGAGGTGGAAAAGGTTCCTCGTTTTATAACAAACTTTTTAAGACCTTAGAATCTCTTGGTGTACTGAATGGTGTACTAAATATCCCAGGTCTGCTGCTAGAGAAGGGCACTAGCTGCCTGAACAAGGCTGAGCTAATAGAAAATACAATGTTAAAAAAGGCACAGAAAAAACAAAATTTATTTATATGACATATTGTGACTCTTTATCCATGATTGTAGCTGTGGTCTAGTCAGAGTTTAGCGCTTTAAGTCCAGCTAATTACTGTTGATTGTTGTAATTATTTTTCATTAAAATTCCAACATGAATGTTACTAGATAAAATCTGAATAAAAGTAAATTCTCGCTCCGAATTCAGTTTGAGGATAAATAAATGCATTTTCTTGTTTCTTGTCAAAGGTTCTGCTGGAGAAGCTGCTGAGGTCCTGCCCTGAGGTCAAAACTGTTTACGTAATGGTTAGGTCAAAAGCTGGGCAGAGCCCTCAAGCCCGCGTAGCCGACATGATTAACTGCAAGGTGAGAGCTGGGTGCTCAGAAACCATAATGAATGGCTGTCACAAAGGTGCGGAAGATGAGGAGCTTGTGAAAAGCCTGTTACACTTGTTTGTGTCCAAATTCATTAGCACAGTCTTATTGTATTTAAGATTATAGTGGACACTTCTCCTTAAACTGCTTCACAGTTTTTAATAGTCTATTATTACTCATCTCCTCTGTTTTCATCAGAAGTTTCGCAATACTGAACAAGACTTGCTTAAGGAGGAAAGTCCTAAAATTAGCACTCAGAAAAGCAGAGAAATTCAGAAGAACTGAGTTAACACCAGATGCATTTTTTTATGAATATTGTTAAAAACTTTTTTTTCTTCAGAAATTTAATTCAGAAAATGTCTACATTATGTGGTTTCATTAAAGAAAAAGTGATTTCAAGTATATATTTTTCTGGTAATTAATCATTGTGAATCTAAACTAATACAATTCTCAGAATGCATCCCAATTTAAAATATCACACAAGACTAAGAAAGAAAAAATACAGAAACGTGCAAGCCCCAGACATCGCGGATAATCCACTGGGAGATGCAATATCCACATAGCACAATAAAGGAAAGTTGAGTGGAAGGAAAAAGTGCAGTAGGAAAGAAGTGACCAAGCAGTGGGGGAAACTAGCCTTGAGAAGATTATAAGATTAAGCCCTTGTATGAATATGATTTAAGTTTGAAGCGGGATTTGGAATATCACAACACTGCATAAAGGATTAATGGCTCCATTAAGGAGATATTTCAGACCTAAACTTTATAGAGTATTAAGTGAAATGTCAAAGCCAACAACAAAATGAGCTCAAAACCATTGGAAGCAACTTAGAGCTACAAGCTGACTCATGCAAAAGGAGCGGCAACCAAATACTGCATGCATATACTTCAAACTGCATTTAGAATGTATTTATTTTGAACTAGCATTGACTTTTTCAGAGAAACCGACTTTTGGGTTTGAGCCAATGCCATAAAAATGATCAAATATGTACATAAAATATACATATTTCATATTTAAGTGTTCCACATTTCAGAGCTTGAAATGGGTACATGTAGGGCAAATATTGTCCTTTCATTCAATATAAATATTTGTTTGCAATGTCTCTTTAAAGACATTTGCTCTATTTTGTTTTCCATTTATCACAGTATACATTTAAAATGCAGTTTCGTTATTATAATTTGTTTTGCCTTAAGCTTCATGTTTGTTTTATTTGAAGACATGATAAACTTCTTTATTTATTGTAACGCATTTAATTTCTGACATTTCATTGTTTGTCTCAGTTGTTTGAAAGACTGCAAGCAGAGCAGCCAGACTTTGCAGAGAAGATCACAGCAGTGAACAGTGACCTCACAGTACTGGATCTTGATCTCAGCAAAGAGGATCAGAGCATCCTGGCTGAAAACATAAACATCGTCTTCCACTGTGCTGCAACAATCCGCTTCAATGAACCGCTCAAGTGAGTGATTTTTATTTATTTTTTTCGTTTCCCTTTTTATGTGACTAATACTCAATTTTTGACAGTTTTCTATGCTTGGCTCTTTTCAGCCCAGTGTTGATAGAGTGTACCTTCTGTTTGCAGTACACAGAAACAGAACACCTGGTACGCCTTTTCTGCTGAATTTAAGACACAGCTGCTTATTGAGCTCTACTTCCCATACAATCTTTAGAAGAAACTGAGTGCATAGCTATTTAAAGATATTTCTTCCAATTAGTGGTCTTAAAAGGCAGATTTTTGTTGTATTCCTTTTAGATTTTTGCAAATCAGACACAATGACACGTTGGTTTCTGACTTCACATAGATTTTCTTTTTTTGTTTAGCTATTATAGTGATAAAAAATTTTTAATTCTGTGTTTCCAATCAAATAAGAATGATCCATAAGAATCTTTTAGTGTGTAGCTTAGTGCATGTTATGACGTTTTTCGCTTTAAAAACTAAAAACACTACAACATTTAGGAAGATGTCAGCATTCAAAATATTTTATTTTCCTCACCTTTGTGTCATAAGTGGAGATTTAATCTCTATTTTGGGAACAGAGGCGACATCATATTGTGTTTCTGTAAAACAATTTCACATGTATTTTGGATATAAATAAACCTGAAAGAGGAGTGGTGTTCTATATACAGACTCTAAATATATTTGGTTGACATGAGTGGACAATGTCATCAAAACAAAGCAACAATAAAAAATCTGGCTGATGCCAATATTACATCTTTTTACTTTCTCTGTCTTTATTTTTAAAGCCTGGACAGATCTTGAGTGATGTTGGTATAGATGACTGTTCCTTGGTCTTTGGAAAACGGACTTTTCATAATTTAAAAAAAGTGCTGTATTTTTCAGTCAGTCTTCCCAGTCTGTAAACTAAAACTCAGTGAAAATCTCTGCCTGCGCTTGTTTTCTGTGTCTTAGAGATGCAGTCCAGCTGAATGTCCTGGCCACACAAAAGATGCTGGCGCTGGCCCACAAAATGAAGCACCTGGAGATCTTTATTCACGTCTCCACTGCTTACGCCCACTGTGACAGAGAGGTCATCGAGGAAGTCGTGTACCCGCCTCCTGTAAACTACCGCAAACTCCTCGACACTCTTGAGTACGTTTCCAAACAGCAGATTTATGGACAATTATGCAGATTTAAGCTAAACGGAATGTACTGTGTGACTGTCAAAAGTCCATGATGCTGTGAACATGCCAGCTCTGTCTTTGTTTTACTTTGCAGCACCAAAGTTGACGGTGCTGCAAACTGCTTTTCAGATATATTAGTGCAACTTTAAGATTAAATTTGATGAATGGAGAGAGAATGGCATCATTAGTAAACCTATGCTATATAGATAAGCTGAGTTACTTTTTGATGGCATTCGGGTGGATATGCCAAAACTGAACAGAATACTATTAAATGCTTTTTTTCTCAATTTTTGTCCCATCCTTTGCTCCGGCTTAGTGTTTCTGTTTATTTTTAGTGGTGCAAAGGGGCTTTGTTTGCATGTTTAAAGCACCTCATAACTCAAACCGTTTTATTTTCTCCATGCTAAGCTTATTTATAAGCTCTCAACCCATTTCTGTCCTATGCAGATGTTTTAAAAGCTACTTCGCTCATTGCATTAAGAACCTGTTTAGCAGGTCAGGTTAGAGTTTGAGCCAGTAGTTTTCATTGTGCTCAAACATAAATTACCTTTTTTATAAAGTTTGACTGTTGAGTCAAAGGGAACACTGTTGTTATTAGCTTAGGTACGAAGGCATGAGATATTAGATAATTATTCATAATGAATCTTGTATGTAAACTGGATAAGTTATATATGGTGTGTTTGCATTTATTTTAGAGCAACAGTGTACACAATGTTCTCTGTAGAGTAGACCAAGGCATAGAGGTTTAGATTCAACTTGTAAAACATGTAAAGTTAATAATCAACCCAACGAAGCATTTTAGATTTTGCTTTGGTTTAAGAAAAATATAACTCTGCGTCGGACTCCTCATAATTCTGGTAGTTAAGCGTAATCCCCTATTACTATTCTTAGCGCGTCTAGCATTCCTAGATGTTAGACACTGAAACTCAATACGACATCCCAGGTAAGTCTTGTTTCTCTGCCTTCAGCTGGATGGACGACGATTTGGTAGCAACGCTGACCCCCAAGCTCATTGGCGAGCGCCCGAACACTTATACCTACACCAAAGCCTTGGCTGAGTATCTGGTGCAGCAGGAGGCTGGAGACCTCAATGTCGCCATCGTCAGACCCTCGATTGTTGGCGCCAGCTGGAAGGAGCCGTTCCCCGTGAGTCATTCGAAACACTTGTTCTGCTTTAAATTTGAATCTATTCTGAAAACCTCTCAACCTAGAGTAATGTATAAATTGAGCCTGAAAAGGAGACATGTATAAGTTATCAAAGGGAACTTGTGCCAAAGAACAAGTAAAGGCTAAAAACTTGTCAGGAAAGCTAATTTGCAGTTAACAAAAAGAGTAATGCTGTCAGTTGATGTCACTTGTGCATAAAGAAGGTATCGGTGTCAGTTCTGGCCTGGCTTTTCCTCATAGCTTTGTCAAGGTCTTGGTAAAAGAGAATGTCCATAATTCCTATTGTAAGTTAGTAGCCTATAAAGACATTTTGCTATTTAATTATCTCAGTTCTAATACTATCCATTTCTCAGGGCTGGATTGACAACTTCAATGGACCAAGTGGAATATTCATCGCAGTAAGTAATAAAATCAATGCTCTTATTAAACAATAAGGGATTCATAAAGCTTTTGTAAAAGCCCTTGCTAGATTAAAACATGACGTAATGTTAAAATTCAGTTATGTGATGGGTCACATCAGACTTGTACAGGTCTTCATTAGGACACTGAAAGTCACTTTGCAATGAAATCAGTCATTACTGTTCATGTAAACATTAATACTCTGATATCAAGCTAATGGATTGTAGACACAGCCTCTGTGGGGCAATCTGATGGAAGCAAGACAAATAGGACTTAGTACTTCAAACAACTTTTGTGGTCGTACTTCATTCTGGTGAATTACTACCAGGATGAGTCCTGCCAATGTAGCAAGCTTGGAGTGCCTGTCTCGCTATTCCTGGAAAGTGTCTCAGCCTGTTTCGATGAACGTATGAGCTGACGTTTGGAGTCCAGAATTTCTCCTTCTCAAATTGCCGCATCAACTTTCTTCATTAATCTGCAAAGCAATAATTTGTCATATATTTCAATTAAACCTTTTTCTTTCGCATTATGATGATTTAATTTCATTGTTTGAGGCTGGAAAGGGGATTCTGCGTACGATGAGAGCATCTAATGATGCCGTGGCTGACCTGGTCCCTGTAGATGTGGTCATTAATGCAACTCTAGCGGCAGCTTGGTTCTCTGGATCGCAACAAGTCAACAGGTTCAAATCATCCACTTCTATTGTATAATCTGATCAGGTTCACATGAATTATAATAAAGTAGTTGCTTCCTTTTGCAGGCCTAGAAGCATCCTGGTGTATAACTGCACAACTGGTGGGATCAACCCGTTTCGCTGGGGCGAAGTCGGTATGATGTGTTTATATACCATTTTATTTTTAATGCAGCCTGTGTGGAGCCTTAAATAATGAAGCCGTCATTAAATATGGCGTAACCTTATTGTAATTTGTAGTCCATTGCCTGCCACACCTAAACCAGAAGCTTTTGCTAATCCATTACTAGATCGGTGAGTTGCACAGAAAGTGCATGTTAGCATTGCATGTCCACAACCTTTTCTCATGTGTTTGAGAATATATTGACATAGATTTAGTTTAAACACTGGATAGTTCAGTGGGGAATGTAAACTAAAGGACTGAATTAAATTCATGTTGAGTTTCAAACAGGGAAAACCTACAGGGGGAAAAAAAAATTTGCTCATCATTAAAAAAAAATGTTTCAGAACAGATTAATATAAACTTATGGGTCTGAATGAAATGTGGTGTTTTCTATATATGTCATAATTACACTCTACATCAATTTCTTATAGAAGGCCCTGAAATTAGGGGTCATAAAATCTTGGTTTTATTTAGAGGTCAGATCTTTAACTGCAATATAGATTTGATTCTGATTCTTGGCTTATAACAGCTTATAACAGGCTCGTAACGGATAGACATATTTTGTATCGGTAATGTATGAGGTTACATTGTGCTCAACATGGTAAGAAACGGGAAAAAAATGAAAGAAATTTTTTTAACAGTCTCCTTTTACCAAGAAGGCTGCTGGGTTATGGGATCCTAATTGTTCTGAGTTTTTAAGAGTCACATTAATCTTCTGTGAAATATTGTGAAACCCAAAGTGCATCCAAATTCTTGATCCTATTGAAAACAGTCCGTGCTCCACTGAGTATTGTCAAATATCCTATAAAGAACAATAAAACGAAAGGTATTATTTACATTTTTGTTTGTTGGTTGGTTTTGTTATTTGGCAGTTGTGTACAGCAGCAAAAACAGTCTTTGACCCAGAACATTATTGCCGAGTTTTTCAAGATCCTCACAAAAATATTCATACCTGCTGCAGGGCGTCTTACTGAGATTCAGTGGCTGTAGGTAGAGGCCTGTGGTCTACTGTATGAGGTTGCCACTACAAGCAGGATGCTGTGTATTGTTTCCTGCCACACAGAGGTTTTTGTGTGTTGGTGAAAGAGTTACATTTTGAACTCATCTAACTGGAGAACCTTTTCCACATATCCGTTGTATGTAACGTTAAATTAAACATACCGTAGGTTGAACCTCTTCACTAACGAGGCTGACTTTTGAATGCAAATGGTTGCACTGAATTTTATTTAGGGGTATTAGGTATAGGGTGTATTTGTAAAATATTACTGTGTTTTAGAAATAAACTAATATTTTCGCAGCTTTATTTTAGCGTATATCTTTTTGTTCAGGTCTGAAGCCAGAATGTGTGAAACACATTAACGCTGGTCTTTGTTCACTTGTGTTGAACAACCTTCTCTTCTTAGAGTACCATGTAATATCCACATTCAAGAGGAACCCCCTCGAACAGGCCTTCCGACGGCCCAATGTTAATCTCACATCCAATCACCTAATCAATCAGTACTGGATTGCCGTGAGCCACAAGGCTCCGGCCTTCCTGTATGATATGTACCTCAGGCTGATTGGACGAGAGCCCAGGTAACCTCGTCATAGTCGCCTGCTCGGATGTGCCGTAGCTGTGCTTTCCTAACGGTCATAGTAACTTCACGTACACACACCTTTTGCTGCTTTATTCTGTCACTTCCTTCTAATGTAGATGCCTAACATCGTAGCTGCAGTGTTGATGTGTGTGTTATTGCTTCTGTGAAGTTCAGTTGCCGTCAAGGAATGTATAACCCAATGGCTCTCGGGGACAGAAGAGGCTGCTTGTGGGTTCTGCACTCTTTGCATTTTGCTGCTTAAGTTTGTTTTCATCAGTGTCTAAAATATTATCTCCACTCAGTCTGACGTATAAAACGGGCAGAGATGCTGTTAGGGTTGCAGATCAAGTCTCATGTGATGGTGCAAAAAGTGGCAGGCTGGCAGAGACCAACCTGACAATCGGGACTGGCTTTTATTTCTAAAAGGAGGAAATGCGTCTTCTTCATCTCATCCTCTGTGTCCTCCATGTCCCGTCATGTGTGTATCTCTCTCCTACAGAGAACTGTATAAACATGACCTTCAAGAACAATCCCCTAGAGCAGGCCTTCAGAAGGCCCAATGTCAATCTGCGCTCCAATCCTTTTACTAATCAGTACTGGACAACAGTCAGCCACACCCTGCCGGCCCTGCTGTATGACGGCTATCTCACACTGATGGGCCACAAGCCCCGGTAAGATCACATCTGCCACAAACCCGTCCCACACTTTATTGTCCTCTTCCTGCTGCCAATCAACCCCTCTCTCCCCCCACACTTCACCCCAGGTTCTCTTCACATTCCTTCCTGATTTCTCTAGCTTGGATTATGGAGAAACTAAGACTTCTAAAGCGACTTCACCTGATCTCAGCGTGTCATCTGAACGTTCTCATGACAGCATAATTTGGGTTCTGTGCAAGCCTCCCCTTCGTTCAAAGATGGTTTCATTTATTACGGCCGTCAATTCGCACTTCTGCTGCCCGATCTGTTTCCAAAATTAAATAACTTTTGACTAATCCAAAAAGCGGCAACGTCAGCCCATGGAAATTGACTCCTTACAATCTAAAGAGTGAGTTGGTGTCCAAAATGAGTTTAGCTTGCACCAACAGTGGCTCCAATTCTGGAAGTGCGTTTTGAATTTGATTTGCTTTGTCATTAGCGGCAAATAATGCTCTGTTTTTCCACTGTTTGCTGGTCACTCATGCATGTTTAAAGCTTCCTTTCAATCAATCGCATGCACTGACAGAATCTGAGTCATTTCAGTCAGCCTCCATTAGTTAAATTGATTGAACTGACAGCACTTTGGTGAAAATTATACAAGCCTAACTTTAGGTCTAATTCAACGCTGGCTGAATCGGAATGAATCAGATTCAATTAAGGCTCTTTCCTACACCTTCCCTATTCAAATGACCATTGCTTGAATTGTGATTGCTTAATTAACACAGAATGAAGTTGGAGTATGTCAACTGGATTTACTACACTTACCAGGAAGATAATGATGCATAATATAGGAGGAAGCTGAATTTTTGGGTTTGTCACATTGGCGTTTATTTAAAGGAATGAATCGGCATAAGGCCGATCTAATTATTGCTATTTAAGGAGATGCTAGCTGTCTTCCTGTTCTGTGCAGAATAACTCCAGTAGACCATTTTTGATGTCGATGTCAAACCTGCCAACCACATTACTATCGTTTTTATTAATAGTATTTTTTTTATTATTATTACTAAGTTCTCCTATATTTTTAATTAATGGCAGAATGAGCTGAAATAGGTATGTTGGGTAACGCAGGTAAGATCAAATAAAAAATGCGAAGTCCTTTTTTTAAACTCTCATCTGTCTTTCATTTGTCGATTTTTATACTTCAAATATCTAATTTCCAAAGGCTCTCACGCCGTTGCTGTTTGAAATGGTTTTATTTTAAACAAGCCATCCAGGTAGAGTTCATTTTTATTCCATTTCTTCCAAAACTCAGGATTACTAAAACCGAGCTCAGGTTTGAAGGAGCTGAGAATTTTTCTTAAATGCTTCTAATTCTGGAGAGTTTTACAGAGCAGCAACAACAGGCACAATCCTACAGCTTGTGTATGTTGACAGGCTGATGGCACCTTATATCTTACAGTGGCCTCCACTCTTAGTTGCGCTCCTGGGAAAGATGCATGAAAACCATTTTTTTTACCTCTTAAATGTAATATTTTATATAGAACTCAAAAAACAGAGGAAGTAAATGAAACTTTTTAATTTGAGAAGATTTACGCCGTTGGAGGAAACGTGCAAAGGAATAGTTTTCCTCTCGGCGCTAATTTAAAGACAAAGAAGCATTATGAATTGTTTTCATTATGGATTTTCGGTTTTCAGAATGTCTTGGAAAATTATGTGGTAATTTTCTATTCTGGTGTGTTTAACTTTGGAGGTCTGTTTCTGCCTGCCACTCCCTAAAACAGAAAAGAGGAGAAATTTAAGACGAATGCATATTGATTTATTCAAGAAGTTTCTCAAGTAAAACTGAATGTCCTCATGTCTGCTTCTTTCTTCGCACGTTGTTTGACATGGTAGTGAAAGTGTTTTCTGTCATATCGACAGAGATATGTGAGCATATGAAGTTAAACCTAAATGAAAATTTTCCTCAAAGTGTTTCAGACAAAGAAGGAATATGTGGACAAGCACCTGATGTCTGCTGACAAGCATGGTGTCGTAACATTATGCTGTGGGCCTGTGTCTGTTCCAAGGCACCAGAAAACATTGTTGGAATCCACGGTTGCATTTTTGAGAAGTCCAGAAAACCGAACAAACAGAAATGCTTGCATGGTTGACCAGATGAAAAGCCTTCCCTTTTCCCCCAGACCAAACCTCGGCTCTTTGATGTGAGCTGAAGAGTGACGACTCTAAATGAGCCATTTCTAGGAGTGCAGTAAAGCATGGAGGGCACTGTATATTTTCACCTAACAGCTTATTTGGTGAAGGGCTACCCTTGGTCTATTCTGAACAAATATCTCATGTATTTGGAAGCACTTGTCAAATTACTCTGTCAAATCAATGCAGTAAACTGCTCTCTACATCTGGTGTCTCATGTTAAATATTTGAAGTTGGACCTTTTGCCTCTGCACGTCAACAGCCAGAAGTGTGAGCCGTCCCGTCTCTTTAAATTTCTTTACCTGTCCTTTCATTCATTTATCAGTCTTGTTCTTCTTCTTCTTCTTTTTTTTTTTTTTAATCCTCTTTTTTACCGACGCATTGTTTATCACAGGATGATGAAGACAATCACTCGGCTGCACAAAGCCATGATGGTCCTGGAGTATTTCACCAGCCATTCATGGGTTTGGAACACGGACAACGTGGCCATGCTGCTGTCCCACATGAGCCCTGAGGATAAGAAGGTAATCTTGGCTAAACTGCTGTGTCTGGTTTTACAAACCTGTCCTCTCAGTAACTCAGTTTTGCAGACATGTGGTGCAAGTAAAATGATGACCTGAAGTCCTGGTTGTGATACTCGGTGGTAAAAGTCAGCCTGGCTTTCATGGTTTTTAGAATGACATGCCTTACTCGTGCGTTACTCTGTAGATTTTATCACGATGTTCAGTCTCATTCAATAGCCAGGAGCACCAAACTAAATGTCTCGCGATTTTAACATGTAACCCCACCTTCAAAATATTGGGTAATAATGTTGCAAGCATTTAGCACATTGTTACAAACCTTTGTGGTTTTTAGACATTTAGTGTGGATATATATGTCCTGTTTATCCCCCACCAGACTGCATTCTTGCATCATTTTTTTTTTCATTTAGTGTATTTATTTTACACAAAAATTCCTCTATTACAAATAATAAGAAACGTCTTCTCTTTTTTTTCCGTTCCCAAATAGATGTTCAACTTTGATGTGCGCCAGCTGCACTGGGCAGAGTACATGGAAAACTACTGCATGGGCACAAAAAAATATGTCCTCAACGAGGAGCTGTCAGGACTGCCTGCTGCACGCAAACACCTCAACAAGTAAGGTGGCTGTGGATCTGCCTGCGTCTGTAGACGGAAACCTGCTTCTGTGCACAGCTTAATTTAGCTCCTGGAAAGTGTTGTGTGATTTCAAGAGTGTCATGATTGAAAACTTGCTTATACGTCACCTTCCAAAAAATGTGAAACAGATCAGGGGATAGTTTTTGCTGGTGGATTGGCTCACGGTTTGTAAACCGTGAGCCAAGTAGCTGTAGTATTATACTCGTCCAAATGTTTGTCATGTTGAAACCCTGAACTTAAATGTACTTAAAATTAACATAAGTCGGCATGAGATTTGTGAGATGAAAGGGATACAGGGGTTTTCAGGCATCTGAAAAGCACAGTGGTCATTTTTGTAAAGACCCCTGTACTCCGAGGGCCATAAATAAAAAAGAAGTAGAATCAACAAGCAAGACAAGTCTAACCTGGTCAGATTCAAATATGAAAATGGAAACAGAGTAAGGGCTATACATGCTGTTGGCACAACACTGCTAGCTATGTTTGCCCCAGATGTGACCTTTTTAGTGTATGAGGGTCATTGTGGAAAGAAAGCTTTTTAAAATCGTGTAGGCAATTTGCCGCATTCTGCAAATGACGTAGCTTAGACTGTCATCTAAAGAAGATGCTCAGAAGGAAAGAAAATGACAAGTTTTTAAAGGGAAAATAAAATTGAGAAAAATGGGGGGACAAAAAAGATGTTGTGAACGATGAGGGTCATGTTGTTCGCTGAATGAAGTCCGATGTTTCTGTGCCCGCTCCCCCAGGCTGAGGAACATCCGCTACACGTTCAACACCGTCCTGGTGGTTCTCATCTGGCGCATCTTCATCGCCCGGTCCCAAATGGCCCGCAACATCTGGTACTTTGTGGTGAGCCTCTGTTTCAAATTCCTCTCGTACTTCAGAGCCTCATCCACCATGAGATAATGAAGCGCGGACTCTGAGCAAGGCGGCGGCGAGTTGGAGGTGCGAAGACTGCGGCGCCTTTGGAGGATGAGCGCTCTGAGCGAGGAGCGGAATGAGCTGGAGTCTGCGGTGACATAAGATCTTTAAATATCCAACTCCTCTCCAACAAGTCCTCGCTACACGAAACACAGGACTTCTCTCAGATCAGCAGAGATTGGGCTAATCGTTAAGAAGACCCGGTTCTGTTTCCCTTTGGTCCTGCTTCACATTCTGCAAAGCTATGCATTGAACAATGCTCTGCTCCAAAGCCCTGTGAGACCTGCCAGGCCGAATCTTACTCTGCAAGAACAGAGAAACTGCCTCTCTCACCCAGAGCTGCAAGAACAAAACCGCTTCATTCTGTTCCTGCAATTTGTGCTTGATCCATATTCTGGGGAACTCCTTTTTTTTTTTTTTCTTGTCTGTTGTCTGAAATATGAAGCGAGTGTGAGACTGGGGATCTAAGAAGACTTCCAAAGAGTTTTGTACTGGAGTTCTTGTAAAGCTTGAAATTTATTGGCCAAAAGGAGATGTATTCTTGTTCTTGCAGTCTTGAGTAAAATGTATTTCTCTGTTCTTGTGTTGTATGATCAGGCCTTTATTGAGCATAGACAAAACAACCCATATTTCTTTTAGCTTTATTCAACTCAGCTTTTACCTGACTGCATCATTTCAACTTAGAGCATCAAACATTTAAAGGAATGTTTAGGACTGTGAGGGCGGCGTTTGTGCTGAATCATGCCTCACTGGACTTTCTTGCTCGACTTTTCCCGGCATGTTCCTGCGGAGCGGAAAATAAACTGTCAACAAGAACAAACTGCGGCACGTCTTCAGACTGCAACGGCTCACCTCTAAATCACAACCAAACACAATCCAGATTGTGTTTGGTTTTACTGAGTGCCTATAATGACTTTTTTTTTTCTTGCATCAGCAAATTTTACAAAAACCTTGTTTTTTGTCCTCTTCTGGTTCCTTTTTCTGTCAAATTTGTGTCCAAGATAGAAGCTTTTGCCAAATTCCTTTTGTGCCAGCAGCTTAGACTGAGGTGGGAGGATAAACTGTCCTCTTTTCAGCTCTTCTTTTTCCAGTTTGTCTGGAAAAGAAATGCCTTCAGGTTCAGATTATGCCCGATGGCTCACTTTTTAAACGTGGGCCATTGCTTTTGTTGTTCTGCTCCTCTAGAATTGAACTCAAATTTTTGTCAAATATTTTGTTGCTGCCATTTTGTGGAGTCTGTGTGGGATGTTCTGTTACATTTTGGGGGCATTTGTTCAGCTTCTATAAAAATCTAAATGTGCTTTTGTGGGTTTTTTTTGTTTTTGTTTTTGTTTTTTTCCTCATTCTCAAGTCTTGCATTTTAACCCTAGCGCCGTAGAAAGTCTCAATACTGAAAAGCACTTTCTCATATTTATCCACTGTTCTCTTTCTTATTTATTTAACCCACCACAGGGATTTCATCCGTCTTCTAAAAGTGTCTTAATGGCGTCATGTCTGTCGTGTTATCGTACCAGCATCTTTAAGGAATGTGATTCTCTCAGCATAAGCAAATGTACGAAAAACCCCAAAATCCTGTGCCTGAACTCTTGTTAATATCCGAATGTGGAAAAAACAAACAAACAAACAAAAGAGAAACCAGATGTTTTCTAACTCTTATTGTGTACAGCTCTATTTAGATAGATTTGAAGAGATGAACAGATGTATTTTTCTGCTTGTCATCACATGCCTACTTTATAAAAGCTTACTGAAGTGGCCTCAGCTTGTGTAAATAAAAACAGCTGAAATCCACAGTTTAGCTCCATTTTAGCTTGAATTTGTAATCTGTTTATGTAAATGCACTTGTGTCCTTCTGTCTGTGTAAAAAAAAAAAAAAAAAAAATTTTGTAAAGTCAGGCTTTAACATCTGGTGATGGCTGTAAGAAGATGAGGTTTGAGTTATTGTCTGGTTGAGAGAATAAATTGTGGCTGTTGTTCCTAATTTCTCTCAGTGGTGTCGGTGACTTGGTCTGCTGTGGGATCGTGGATTCTCACCAGCTACTCAGACGTCTCTCCACTGGCCGAAAACACGTCTGCTGTTTTCATTTACCCTCCAAATTGTCCCTGTGTGTGAGTGTGTGCGTGGTTAGTTGTGGCATATTGACCTGTGACAGACTGACGTCCACCGCAGGTCATCAGTGTTGGGTATCATTTCTTTTTAACATTAACAAAAGTTCCTTTAAAAAATTAAGTAATTTTTTTTCTATTTTAAAATATAAGAGGATTTTTTTTTCACTATTCTAACGAGGCTTTTGTTTGACAAGGTTGAGAATGAAAACGTCTCTGGATTGTAAAAGTTGCTCATTTTCCCTGGACAAGAGAATTTAGCAAATGTAGGAGGTCTGGAAAGAAATAAAATGTGACTTTTTGACCTAAATGTAAAATGCCACTTGGTGCAGAAAGCTGACTACACGTCTCCATTGTTGGAAAGATGTTCCTAAGTCGAAATCAATCCTGGAGGAAAACCTGTTGGGGAAACTGCAGAAAACTTTGTGGAAGTTTCCCATCTAGACTAAAGTTATGATTGATTGGTTTAAATGGAAGGGTCTTCAAGGGCTGGGGTCCTGCAACTTTCTTTCCCGTCTGTAAAAACAGACAGAAATAATGAGCTCATCAGCTGGACTGACTGCATACGGAGGAGGTAAATCAACCATTCGGTCCAGGAGTGTTGAAGCGGAGACGCATCTAAAAATTGCAGGACACCGGCCCTCGATCTAAGAGCCCCTGGTTTAAATCAAACGTCTTGTCAGAATGGCCCAGACTCTTGCATTAAGTGACGTTGCTTACATTTGTTTTATTCAATGTGAAATTCTCCTGGGCCATACCCTTTGCTCAATAAAATGCGCTGAATTGACTCTTTGTTCCACAGGTTTGTGCTTCTGTAGATGAGACCTGCGTGATTGACAGTGGAATAGATGAACCATTAGTCTCAATCTGTCCAGTTGACCTGTTTCCTGTGGTGCATAACAGATCTGTCCTCCTCTTCCAGCACTGTATGTGGAAGGCAGATTAAAGTGGCATATTGAACAGCTCCATTAAGACTTAATGCTGCCTTTCAGTATTAAACCCGATGCCATGAATGAACGGAGGGGTGGCCTGCCCTCATTATGAATGACTGAAGTCATGATTTACTGTAAATATCTATTTAAATGCCCTCGATTGACTTATTTGCCTTTACAGATTTCATTTTAACTCTTCTTTACTAACGGGTTTTGAAGGACTATCCAACTGTAAGGATGGGTGGCATGATGTGAGTGGAGCCTGGCTCTTGGTTTTGGAGTACTTCTACATTTTCGAGATTCTCTTAAAATGCCTGACTTGGTTCATGCTTACCTGAAAGTCTTATGAATTGGTTTTCTATCATCAGGTTGTGACTTTCCACATCTAGATAAGGATGGATGAAGGAAACTATGGAAAATGGTCCATTTTCAGATGATACTCCTTATCTTAAATGTTACTTTTCTTTCTGTCTCCTTTCTTTGCTGGCTACTTTTGACCTTTGTCTGTTCCTTGTATTCTTCTTCCCTTCAGGCTCTGGATTTGTTCTTTACTAAAATAACTGTATATATTAACATTATTTTGGATTTTCTCTTATTCTAAAAAGAACAGTAAAATGAGCACAACCATCATGCAAGGCACAACAAGTGGCTGCTTCCCTTTGAATGGACGCCCGAAACTTTGTTTGCGAAACACTGGAAAGTTGTTTTTTTTTTAATGTTTTGTACAACCCCTTGGGTGATGGCACCCTGGAAACAGAGCCACAAAGGTCTTGTCAAAAATTTAATACAGTCAGGTGACTTTTTTCATATTGTGATTTTTAAAACTGGATTTGAGAAAACCCACTTTCATTCTTAGCACGTGTGGAAAGGCCTGTAAAGGGGCTTTGCAACTCTGAACATCTGAAATGCGAACGTCACATTTGGATAAGACTTTAACACAGAAGAGCGGTAAAAACAAACCTGATGCTTAAGAATAAAACTGAACACAAACGATTAATCAAAAAAAAAAACCAGCCAGCATCCCTGGCGGTGTGAATGTGTGAAACATGTCAGTTGTCTTTGTTCGTCACCTCATTTGCCTCTATGAAGGTTTATTCTGTCGGGCTCACTATGTACTGCTTAATGTGTAAATTACGTAATCTGAACCGGCGCCTTGTTCCTCCAGGAGTGGGGGGAGAGGAAAAAAAAAAGAAACTTGGTACAAACGCCGTAAATATGACGAGCGGCGCTGCAGCGAAGCAACGATTTTGTGTGGCAAACAATCAGCGTTTGTTTCTCCTTCCAGCAAAGCTTGGCAACAAATCCCTTACAACTGTGACCCAGCAACCATGCCAAGCAGTGAGTCACATCTAACCATGAGCACCAGACAGAGCAGTGAGGTCTGGGCCAATAAACAGGAACCAGAGGGATTAGAGGGCTTAAAGTGAAATCATAGAGGCAAAGAAAACAACAGAATAATCTGACTAGGGCTTTGTGCTGTTTGTTTGTTTGTTTTTTAATGCATACACTGAATTTAAATGTGTAGGCTTTGCAGTAACAAAGGAGCCAATTATGTGAAATGTTCTTGTGAAACACGTTTACGAGGTTATGGACGGCTGCCTGACCTTTGTTTAGATGAGCCCTCCATAATGGTGTTAATGTGCCGAACGGAGCAGAAACTAAATTGACTAAAACTAATAACTCTATAGATGCTACAACCTCGAGAGAACATTTTGAAACGTTCCTATTTTCTTGTAGCAATCGGAAACGTTCATTTTAATGGGATTTCGTGTGACACAGAGTAACATAGATGTGCATTGGAGGTGGAAGGAGTGTGATGCGCCACAGGATTGGGTTGTTTTGTATGCATCCCTTTTATTTTAGAACCTTTAGGAGAAATCAAGTGCGCAGCCTCGCACCATAAAGTCTGAGAAACAACACCAGACAGGTCAGGGATCACCTGAACGGTGCAACTGCTCGTCGTTGTGCAGGTCGTATGATAAAGTTACCACTCCAACTTCACAAGCAGTTCTTATAACTGTAACAGAAAACGAAGTACAGTTTCTGAAGGATTTTGTCATTTTTGTTCCAGTAAAAACAACAACAACAAAAAAAACGGAAACAGAATAGCGGGTATTTATCTTATTTCTCCTCCCAACTTCTCCCACGTTTTCTCTGTGTCACTGGACAAGACAAGAAGCTCGCTCTGTTCGACAGTAACTACGAAGACATTTCTCCTGGGATTTGGTGCTTCCTTTTGGGCTGCAAGGGAAGATTTCAACTTTTTGCGCTCGGTTTGTAGCGCGTCTCTTTTTCTTCTAGGCTAACAGCAGGGTAAGTGTGGTGTAGTCTCAGTTTTCAGTGCTCGCTCGTAAATCCTCGGTCAGACTTAATAAGCTAGACAGCAACTGCTGTAAACCAGAGACAACCAGAGATACCAGAAGAAAAAAAAACAAAAAAGCTACTGTTTTGACCTTTGAAAGCAGTGTCCAGTTCCAGTCAGTCCTTGCGTCAGTGTCCTGCCTGTTTGAGGACAAAGAGCAACCATTTGTGTCTAAGCGCTTGCAGTTGCTCCTTGGTTTAGCAGTCTCCAAACAGAGCTTCCTCCTCAAGAAACCCCCCTCCCCCCACTCCCTCATTGAGCTCCTTCAAACTAGTGGCAGCAGCAAATAGCAGACACCTGGTGGAACTGAGCATCTGCTGAGATCATCAAGGAATTACTTCTTCCTAGAGACAGATTTGTCTTTGATTTTACAGTTTCAGCCTAATTAATGAAATGGTTTTTAACAATTTAAGACCTGATACATTTTCAAATAATTTGTGAGTGTGTCGTGTGATTTTCTTTTTAAAAACTACATTTTGTGATGTTAAATTTCTTTTTTTTAATCCACTATGTTTTCAGCAGGTGTTTCACATTATCTATAGATATATCAATCATGATAAACTCAGAATAAGGAAAATGTTATTGGATGAAAACGGATTCTCACCAACAACAACAACAACTTGATCCTCTTTTCATGTCTGTTTGTTCCTCCTGACTCTTTTAACAACAGCTGTCCTGTTCTCCTTTTTAACAAAACACAACCATCATTGGAAGTCGAGAGTCCCGTCTCTGCAGCTTGGCCTCACCGATCCCAACCAGCGCCGCCGCTTGCCAGCCCAGTAACGACGCTCCACAAACTGATTCTGCACATCCGTGGCGACGGTGATGAGGGCCACCACTGCTCTGCTGGTTGTCTGTTTTTGGATGAACGCCGGCGTCCGTGCTGCTCAGAAAGGCGAGTTTTACAACTCGGTCCAAACGGAGCGATGCAAATGAAGAACTGCATGTCTCCTTTTTCTCTCTGTAGATGAAAAATGTGGCTCTACTCCAGCGGTGAACCCAAGGCGTCGGTTCCTGAGGGTGGTCGGAGGAACCCAAGCTACATATGGATCCCACCCATGGCTGGTCAGTTGTTTTAACTGTAGGATTTCTTTTTCTAAAGGCGTTTACAGTTAAATATGCTCCTCAGAGATGTGTCTTAGTCATTCTTTGATAAGTGACTAAATGTTTTTGTCTTCAAAATCTCTCAAATGTAATCAAATAATCTAATTAGTGTCATATTTTTGAAAAATGTAACACTGCAAAATAAGGAAAACAGAACCAAATCTCCGCATGGCTACTGTTTCTGCACCAGTTAGAGTTGGCCTCGTAGCACAACTCGCTGTACTAGGAAGTGAGAAAAGCATTGGTTTGTAACTTTATTAACAAGTTCCTTAAGTTGTTGTGGGATTGTTTATGGTGTCTTCATTAATTTAATCCATTTAGGAACCAATTGGGTGAAGAAGAATTGCAGTGAATCCATTCAGTAGGAGGACATTTTTTTATGCCGTCCCTCGTTGGTTTAGCAGTCTCCAAACTGACCCCTCCTCTACCGCTGACTCACTGAGCTCCTCCAAACTAGTGGCAGCACTGATTAGCTGCTGTGATGATTATTACTAATAGTCAACATGATAAAGTGGTTGTTTACCAACGCCAGAAACAATTTCATACGTCTGTGATTTGTGCTTGCCTTAAAAATACACCCAGATGATCCCAGTTTTAACCGGCTTATTTCAAGTCATTTTAATTTGTGTTCACAGCAGCATCTTTTGTTGGACTAAAATGTTGTAGCAAATGTTTTAATCTATCACGTTTGCGCACGTGTGTGTGTGTGTGTTTTGTATTAAGGTATCAATCCAGAATAAAGGCTCTCATTTCTGTGGAGGGGCCATTCTGACTGACAGCTGGATACTGACTGCGGCACACTGCTTCCCATCCTCATCAAAGTACCGAGACCCAGTGGTACCCGTGATCAGTCCCCTATGACATGACGCACGCTGAGCGTTGTGGTTGTTCTTTCTTCTGTCTAGTGTCTTTCTGAGCGGTGTGACCATTCTGGTGGGGGAGTTTGACCTACGAGTGGAAGATAAAGACGAGCAAGTCTTCACAGTCAAATCTCTGTTGATCCATGAGAACTACAACCAGGCATGTCCAATGAATTACGACATAGCGCTGGTGGAGCTACATCGTCGCATCGCAATGGGCAGGTTTCCATCCTTTACACACGTTAAATCACATCATCAGTGAACTCTGTGTTTGTTGCTGACATGCGACTGTGTTTAACAGGAGCTCGTGTCAGGCCCATATGTCTGCCTCTCCCCGATTTTAAAATCCCGCCATCGACTAAATGTGTTGTTGCCGGTTGGGGGAAAACATGGGAAAGTTTGTGTTTTTATTCTCTCACAGTGCTTTGAAAACATATCGGAATCCCCGAACATTTCATTTCATTGTGGTTGTAGAAGGGATTTTATAAAATAGACAAATATTTGTGAAGTGGAATGAAAATTATACGACTACTAAATTATAAAGACTTTCAGTGCATACATGCATTTAGCTCCTCTGGGCCATTGCTTTACTCAAACACAGGTCTGCAGGTGTTTTGGCATGTCGTCTTGATCTGCTTTGCAAATCTATAATTAGAATTAAGAAATTTTGAGATTGAGTTGGATTGGATTGAGAGCGTCGGTGAAAAGCAGATTGCCAGTTGGACTAATTTGATTGCCCACGCTTTTATTTCGGTTTGTCAAAGAAAAGGAGGCTTATTAGATATAGACTTCCCACTTTTTATATTTTATTTTCTTACTCATATTGGAAGTTGCGTATCATATTCATTCCACTTTACAATTAAACGCTACATCGCATTGAAATATGTGGCTGCTATGCGACGAGGTGTGAAAAAGTTCAAGGAGTTTGAATGCTTCAGCACAAGATAATGTATAACAAATGCTTTACAAGCCATTTGCGGCGTATTTTTTCCTGCTAAAAACCTTCTTTTGTTTTGAAGGAGGACACATTCCTGCAGTCCTGAGAGAAGTCCACCTGGGTTTGGTGGATCAAGCCAAGTGTCAATACGTCCAACTGATGATCAAAAGCTCATTTCCAAAACAGAAACAAAAGTTCCTCGATCCACCCATGACGATTCTGTGTGCGGGAGCCGAGCGAGGAGGCAGGGACGCCTGTCAGGTGGAAGCGATTCGTTCTCCATCATAGGCCTCGTTACCCTGGAGCGGTTTGAATCGGTTGCCTCATTCTGAATATCTTCTCTCCTCTTCCTTGATGTTTCCCCAAGGGAGACTCTGGCGGTCCTCTGGTATGTCAGGCAGGGGCCGGAAGCGACCACTGGATGGTGCTGGGGATAACTTCCTGGGGTCAAGGATGTGGCCGGAGCTGGGGAATGAAAGGCAACCGGCATCCGTCAAAGAAAGGATCTCCGGGAATTTTCACTGACGTCAAGCTGCTACTGCCCTGGATCAAGCAGAAGATGAGGGAGGGTAGGCCAAGATGGCAGTGAGATGATGGAATATAGTAGAGATATAACAGCACATTAGTTCATATAGAACATTTTTGCCCTGTTGATGGAAATATGTTTGTTTTGATGATCTGACTTGATACACCTCCAGGACAGCAGCCATTAAAAATGCTTAAGATAAATGAGAACACGTGAGAATCAATTGTCTTTTTTATTTTTATTTTTTCTCAATAGAAAAACAATTGCATAAAGTATTATATAGTTGCCAAATAAAATCTTCTCTTGTCATACCATTTTCGTCTTTGCGTTTTGCTTCAGCTGAGCAGCAACGACAATCAACTTCAGGTGAGTTTTCCCCTCATCACTCCAACTTTTATTCTTGCTGATTTTCACAACGTGTACTAATCCAATCGATGTGTGTATCAGGACTGTGCAGTGTGACAGACGGCCCAGTAGCGGACAGTGAAGGGTGGATCAGGAACCCCGCTTTCCCTGACGCCTACTATGACAATAACCAGTGAGTGAAACATTTCAGAAGAAGCTCTAACGTTTGTCACACCGAAGCCACAACTGTAAGCTGACGACGGGCTGGTGTCGTCAGAAACTGATATCCGTGAATGGGAACGATAAATGAATCGGTCAACGCCAAAATGAAATATCTTGTGTTTCCTTCCGCAGGTTGTGTTTGTGGAGCATCAAGGCTCATCCGGGTCACAGCATTCTGCTGGAGTTTGATCATTTCGATGTGGAAAATGGCTCGAATTGTCGGTTCGACCGGCTCACGGTTTCAGGATCAAGGAACAAGTCTGTGGGTGAGTGCTGTTACTTTATTGAAGACTGAATGAAAAAACGACAATGACCGTTTACGTTTTGCTCAATATGTCAAACACTTCAAAGCATTGCATAGCAAGGAACAAATATTAAAATGCTGCAGCAAGCAAAAATGTTCTCAGTCCGAAAGGAAGCAACAGTTTCTGCACAGCTCAGGTTCTCGGAACTGCATCTAGGACAAGATCATTCAGTGTTTTCAAAATCTATTCTTGTCCTGTTCTTTTGACCAAATGAAAGCACAGGTTTATGTGTGCTCAATGAGATATGAGCCAGTTTAGCACAGAAGTAGAGTCCCAATCAACTGTGTCATTTAATTTAAAATGTTTGCCATCTGTAGCTGTGAGGTGACCTTAAGTCTGGCTGGAAAACACTGAAGAACTAAACATTGAAACATTGAATTATTTCTAGTCCTAGTCCCTAGACTTACTTCTCTGCTTTTATTAAAAATTAAAAATAAAAAAAATTCAAAAATAAAAAATAATAAAAACCAGGTGAAACAATTTCAACATAGAATGAAACTCCATTTAATTTTGCTTCATGCGTTTCTGTTTACAGCAATATTCTGCGGCAAATTACTCCCAGCTCGAGTGCTTCTCCACAATTCCCAGAATGCAATGCTGCTCTTCTCCTCTGACATTAGTAGAGCAGCGCATGGATTTGCAGTCAGGTACCGTGGCATCAGGGGAACCTTTCCTCCAGGTGAGAAACATGCTGCAAACTCTTGGACACATCAGAGCAGTGTTATTGTACAACTCTATGAAAATGAGGCTGAAGTTGAAATGAAAAGATAAGAAAACCTGTTTACTGCACCCCTGTTTACTTGTGGCATTACTCAATTTGTTGCTTTTTGATGCGCTTGTGCAAAATTCTTGATGTGAACGAAAATGCACAATGAACCAGCGTGGTCCGTGCGTGTTGACCTTGAGAATTCAAGCGCCTAAATGTCAGGCCATTTGCCTGACAGCTGATTTTTGGCCCAAAATAGATAATCAATAGTACACTCACCGCAAACATGGCTGCAAATCTTCAACAAAGTGAGTGGAAAAAAGACCGTAGTTCAAACTTCCCAGTTAAATGAAATGGGACCCTGAGAAGGCTGTTCAGAAACCACAATCTGCAAACTTTTATTGAACTGAAACAATATTGGAAATATGATGGGGGGGCAAATTTCACTCACAGTGACTGGAGACTGAGAAAGTCAGAAGGAAAACAACTTCAAAGTTATTGTTATTAAAGATTAGATTACAAAAAGAAGTAACAATTTAAGCAAACTCCAAAGACGCCTTTGGAAATCGTAGATATTTACCATTGGAGACTATTTTTTAAAAATTACAAGAAGCAAACTATAATGAATCGACGGATGAGAAGTGTTTGCACAATCTTGCGCAAGTTGAATACAGTTTTACCTTCTCGTATTATGTAAGCAGACTTCCCATGACGTGAAAAAAAAAGCAAAAACACAACCATCTACCACTTTATTTGAGGCAGTGAAGATGATGAATCCAGTTATGAAACTTTTTTTCTTGTAAATATGTTTAATTTCATTGTCGTCCTTGATGTTAATAACACAAGTTAACCTCTGTTGTGTTTTTTTTTTTTTCCCCCCACCATATTTGCCCGATAAGCATGCGGGACTATTGTTCTGGTGGAGGATCAGATTTCACTCCACACCCCAAATTACCCACAGTCCTACAGTAATGACTGTGTACTCCGCTGGGTCATCTACGCTCCTCCGGGACGTCTAGTTAAGGTAATAATAACCTCAATAAACACACCTTTAAAACTAAAGGTCCTCGCGTGTAGATTTTCTTTTAATTTAAAGTTTGACCACAGCTGACGTTTGCTGATTTTGACCTGGAAGAGTCGGAGAGATGTTTGCATGATTCCCTGACAGTTCTGGGAGACGTTGAAGGAAACAAAGAGATTGGTAAGATTAAAGATTTGTATTCAAATAAATCTGATTACAATATTTGAAAAAACTGGAGTACAGTAGGATCTCTTTCAAATGTTTATGTTCACCGTATGTTTGTTTTGTTGGCATAAAGCTAATAAAACCCAAAGATTCAGTTTTTCTGAAACGTAGAATATTGCACAAGAGCAATGAAAAACGTATTTTTTTCCTGATACAGAAATGCTACGGCCTTGTTTCAATAGTTCTCCAGCAGACGGTTATTGACACCCAAAGTACAAACATTCAATTTTGTGCACAAAGTCACCCTTTATTTCCTTCTAGTTTCTAGTTTGCGTCCATTGACTTTGATCAATGGTTCTTCAGGTCTTTTCAAAATATTTCACAAGTTTTTCATGAGTTCTCGAAGGAGCATTTTTTTTAAGAGCTCACGTCTTGCTCCTTTTGTTTTGGAACAAAAGGTTTTCTAATAATGCCAAATTAAAAAGAGCAGCGATCATTAGTTTACGCGCTTCGTTTTCATTTTGTTTTGTTTTTTCATAGCTGTGTTGTGTGGCGGCGGTGTTCCCCCGCCGGTCCTCTCCTTCAGCAGCATCATGGTGCTTTGCTTCGCCTCAGACAGCCAGATCACTCACCGGGGCTTCAGCGCAGGACTGACCTTCATCAGGAAGGAAGGTGTGGCTACATCCATGAAACAACTCCCCTCACAAGTGTACATAACACCAACATGAATGCATTATGTGGTTTGATCCGTCTTTGCTCTTTACCTGCGTGTGAGAAAACACATGCATGTTTAACGGAGTGTTTCTCTGGTCAGCTGTATTTCTGCAGAGGCGATGTTGGTTAAACAAGGCTGAAGTCGTGGCATTTAGAGTGGCTGTTGGGCATTTAACACTGAGGTGACCAATGGGAAGTGGGTGTCCCTTTAAAAAAATAAAGGAAGCAACAAAGTTTGCAATCAAAATATAAGAAAAAGTCAGTTGTCTGTTTCCATAACATAGAAGATGGAGAGACGTTTCAGGCAAAATAAGATTGAGAAAAAAAAAATCTAAAATACCCTGAAAGGAAAATGAAAATCATGACGCTTTTACTGCATTATTCAAAATGTCTGTAAAAAGATCAGAACCCTGCTAAAATGTTGTTAAAATGAGAGTAATAATGAAATGTATTCTTATCACTTTTCTCTCATTTAATAGTGTATTTAAGAGATTGCTGCTTCGGCTCCTGTTTCAGATCAAAACAAGAATAAAATCATGGATCCATCAGTTGTTTTTTTTCTTCTCCTTGCTTCTGGTTTCCTTTATTTTTGAAAAGGACGCTGTGTGCAAGTTAAAGCACAGGCATATAGGAAGACCTTGAACTGTTTTAACAGTATAGTAACATTTTCAATGATTTAGTACAGCCTCACTTTCAAAGAAGCTGTATAACATAAAATATAAAATGTACATTAAAAACAGAGTTCAAGATTGACAAATTTCATAAGCCCACATTTTTCTCAAAACAAAAAGTAGTTGACATTTCCAGAGAAACTCCCCAGCACTGTATAAATTACAGACTACTTATTCTTATTAAACACGGGAAACCAATATGTAGTTTTATACTGTTTTAATTTTTGCTCTTTCCTTTGGTTAATTTTTTTGTTTGTATTTCTTTCTAATTCACGTAAAGCACATTCATCTGCCTTGTTGCAGGAAATGTGCCACATAAATACAATTTATACCATATCAATTGTTTAGGCTAAGAAGTCAAAATGTAAATGTGTTCATTTGGACATCATTAAACGACATGAAAGCAAGTTAAAGTAGGGGCAATAACAGACGTTAAAAGAACAGCATCAAAAAAAAAAAAAAATTTCGATGCAGCATCAAATTTTTAAATATGATTTTCCAGAAAATCTGTCTTACAAAAGTGGAGCAATTTTAGAATAGAGATTGTTAATAAAAAATAAATAAATTGGAAAGGTTTTGAACGATTTATAATCTACAGTTTGTAATTTAATAAAAGATGGCACCTGACTAGTGCAGCAGCACCTCATGTGGAGGCCTCCGTTTCTTGATACAGCAATCAGGGGTCTGACTCCTGACCTCTGGACCTTTGTTTTGAGAAACTGTACATTTAAAAAACATGCAATATTTCTTCTAATTCCTGTCGATTAAATGTCCGTGGCAGTGTTTATATCACCCTTACACGTTTTGATGGACACAAATGACTTTTCTTGTGTGATAAATCTTCTTTTTACCAAAACAATCATTCCTCTTTTTGTTTTTTCGTTTTTCTTGACGTGTGTTTCCTTTGTCTCTCGGCTCTCCTTTCTGAATGTCTCCAGTGTAAACTCTCACCACACCCAGAAGCTTGGAGACCTTGGTCATACTTTTCCCCAGGCTGTCTCTCTTTCTTCTCCCAGCTTGTGAAAGTGGAACTCCACCCACTGAGATTTGCAGTGACTCATACACGGTGTGGGGAGCAGGTGTGGACATGTGGTCCCTTAAAGAAGCAGTGAAAATGAGAAATATTGAGATTTCCTAGATTATGGACATTGTTTTTAACACAGATATTCTGACAAAAACCAGCTAAGATGTTTATAATGTGTGTTTTAGTAACAGTAAAGCTGGTGGTATTAGAATGTGTGTTAGCTACTAGTATTCATAATGCACAAGCAGCTGGAGGTACTTTCTAAATGCTTTCTCACTTTTTTTTTTTTTTGTTGCTTTCATGTGATTTTGGTTTGTCTGCCCACTACAGTGCTGTTTGTCAGCCAAATGATATTCTGTTTTGCTAGCTTCTCTGGAAACCAGTGAGCGCAGGGCTTGCTGAGGATAACTTGGCAGAAATAGTGACCACTTCAGGCAACAGCACATCAGTGTTGCAGCTACAAAGTCTGTGTTTCCAAACATTTTTCTGTCTGGCATTTCAGAATATTTGATTACATTTCCTACGTTTCTGTGGATGCAAGGTGCCTAAAAATGTTATAAATGGGTATTTGCAGCTTGTTTGTAGTAAAGAAAGAGACAAGCTTAGATTTTTCCAGCAATCTGTATCAGGAAATAATTATATTTTGGCAAAGCAATGGCTCAAGACTTACACTTAAAGCTTTAACATCTGACCTCAAGTTTTGATGCTGAGGTAAGAGGAAAACTTTGTTTTATGGCTCCCTCTACTGGCGCATCTGAGAAACTACAGCATTAGTTTTGAAGAACTTCCCTAAACAAATGCATTCTATTTTTTCAAAAATATTTCTGAACAAAAATAGGCTTTTATTCATTTTGAGCTGAGGTCACAGTAAAATTTATTTCCTCTCTGCCTCAATGATGGATATCAGATTTTCTAGGTCCAGATCAGGACAAACAGAACAGCATCATCTTCCGCCCGGCTCATTTTACCACCTAAAACTGTTTGTGTGGATATAGGCAGTCTCACCATGTGCCTGAATGCCTTGCTCAACAGACCTGGTGCCATTTCTTCACAAATTAACTAAGAGTTGTGCATAAGTTGTTTTAGACTTATTTATATATCTGTGTCATTGTTTTTTCTTGAGGTAAATATGTGTTGAAGTGTCATGTTCTTTAGGGAATAGTAACTTAATTTTAAAAAAATTAAACAAAAATCTTAATCTCTTTGTTTAAAGGAACTTTTTTCTTGCAGATTCATTCAAGCAGCAGAAGTCCAGAAGCAAAGGTCTCATCCATTAGGAGAGTCCTCGACCGATCAACGATTTCATGCTGGAAGGAAATCAGATCACGAAGAGCACAGCGGTGAATCCTCAGGAAATCGACACGTATTGACTTCATTTAGAAAGAGAGAAACTGGAATTGATCAACCACTCTCTGTTCAATCTCTGAAGCATAAAAAACATTGTTTACATGTTGATTTACCTGTGTAAAAAATAATCTGGTGTCAAGACTTATTAAAAACAAAATGCAACTTTTGTTGAAATAGAATTTTCACGATGTTTATGGAGTCATTTCTATTAATTGCAATAAAAGATATTAGTTGATTCCACCACTATAGCAGAATGCAAACTCATTTCTTTCCATCTCACTTTTAAGGAGTACTTTTTTTAATCCATTTGAAAGAGCAATGTTGAACAGTTTTTCAGTATTTAAAAGTTTGACTTCTGGCTTTAATTTTCTGTATGATAACGGACCTTTTGTAAAAGAACTTTTTAGCGTACCCCAATCTGAACTCTCTTGACTGACACAAATAAATTAGGTATTAGAAAGGAATTAAACAGTGTTGTGTCAATGACAGACAACTTGGAAACCAACAATTTAAGTGGATCTTTTAATGTGTTTCTTTGAAAAATGCCAACAAAGATAGTTTAATATTTGAAAACGAAGGAGGTGAGGCCCAAAGAGCAAAGTTGGAAAGAAGTGAATGATGTCTGGTCTTTCTTGAATATCATTGCTGTTTCTGAAAGACATCACTTTCAGATCCCGTAAATCTGCAAAAGAGCCTGGAAACTGTTTTAAACTGAAACTTCTCAAAATATGAAGAAATAAGAGGTAGTGTACAAGTTTTGTTGTTGCAATCAAAAAACATGTTTGATGTTCAACTTTCTTGCTCAACCACTGAGCAGATCCCCTCCTGCAGAGCTATTGGTCACCTGGCTGTTGCACGGCAGCAGGTTTGTTAACGTTTAGACTTAAAAAAAAGAAGAAATGCACCATCTTTCTCTCTGTGGATCAGTGTTGATACTGAGTTTCTCTCCTCCCCCTCAGTCAGTGGTGTGATTTCAAGGGTCTTCTCGCTGTCAAAGCACCACCTCTGCACCATGTGACATGATCAGATCTGTGTTTCCATTGGTGCTCTGGATCTGTCACCTTTCTCCCCAGACAGGAAGCCATGCCCCATTGTAGAGACTGTGTGTGTGCTGCTGTGGTAGGTTAACAAGGATGAGTGTGTGGGAGGGGAGAGGAAGCCATCATTGGCTGAACTGTGTGTGGACTCTGGTCTCAGACTTGGAAGACGAGAGCAGTCTGGTTCATTTTAGTACGCATAAAGCCATGGACTCAACCTGGGTGAGAATAAAGCTTTTTTTTTTAAATAAAACAAATTCTTTGTGCATTAAATGTTATATTAACTCACATTACAGCGTGCATTTTATGTTGCATATAACCCACTTAAATACAGGTTGATATGGCAAAAACCCAGTGAGTGAAGTGGAAAGCTGCAAGTTTTCTTTCTTTTGGTTGACTGTGGTCACATTAAACGTATTATCTTGCAGACGATCCCGGTGGTGTTGGCTGTGTCTGTAGTGGTCATAACAATGCTGTACTTCCTTCTTGGAAGCTCTGCAGAAGGACAAGGGAAGGGCCCTGTGACCCTAAAGGAGCCTACGATCAAATACTCACTACCACTCATTAGCAAACAGGTGGGATGAGCAAATTAACTTTAAATGTTCCCAACTCACACTGGGATAAAATAACTAAATCAGTTTAATTCATTCCAATACAGTGTATAAAACAAGACTGTTTGTAGCAGCAGTTATTGGCTTTTTCTTGGATAAATTACTAATTTTAGAGCTTTGTTCACCTCAAGTGTTTAAATGTAATTCTGACTTTTTCCAGTCAGCAATGCTGGAAAAACGTAATTTAAGATCCGTCCAGTTATCTTCCGTTTAATAATACATGTGGAATAATATGTAAATATTAAAATACGTTTCGTAAACGTAAGGAACTCTAAAGTGAGCTGCATGCCTTGTTTAAGGTTGGCTTTGCGTTGATGTCGAGCAAATGGTTTCTATAAAGACTAAAAAATATGCATACGTCACTAGGATTCTTTGATTCTGTTCAAAAATAGTTTTGTTTAAATCAGACTGTGAACAAAGATACACTTAAGTGTATAAGTGTGTTATGTGAACACAAGGAAAAATCTCTATTACACCAGTATTGCTCTTACAGGATAAACGTTAAAGGTGATCAGTCTTAAACTGAAGGGTTTATTTTGTTTTTTTTAATTAGTCTAGTTAAGGTCGTATCGTTTGGCTGTTTCACACTCTTTCTTGTCTGTGTCCTTGTGCAGGAAATCAGTCATGACACAAAGAAATTCCGCTTTGGCCTTCCATCTGAGTCTCATATCCTTGGACTGCCAGTAGGTAATGAAATATCTCTGATAAATCTGTCCCAAAGTGTCTTGTTAAGAGCCAGTTTCACATCATTATTTTCAACCACTGAGCAGCAATGCTTTGATTTTAAAAACATTCAAATACTTGTAACTGTAAAGAAACAAACACCTGATTAACATCAGATGAGTGGCATGGAAAAAAACAAAGCCTAATCTCCCATTTTTGCTGAACATTTATCTTTCTTTTGGTCACATTTAGTCATCTGTCTTATGCTCCAGGTCAGCATGTTTACCTGTCGGCCAAGGTAAAAGGCAACCTCGTTGTCAGGCCTTACACTCCCGTGTCCAGCGATGAAGACCAGGGATTTGTTGACCTTGTGGTTAAGGTGGGTATCCTTGAACCAACACAGCTGGTGTATTTTATGTGACTGGAAATGTCTCAGTGTCCAACAGTAGTATTGAAATCAAACAAACATCTTATATTATGCTGCATTTAAATACCACCGGCGTGTCTAAAGCTGACTTACATGTAAATAATCTCTAACCCACTTGTAAATTCCTAAATTTACAAGACATTTAGGAATTGCGTTGTACATTTAAAATGCTCTCATTTGCCAACAAATTTTCATTTATGCATATAAATTTTTTCTTAAGTTTTCTAAAAGTTAACGAATCCCAGGGAAGTCCTTAAATATCAAGTCATTTTACGTAAGCACGGCTGTTCCCAAGATCTCCAGTGCTCCAGAGCAACAAGGTTAATCAGAGGTCCTAACACTTCCTGATAAGCAGTACATCAAGTGCATTTGATAAGCAATACATTTATGGTACTCTGTCTTTGCTTCAGATATACTACAAGGGGACCCACCCAAACTACCCAGACGGGGGGCAGATGTCTCAGTACCTGGACAACATGGCCATTGGAGACTCTATTGACTTCAGGGGCCCCAACGGACTTCTCATCTACAAAGGCAAAAGTATGGAGTCTGTTGCATCTCAAAGTAGAAGTAAAAGACACTGCTGCGTATTGACTGCTATTACCAGCAGATGGCACTGCTGGTAAAAACGCCATAGGAGGATGAAACTCTGATTTCCACTCTCCAAGCTTGTTTTCTGTTTCCTCTTATTAGGTATGTTTTCTATCCAAGCCAACAAGAAGACGGAGCCAGTTGTTCAGAAGTTTAAACATGTTGGAATGATCGCTGGTGGAACAGGTACGTTCATTACAAACTATTTCAGTTTCATCCTCTTCAAACAAGTGGCTGAAATTATTGTAACCCGTCACACTTAAATGACTCTAAAGTAGGTAAAATAATTTTTAGCTGTACATCAGCTGATATTTTTATGAAACAAGTTTTATTTTAGCCTTTGTTTCTCAGCAGAATATCTGGTAATAACTTTCTGGCTCTGATTGCCTCAGGCATCACCCCAATGCTGCAGTTGATCCGACGGATCACATCAGATCCTTCCGACAACACCAAGTGCTCTCTCATATTTGCCAACCAGGTCAGTTGCTTGGGGTTTTTATTGTTTTTGCAAACATTGAGAGTGCGGCTGCATGTTGAACATTACTGTTTTTATCACTGCCTATCTCAGACTGAGAAAGATATTTTACTGTGGGATGAGCTGAAGGACGTGCAGAGGAATCACCCTGAGAAGGTTAAAGTTTGGTACACGTTGGACAAGCCTTCAAAAGGTGAGACTGCAGGAAACAAAATGTTGCTTAGAGTTTTGCTGTAAAATCCTTTTGGATTTTCAACAGAACTAGGAACCCAGTAAGTCTTTTCCCCAAAGCACTAGCAGAGAAGATGTCTACTAAGGTTTTATTGTTTTTTTTCTTTTTTTCTATAGTTCTATGTTGTCTTTAAAAGGCTTTGGATCACAAAAAAAATGTAATAATTATCTTATCCCTTTACTAAATTTTGCTTCAAATATATCATATTTGTGAGTTTTGCTTCCAAGTGAATAAATAAAATGAACAAATACATTTACCCAATTATAATTTCCAAAATTAAACACATCTTTCAGTGACACGCAGAGAGAGAGTGTCTCCAGGATTTATTACGCAATATTTCCAGGAGGCACAATCTGGGCTGACATGAGGGTCTTATTGTGCAACTACCCTTGATATTGACCGTACACTATATTGCCACAAGCATTAGCCTGTTTGTGTTCTCTACTGTGTTTACGGGAATTTCTAAACATCCTTTTTTGAAGTTGGACACTATTGTCAGAAAAGGCTGGGTTAACGTTGTTTGCTCTAATTCTTCCGTACCAAACTCACGTACCCATGTCTTTGCCTTGGTTTGTCGACTCGTGGGCAGTCATGTTGGAACAAAAAAATGGCAAACTGCCATCATTGTGTGGTTAAACAATTCAAATTTTTTTCGTTTTTGTCAGACCCCATGTCCAAATATCAGAAGTCATCTGCATCCCGGGGATCCACCAGTACCCAATAAACGTAAACACTTTTGGATGTGATACTGTAGGCCTTTTTTGAGTTATGAGCCACTACAATGCTCAGCACCAGGTCATCACAAAGTAGTTTTGTTTTAGCCATGATTTATCACAATCCAACTGCAGAAAGATGCTGTTTTCCCGCCTACACAGTGAACAAAAACAGCTGGTTCCAATCATTCCCAAAGTAAAATCAGACTAATTGCTTTCAAACACATGATCTATTAGAACTGGGGCAGGAGCTTTAAAGTTCCCACAAACTATTACAATTTGCAAAAAAATAAGAACAACTTAAACCATATTTTTTTTTTTATATAAATTCTAAGTCAAACTCAGAATTTTCTCTTTTGCTTTTAGTATCTTATTTTTACTCATTTCAAGTTAAAATGAGATTTGTAATCTAAATTTGCCAGGGAAATAAATAATTTGTAAAAACAAAAAAATGAAAAAATAAGGTTTTATTATGAAAAACATATCAATTGTTCATCAATTGTTACCAGAACAGGTTACATATTGAGCTTTATCTTGAAAATACCCCCCCAAAATATTTGACATCTAGTGACACTAATATTTTGATAGCGACGCACTTACTGGTAATGGTTTTAGATTAAATATGTTCCCACACACACTGTCCATGCGTTGTGGAAATAGGAGGGTAAATGAAGCCGACTGAATCTTCAAACTCTACTGTACATTCAGAGACTAAAAACCAAAGGAAAGACATGTCGGTTAAAGGAAATAAGAGTAGCTAAACACTTCTATTTCCTCCTGCATAACCCCCCAAAAAGGATGTGAGATTAGTTGCTGCATAATCCTGCTTGTGTTTTGTCTGTATTAGTTCCTCACATAAGGTTTGGTCCGCTAGAGAGACACACTTGGTCTTCGGTGGGGGTTGTTGTTTGGATTTCTCAGAAGAGATGTGTGGTTGGAAGGAAAAAAAAGTCACTGGCCTCTCTCACTGCCAAACTCACAACAAAGAAACAACAAGATCTTGAAAGAGGAGAAGCTAGAGAAAACCAAAATTATCTTCTGGTTTACTTTTGCATGTTTAGTAGCATAATTTCAATGCTTAAGCTAAACATAAATAAGTACATTTCCTGTTTAGCCTGATCAAACAAGTTTCTCTAATTATTCTTTTCATCTGTGTTTGCAGACTGGACCTACAGTTCGGGGTATGTGACCCTTGAGATGATCAAGGATCACATCCCTGCTGCGTCCAGAGATGTACTGATTGTCCTCTGCGGACCCGCACCGATGATCCGTAACGCCTGTCTGCCGAATCTGGAAAAACTGGGACACGCAAAAGAAAATATCTTTGCATACTAGACATATTCAACAAATGGTTAGTTTGTTTTGTTTTTTTTAAAGGTAAAAAAAAAATAAAAATCTTAACAGCAGGTAATTTTAATAAATGCTTAATAACCATGTAATCCAGGAGAGATTTAGAACACTTCACTTGTCCATTTGTTATGCATCGCTAGTTTGTCCTAGTCCTGTTCTATAGTGTACTTTTATTATCACTGTGTTCTCCATAAAACTCACTCAGAGCCACTATGCTTATAAGTGAAACTGCATTTCATAAGAAATTAACTTTCTTTTATTTGTTTAATGTTATTTAATTCTGAAGTTACAATAAAAATGCATGAAGTGCAATAAAACAAACTTGAAGTCTGGCTTTTCATGTCATTCAGAACAGGAAAGTCTGGGATGGCGTGAGCTCAAGTATACCGTTTAACATGGGAGTCTTCATTTTGTGTTCCTTTACTTTGCTCTGACAGATTTGTCATAATTTGTCAGAAACACGTGCCATTTGTTCTCAATTGACTCAAAAATAGTATATATTTTTTAAAATAATATGACTTATTTTACTGTATTTCACCCCCTATTTTGAATGTGTCATAATTAATGTCAAAGTTTTCTTTTTTTTTTACACATCTAAAGGGGAAACTCTGATCGTTAGATTTTTTAATGTTGAGCCTGCTCTGGCTTTTATTACTGATGTGCCACGAATGTGCTGACAGACTAAAAATGGACAAGGCAAATCTCATCTGTGTGTGATGAGGGTTTGTGAAGCTTTCACAGATGTGAATTAGACGGTTTGATTTGGGCTTAATGTGTTTTTATCAATGAAGTTCTGATCTTAGTTCTTTTTGTTTAAATATCAAGATTTTTTTGTAGCGCTGCACGTTTTGCTATCCACTTGCTTCTAATGAATCCCCCACCAGGGGGAGTATTATTTCCAAAGCTGTAAAGCAAATGGACGCTTTTCATTTTAGTGGCGTAGCTGCTTTTCCCCAGATATTATATATCTTATGTTAGGGCAGCAAAAGTTATAATATATATCTAAAATGGTTTTGTTTAAGGCAGGGGTCTCAAATTCCAGTCCTCGAGGGTCACTGTCCTGCAGTTTTTAGATGTGCCACAGGTAGAAAACACTGGAATGAAAGGGCTCCTTACCTCCTTATGTAGATAAAATCCCCATATGGCCATCATTTTAGACTGTGAAAGGAAGCCGGAGCGCCCAGAGAGAAACCTGCAAACAGGAAACCTGTCTAATCTTTTTACCCATTTATCCCAGAAAATTTTTCAGTTACTAAATTAGACATTTCTAGCTCCTCTCAGCTTTATCGCTTTTAAGAGAAGGAACTGGAGAAACCGTTCATATCAGATCCTTCTTACCTGGTGATGTTTTTCTTTCTTTCCTTCTCGTATACGTAGAGAAAGCCCCTCCTATTCATGTCTTCACTGCAGACAGCCGCTGCAATGAAGACATGTTCATCAATGACCTTCACCGTCTGTGGTCCATGAGTAACGCAAGTGTAATTGTTACCCTGCAACCTTGGGTGGCAGAGTAATGCATTATAAAAGATCTTCCTCCAACATGTGGTGCTGTGACACAGCAAAGATGAGACACACACGTTGTGTTCTCGTCAACATCCAACGGAAGATTAATTCTTTTTTTGTGAGCTCGCTCTTTTCTATGCCACCAATGCAATGCGCCCCTAGTGGTCATGTGGAGAATTGCGTGGACAAACTGAAACAACGCTTAATAATTTGTTACAAGAAATTAAAAGATACAAAATAAAAAATTATGTTTCTATTTTCTCGTAACTTGTTTATCACCCCTCTACATAATACTGGGTTCGGTCTGAACCACAGCAGATGACTGAGGACAGGTTGTACGTTTCTGCTGCACATTCTCCAGGTACTACGATGGATGGGTTGGGAATGACTTTCTTTAAATGATTTGATCTGGCCGACTGTGGCAGGTAGAAGACCAATACATTATTGTTAGTGAGGTAGTGACTCTAAGTTAAGTTTGTTCCACAGCCTGAACAAATTGATTTGAGCCCCAAGTTCACCCAGTGATTAAAAAGAGCTGCAATATCGTCTTCCGATTGTGGAGCTGGCAGTTCAATCACTGGGCTGTTACTTAATAACTCTGAACAATCTGTATGGCATGTTGAACAGCTGCCTTCACTAAACAATTCTGTCTGTACTTCCACCAAGTGAGCCAAACTAGACTAAAACAAATTCAACTAATGATGTAATTTCAAAATCACCTCCCTTGCCCAGTTTCCTCTCCCTCAGCTCCTTGAGTACCGGTGCGATCTCTTTTGGAGCAACGCGTTTACCCGGATTTCGTACAGCAGAAAGTATCAAAGCTGAACAGGAAGGAATGGGTGAAGCCTCAACAAACACCTTTTCCTGAGCGAGACATCTCCTTGTCACGCTCAGGCTTAGGATCGATTGAAATGCGGCATTCACCCAGCTGTTATCCAACTCATGGCAGAAGTTCTCCGTATTGTCCATGTCATCTTCTGTGTTTCCTTGTGGCGCTTCTGTCCTCGTCACATTGTGGTTTTCCCACCGAACCCTCTGCTCCAAAAGGTCAACGTTCCCGTCCGGGTCGGTAAATCCTTTCGGAGCATTACTAACACTGTCCCCAATGACTTTGTTATTTGAGGATGAGATGTTTCTTCTGATCGCTGCTGGAAACGATCTGGATCTGATGGAAACGATCAGATCAGTTCTGCATGACTCCAATTATAGATGAAGTAGTGACTAAATATTGAATTATTAACAAAAATGCATTTAGCATGAAGAGATTAACAATAGATTTATATTTGACTGAATTGTTGCATTCGATTTGTATTTATATTTATATTTTGTAAGCAATATTTCTACCCTTGAATTACTCGTCTGCTCTTTAATTTGACTGACACAGTGTAGTGTGAAAGTAAACAGCTGAAAATGTAATAAATGTTGCAATTTTGATCCCAAATGAACCGAGCTATAACACTCAGGCTAGCTAGTTTTACCGCTATATGCTATGTAAAATGGCTGCCGGAAAAGTTGTTGTTGACTTACAATTCAGAAGCCACCAGCTGTGTTCTTGTTAGCTGCGCAGGAGGCTCCACTTCTTCTGCTTTTGGGTCGGATTCAGGGTCAAGGATGTAGGTTGTCTGGGGCGTGCTAACCCCACGTTTGGAGGCCTAAGTCCTAGACACTGACGTCGCGCGTTTGACTCCCGGTCCCGGCGACCTTTGCCGCATGTCTTCTCCCCTCTCCTTGCCCCCTTTCCTATCTGCTTACTGTCAAAAGTACCAGCCACTAGCGCCGCAAAAACTCTTCGGAGAAAAAAAAAATCATAAAATAAAAAATGTACGTTGTCTTAACTGCGCACCTGGTGGTAGCCATTTTGGCGTAAGTGTTAACGTTGATTTGGGGGCGTGGCCAGCAGCAGCTTATTCGGATTTAAAGTGACAGAGTCTCTAAAACGGCTCAAGGCCCATTTTATGCATAAAATGTGATGAAAATATTTTGCATGATTATATTATGATTTAACAAGAATTTATTCAGATTAATTTTTAAATTAGAGTAAAAAATCTTTTTTTTTTAAGAACATCCGCTTTTTCTTTCCCACAGATAGAAAAAACACTTCGTTTTTCACGAACGAGTTAATGACTACATATCCGACGACCCTGAACGCATCACGAGTAATGCTTGCGCTTCTCTGCGAACATGTCGCCGTAGAACTTTGCATCCAAACTTTAGCGTTTGTTTTGCAACTTGCGGCACGTTCGCTGATGGCATTGGGGTAGTTATGCCGTGGAAGGGAAGCGCAGACTTACTCGCAGCTATGCAGAGGGTTTTAATTAGCAGCTGTGTTGTTTTAGTTGTGTTATTCGGCCCAAACTTACCGGTCTCTGAGAGCGAAGGAATCAGTCCGGAGAGATGCATCGTCTGGGGTGCGGGGCTGGAACCCGACGCTGTTCTACCAGTCCGATACTTCTTCATTCAGGCGGTGAGCCCTGAAGGAAAGAACCTGACTTTATCACCAGGTAAACATCCCGAATACCTTCCTCTTTGCTCACTGTGCGTGTGTTAAACTATGCTAGCCCACCGAACTGAAGTTATGGGTCACCCACTCTGAAGTTGGCGTCTGATTCGCAGTGTCCAGGTCAATTTCCTAAAATCCGGACCCATAAAATAAATGATTTAAAATGTTCAGCTTCACCAGGTAAAATCTCTTCCTTTGACTAAATATTTCCACCAGGTTATCTGATTTTATCAATGCACCAGTTGAATGTTAAACTCTGCAAACCACTGTGGTATTTAGCATGGCTCTTTTTTTGTTCTTTTTTTTTTAATTTAATGTAATTTAAACATTTTTAGTGTCAATACTGCCTCATTTCGAAATGTCTCACTAACAACCTTTGGTTTCATTAATTTACATCTTATTCAGGCTATTTGATCCTCAATCAAAATCCCAGTCAGTTCTTTGCAGCCGCTCTAAGGTTCTGAAATAACACAAAGAATTTTTATTAATAAAACACCTTTGTATTGTGCTGAAATAAGAATTTTTAAAAAATCTAAGTAGATCGGATCATATAAAATTTGCTGAACTCTAACTTTACCACCCGATAGTGGGATTTTGGTTCAACTTTACATCCTTGCTTTAATTCAGAAACCAGATAATTAACATCAGGATTGAGTTGTCTAACTGAGCCAGGTTAAATAACATGAAATCTGTTTGTGTTCTTTAGGCAAAGGGACATTTAAAGTGAAGATAAGTCCTCTCAACAAGGAGGAGTACATCCGCATCCACGTTCCTCCGCCTCTGGACAGAGGAGACGGGTCGTTTCTGATGAGGTACCGCCTTTATGGGTCTGCAGTCAAAGGTCTGAAGGTTGAGATCCTCCACGGAGACGTTGCCGTGGCCAAGTCGCCGTACATTATCAAGGGTGCGTTTCATCAGGTTTTTATCTTCTTTTTTTTTTCTATCTTAATTAGTCAGGTTCTATTTAGTTAAAAATAAACCAGAAGTTATATTTTAAAGTGTTTTTTTGTTTGTTGAAGGGATTTTTCTGTTTGCATTTTTTTTTTCCAACAATGAAAAAAAATCAAACAAGATAACAAAATGCACAGGATACAGTGGCAAAGAATAGAGAAAAAAAAGTCAAATAAATAAAGTAAATTTAAATATAGAGTGTATAACCAAATCACTACACCATGTTACAAATCTAACAATGGAGGGACAGGGATATTATCTGGAATTTGTTTGACTTTAAGTCTGGCAAAAAAAAAAAAAAAAAAAAAAGCTAAAACAGAATAATTTGACACCTTATAGTCAAAGTGTTTTCGCAGACATCAGACACTCCCTCAGATAAACACCATCAGAGGCGATAACTTTGACACCTTTTACTAAGAACATCTGCTTTTGCATCTATGCAAATGTCAATATCTAAACTTGGCTAAACAAAGAACGTGTCATGCAGAAATTTTAAGCTCTCACAACAAATTTTACAGTTTCCTAAAATCCATGCGTCAATGTTCATGAGGTTTCTGCGTAGCACCTTAGAGAATCTTGTAAAGTTGAAGAACTTTCCAGTGATGCCTTTTGGCACTGAGATATTGACTTTTATGCTTGAATTTTCTCCTAATTTTGATTCTGAAAATTTTGCTGAAGAGAACGCTGTCTTTGCTGACACTCTGGCTCGTCAGTGAAGTCAAACCTCGATAGAAATATATGCAGGAAATGAATCGTCAACTAAAAACGTACTGGAGTCCCGCTTATACGTGTGTTAAGAAAAGTTAGCATTTTAGCATGATCTGAATAGAATTTCTGTCCACATGTAGCTGATATTGAATTTTTCTTTTCACTTCAACGTAACTTTTGTCTCATTTCTTGTTGACCCGCAGGCCCAGTCTACCATGAGTACTGTGTCTGCCCTGAATCTGACGCCTCTGTCTGGCAGAGCGTCCTGCAGTGTCCCGCCAATGAGCCCCAGATTCTGGCCGACTTCAAGTCCTTTCCTACCATCGACTTGCAGCATGTTAGACAGGAAGTGCCACTCAGATTTTCTAACAGAGGAGGGCTCGTTCACTACGCCGTCATCGACAACAAGGTGTACCGGCGCACGCTGGGAAAATACACAGACTTCAAGATGTTCTCTGACGAAATGTTGCTGTCACTGACAAGAAAGGTATAAATGTGCTGCTTGATTGGATTTTACGGCCTAATTGTGAGAATATTGAGTTGCCATCTAATATATTTTGCCACTTAAGGTGAGATTGCCCGATGTGGAGTTTTTCATCAATGTGGGCGACTGGCCTTTGGAGACGAGGACGGAGGGAGGTCTTCCGATCCTCTCCTGGTGTGGCTCTACGAATACGCGCGATATCGTGCTTCCCACCTACGAGGTGACGCACTCCACCCTGGAGACAATGAGAGGAGTCACTAATGACCTCCTGTCTGTCCAAGGCAACACAGGTAGCTGGACCACCGCGTGGCAACGCTCGAAATTTAGAGAAAGCACTCATTTCACTTTGTGGTAACTCTGGAGGACATTACCGCTCTGGTACACTTTGCTAGTGGGACAGATAAAAATGTAGCAAGAAAGCCAGTGTTGGACTTCATAGTCTTAGGAAAAGGCAACGCATTTTGGTGTGAGTCGTTACTTTCGCTCATTCACATTGTGCCTCAATGGATCTGTAACATATCATTGAAATATTTCAATTAAGCTCTTTCAGTTGTGTGAAGTTGCTGCACGATGTTTCTAAATCACTTGCCAATATGTAAAATTCAGAATTAAGCTGATGTCATTGATGACCACCAGAGGGCATCAACATGCAAGCAACAATGTCGACTAACATCTAGTAGACATTTCCAGAAGCGGGAACTTCAACTTGTAAAAATACTTTTTTGGGGAGGAAACGGGCAGCAGGCATAAGAACTTGTCAAATAGTTGGAAATGCAAAAAAGAACTGAAAACTGTGTGCTTCCTTTGGTGTGGAACACAGGATCTTTCACAAAATAAAAATGTCATCCTCCCACTTAGCTTTAAAAAGGTATATTTTAAAAATGATTCACTGTGAGTCTTCTACCAACCCTATTTAAATTGATCTAAGTTAAATAGGGTTTAACTTAGAATCTGATTTTGAACTTCAGAAATTCACACTTTATGAGCACAATTTTCTTTATCGTCTTTGTCTTATTTTCTTCTCCATAACTTAAATGTTTCTTCTTTTACTAATTACAGCATTAAGAAAAGCCCCTGTCAGAACTTTAAAATCGACCCAAATTACAGGAGAAGAGTGTTTTGCTCAATTTCTCCAAGAAATTAGGAAAGTGTGGTAATGGAAAGAGGGTGGGAGTTTTTCTCATTTCCTTGTGAAAGTTTATGCAAAGATGACAACAATGGGGTACATCTTGTGTACCTGTCTTTTGTGGATTTTGTTTCGTTTTTGTAACAATGCCCGGTTTTTCTGCCAGGTCCCCCGTGGGTTAATAAAACTGCGCAGGGTTTTTTTCGTGGGCGAGACAGTCGGGAAGAACGTCTCCAGCTCGTGTCTCTGTCCAAGAAATCCCCGGAGCTGCTGGACGCCGGCATCACGGGGTGGTTCTTCTTTAGAGACAGGGAAAAACAGGTGGGCAAAGCACCACTTGTGGGATTCTTCGACTTCTTCAAGGTGAGAAAAAGTAGAAGTACATTTTAGTTAGTCCAACTTTTAGTTAATAGATAAAAATCTAAGTTGGTTTTCCTTCTTCAAATGTACATTTTTGGATTTGGGACTATGTTGCATGTAATGAAACGTTGTACCTCCTCTTTCAGTACAAATACCAGGTAAATGTGGACGGAACAGTGGCAGCGTATCGGTTTCCTTACCTGATGCTGGGAAACAGCTTGGTTCTGAAACAGGACTCGCAGTACTACGAACACTTCTACGGACATCTAAAGGCGGGTGCTCACTACGTTTCTGTGCAAAGAAACCTGTTGGACCTTTTAGAGAAAATCAGGTGGGCCAAAGAGAACGATGCCGAGGCGGCGGCGATCGCCCGAGCGGGACAGGCGGCGGCCAGAGATTTGCTGCAGCCCAGCCGGCTGTACTGCTACTACCACAGAGTGCTGCTGACGTACGCCGAGCGCCAGGCAGGCCGGCCGACGCAACAAGACGACATGGAGCTGGTGCCTCAGCCGGACGATCACACAGCCGCGTGTACATGCAGGCGGGAAGGTAACAAAACAGGATCCAGTAGGAATGAACTATGATTGCCCAACCGTAGTTAGTTACAGCTCTGTTAAATGGACTTTTTTTTTTGTGGAAAAATCCTTGCTGACACAAAGAGGGAAGCTAATGAGAGTTACTGTTGTTTATAGGAAACTTTTCATATTTTTATAAAAAAAAAAAAAAACTTTTTTTTATCTTTGCATCTACTGTGCCTTTAAGTTAAAGTATATAACTTTTTTTAAGTTTACTTGAAATACAACTGAGTACATTTTTTGTATGCCTGTGGAAGAATTGTGTGTGAGATAATCTTTTTATTTTACCATATTTCTGACTAAAAGTTGCATTCATGGTTCAAGAGTGACCCAGCCAGAGTCCTGACTGAAATCTGGGACGGGGGCTAAAAATTAGGGTGATGGAAACGAGGCCCTCCATCTTCACAGACACAAAGAGAGAGATGTAATCAAAATATCAGTGGAAACACGGAAGGAGATGCTCAGCTAATAATAATGTTTTGATGGCAGCAATGTAAAAAAGATTTTTCTGATCATTGAGGATAGAATTTTTTTTTCCAGTGACATTTTTAAAAAATAAAATCCAAATGAAAACTTTTTTTGCCTCTCAAATTTTTAAGAAATGCCTGTCTCAGGCCCGCTATGAAACGTGTATTGTATAGTAGATAAAGTACAATTAAATACAAGTTGTTTTTATTACTTTCAAACTATGCACAGAATTTCAACAATGGGTCCAATTTAATGCTTGATATTCAATAAATATACACCATTACATCCCAGCTGAAGGACACCTAAACAGTGTGCTATGCTTTTGGAAACATAAAGTTTAATTGAAAAACAAAATCAAAGTTTGAAAAATGTAAAATGTCATTTTTAGTTCCATCTGTGCAGACCCCTTTGTGCTACTTAAGTGATGTCGGATGGCAACTTTGTCACAAAGTGCCAACTTTATTAATGAATTAAGTTATTACTGGTTTCTGTGGACTAGGTTCAGTTTTACGAACCTAGTCCACTGGACTTAAACTGGATATATTGCATTTGTAATAAATTCCAAACTGAATGTGTACATTTGTTTTAACCACTACATTAAAGTAAAATGTAGATCACTTTTAAGTACATACTGTAAATCTTACACAAGATCAATTTATGAAGCTCTTACTCAGACCTACCTTACTGTAAATTTCACTTCAATTTAATTTAAAATGCCAGAGACAATTTCTAATATTTTTAAACTGACACACTGATTTCAAACCTCCCCATATGCAGTAAGAAAACAAAGTTTTCCATGTGTTTTTGAGGGGAAGTTGGCAATTCTCTTTTTTTTCCTTTCATTCACACAAGCTGCTAATGGAGCCTTCAGCTGGTCACAAACTATTTCAAACAAGAGCCTCTTTAATATTAGGATTAACATTTATTTAGCACTTGTGCAGTAATTGGGCTTGCGCTGCAGTGTTATGCTGCATTGTTGAAATAATACACATTTCCTGAACAAGCAATATGCATTCCACTTTACAAAGCCTGTCACGGTCGTTGGTGCTTCAATGTGCTCCTGAAGTTTCCAACGTAAACCGAACATTGTTGCACAGCGTTGTGACAAGACATGGAAACTAAACAAAATACATTTTTGTGTGACACCAGGTAGTTCAGTGGAAGAGTCAGTCCGCCGTACGCAGAGGCGACGGTCCCATATCTCTCTGCCCTTCTTCCTGTCGAGCTATTGATGAATAAATGCTACAAGGAACACAAACATTTTTCTCAAGAAACATTTTGCCGCCAACTTATCAGCAAATCATATATTGCGAGATTGAGGACTTAAAGTCAAACCAAAAGCCATGTTAGAGCATCTCTTATAAAAGCGTCCTGTGAGGCAGACTGTAATTCTATCTGCAGCTGGTAAACATATCAAAGTTGCAAAGCCACTTCCTGTAACCTGTCATTGCATACTGCAGCACGGCATTCCTGACTATATGGTTTGCAGTTGCTTTTTATTTTAAATATATTAACAAACACAGACATTTTACATATTTCAAAAGAGTTGTTTTCCTAGAACAATTTTGGGACAAATGTTCATTTGTAATGGGTAAAATAGAGAGTCGTAGTAAAACGAAATTGCAGTGTTTTGTGCACAATTAGGATTTTTGGGATGCAGTTAATTCACAATTTTACATACATCTTAAAATTTAGGGTAAAGTAAAGATCAAAACTGCTGAACATCAAAACCCTAGAAACCTGCTTTCTTCTTCCTCTGAGTCATTTCACCGTGATTATTTACTACTTTTTCCTCGACTTGATCATGAGAAAAAAAAAATGTTACAGCGATTATTTTTTTGTTTTAAAATCTGATTTTATCATTTCATTTGATATAATTTCCAATGCAGGATCTGCTAGTTTATGCAGCCAACATAATTTATTTTATGTTCTTATTTTGAGCCCAAACTGTAAATGAGTAGACTTTTTTCTTAGCGCTATAAAAACTCAAATTCATGTCAGTTTGGTAATCATAAGCTCCTTCGTTACCATTTGCTCCTCTCTGAACCGCTTCACACGCTGAATATCTGTAAATCCATGTACTCACTCTTAAACTATTTACTGAGCTAACTGAGAATTAGCATCGTGTTTGTCCTACACCCCATTGACCGAGAGGTTTTAATTCAAATCATAATGATATTTAGCTCTGAATAACAACAAATGTCATCTCAAGAAACTTTTACAAGACAAGGTCAAGTGTATATACAGTTATGTAGGTTTAAGTGAAATATAAATCCATCCAATGTATTCCAGAATAATCCAGTCACATTCAGATTCATCTACAGTCCAATCTGGCCTAAATCATTGAACAAAAGTTAAAATAAACAGTTTATTACTGCAGCTATTATCACTTTATACTCATAGCAACCACATCTGATGTCATGGTTGGGAATCACCCACAAAATTTAGAAGTTGGAAATCAATTTGTCGCTCAAGCGTGTTTTTCTGAATTTGAGAATTTATGGAATGTACCACAGAGTGCATTTCCAAACCAAATCAGGAAAAACAATATGGTGTAATTTTCAGTGTATTTGTTTTAGACTAAGTTAGCTGTTATTAGGAATGCAGGGTGTTAGCTGTCGATTTACATATGTTTTATGCATGTAACTAGTAAACAACATGCTCGCTTCTTCTTGACCAAGTTTAAAACCCAGTTCTACTCGTTTGCAGCAAAAAGCTATGGATGTGATCTAATGCAGCATTTTACTTGGTGTCCTATAACCCTCACAAATTATCTATTTTATAGTGTATATTTAACCTATGACATGAACCGTCTCAGTGGCCATCTACTTCTATTGGCCGATAAACTTCCTACATTAGTCTTAATACGTGTTAGTACCTCGAATCTTCAGCTAAATTTAATCATTAAAGTGAGCGCTTCATCTGTTTTCTTTGTGAAAATGGCCTGGATCATTCCTAAGGGTGTATGGAAATACCTCGAACCTTTAAGGAAGTTCTCAAGCAGAGCTCGGTCTATTTTGTCACATTTTCCAACAGCCGCCGGAAAGTTGTTGCTCAGGACACCGTAGACGTTTTCCTTGTCATCCCTTTTCCCAAAGAACAAGAAGAGGGCGTAGCAGTCCTTGCCGATGGAAGTGCAGAACTCCACCATGCGCTCGTACGTGTTCCCGTTCCTGGACTCCCACCTGGCCATCTGGATGGACTCGCTGACGGGTTTTCCGGTGGTTGCTCTTTCTTCAGCTTCCTCCCTTTCGGGCAGGTGAAGGACCTGCACTGCGATCTGTATTTTAGGGTTCTTGGTGGGTTTCTCCAGGATGGCCCAAACCCAGTCAGCTCCCAGGAGAATGCGCTGCTCTGGTGTCATGGCTGTGCAGTTGAAGGTGTCGGTGAAGTCGAGGCTAACGCTTTGAGTGATGTAGGTCATCAGAAAGACCTGTGGGAGAAGGGACACGTTCAATACCTGCATTCAACAAAAGTGCATTTCCTGAGATTTTGACCAAGCATCTAAGACGATCTGTGCTGCCACCTGAGTTAATGCCAGGGGACTCGGCTGTAACCTTCCCTCTGGATCTTTGAAGACAAGGTACTCCCGGGTTCTGGCTGATGCAAAAGAGATGCAGTCGCTGATGAGACGTGTGAAATCGATGGGGTTGATTGCAGATGGCGGTGTCAGCTTGGCAAAGACGCCTGTCCTTGGCGACATGCTGCTGTCCAAGGAAGGTTCTTGGGGCGAGAAGCGTTTCAAAAAGGAGAGGAAACTTGAGTTCTTCTTATTGTTAGAAATTGTGCTGCTCATCTTCTGGCCCATGTTAGAAGCTCAGATGAGGACAGAAGATCAGAGGCTGGTCTCTCTGATGCACTGAAAGAAGGAATTTGTTTAAACAAGTAGTCAGCCCATATATGTTCCTATGAAAAACAGACTTATACACTGAACACCAAATATTTGCTATAACTTGATCTGCCAGTGAAATATCTTTACTCACCAGGATGGGTAATGAATTTCCTCCAGTATGAATTGCTGTGTCTGTTTTTGACTCCTGTCTGCTGCCCTGCTGAGATAGACAACGTCTATATGTGCGTCAGCCTGTGTGGTGTTTAATGTAGAGCTCAGGCGAAAGCTGGGTGCTCAACTTTCAGATGAATATGGACGATTCACGGGGAGGAAGAGTTAAAACTAGCAGCATGGGTGTGGCGTTTGCAGCTTGGTAAGTCAACAAGAGGTTCTTGTTACGAGTTAACGGCCGTCGGCCTTTTGAAGATTCTGATCGGCAAACAAAATGCTTAGTTAGCTGTCCCATTTAAAGGAAACACAACCAAAGACGTTTAGGTCGGAACACCAGTTTTCCTCAGATGAGCTGAGACTCTCCCGTTTCTAAGCACATAAGAATTCTTATTCGCTTGAGGCTGTCTATAACTTTTTTGTCATTCTTGGCTTTATTTCTTAGTACTTTACCCTCAATAAGATCTTAATTGCTAAAAGGAGACCTGCAACAACAGTTCTGTAACATTCACATGGACTCATGCCATCTCGACTCCTTTGGTTTACAGCTTTTCACTGGATCTTTGAGCTTCAGGTTGACTGAGTTTATGTGGCCGTAATTGAGCTCAAATCGTTGCCCCTCCACTGCTGCGGCCTGATTTTTATGAGGTGATATGCCGTCTGCAGCTATTGCCTTATCCGTGGTTCTGGCCTTACCTTCAATTCCTGTTTGTCTTTTCACAGCAGCACAAAGGCAGAAGAGTTTGCACAGATCCACAAGTCATAGACAACAGAACGGTAAAATAGTTTCTAGTTTAATGACTCAAGATCATCTACAACCAAAATATGGAGTAAACATCTTGGAACCGTGTGCCCATCCTGGTTTGTATCAATGGTTTAGGCTGATGGTGTTGGTGCAGTGGTGTGAGGATCATTTTTTGCACACTTAAAGGCCCTTTGCGCCATTTACACATCGTTTAAACACAAGTACTGTCTTCCCCTGTCACCAGATTTAATCCAACAGACCTCCTTATGGATGTGGTTAATTAAAGCACTTATGAAGGGAGCGCCACTCTGTTGTAGCAAGTTGCATCTACCTGTAACCAGTGAATACGGAGCAACGCCTTAAGAAAAACTTCTCATTTGCAGATGGTGCTAAAATGTTCAGAAAAGTATGTTTGTGGTCATTAGAACAAAGCAAGACATATAGTCGAATTTCAACAAATTGATGTTTATTTTGGGTAGTTTTAGGCATTGAGTCTTAATTGAAATCTGCTTTTTGTCTTCTATCTCGATTTCATCAGATTACTCTCCGACTGTCCTGTATTTCCTCTAATGAACCAACAAAAAATGTACACATCACAGTGGTCAGTGCAAATAACATTAACAATAAGAATATATACATTAACGACGGCTGCATTGCATAGTTAAAATCGGAACGTAGTGAAAAGTCTTTTAAATGCTTTCAAGAAGCCATCGCTCTTCACTGTCAGCTTGTGTTTGCAGTTTGTCTGTGTCCACAGAAGGGCTGCAGGTGTTACATGAGGTAGCAGTGGTTACAGGAAGCGAGTGGGACTGGCTCCACGCCGCAGTGTTAGGCCCGCCGGGCTGAGCCGGCCACAGGTCTAGGAAAGCCGACGACGCAGTCGTCCCTCACACCAGCGCCGTTTGTGACCACCTCAGGTCCTTCCGCGGCTCGTCCCGGCTCAGCAGGTACTGCAGGCAAAGCATCATGGGTGTGGGAACGTGTCAGAGAGGTTGGGCTTGGCGCTTGCACCGCGAACTGAGTTGGGATCAGTTTGTGGTTAGAAACGTGGACTGATCAGATGAGAAGGCTGGGTCTCTTTTTTTTTTCCTTCAATGGTAATTCATTTATTTGACAAAACATTTGTAAAGAGAAAGATTTGAAGGAGGAAACCTGATGTATGAAAATTAAACTTGGAGTTTAATATATGAATATTTACTATACTGTTCAAAAGTCTTGAAGTTTGTCTTTTTTTTTTTCTTTTCTTGTAAGCCGAGACTTTCTTGTAATATTTTGTAATCTTGCTCAATACTTCTCCAGGCTGTTTGAAAGCATTTCAGAGTTTGCCTTTGAACTTTCTCGCTTATTTTTATTTCACTATTTTCTAAGCAATAAACACTGGATTGAGGAGCTAATGATATTTTGACAAATAATGCGACATAGTATTATTTGTTGCCTTATTATTTTTGATCTCTTTTTGTTACCAGTATTGTGGTGGTCAGAATTTGTTCTTGTTGCTTTAGTTGAATCTTAAAATATAAATAAACAAATAAATGAAACTCAGAGACAATACTTTACCAGAAATAACACAGGGTGTTTGGACTTATGGAGGTCATTTTCAAATGATTATTAGCTGAAAACTTGCAATTAGTAGTTCTGAAACTTTTAATAACAAATGCCATGAAAGGACTCAAAAAATATTTTTCAATTAAAATAAAATGATATTGCCTTTTTTGCAATCAGGTTCTAGCAAAGTTTCACTGAGACTGCAAAAGAAGCAACTACCATCTTTGGACAAGTTTGTGGTTCCTCACTGATCTGCATTTCTCTTTCCAGCCAACTGTCGTTTTTTTCTGGTTGCAAGTCAGAAAATCAGTGGAATTTGCTACTTGATGAGGTAAGTTAACAAGTTAAGTAGAATTAGAAAAACGACTAGCATTGTTTGCATTCAAATTGTAAAGCTGTCTCAATGTTCACTTGTCTTGACGTTTGTGTTGGCGTCTAAAAAAACTTTTATTTGGGTTTTGGTATTAACAAAGGAAGCACATTTTGACTGTTTTCAAACTGGGTCGAACAAAACTGTTCTCCTGCCATCACCGTCACATTAAGCATTTTGCATATCATGGTGAGCTAATATTCGTCAGTACAAACCGAGTGTCTGCATAGAGCAGCATGAGATTAAGTAATATTATTAGATTAATGTTGCAACATTTGCACTGTATTTACAGAACCTTTATAGAAGTTTGTATATGTTCAGTCCAAAAACAAAACCTTTCAACATATAACCCTCGAGATATTGTGAAGGTGTCTAAAGAAAATCCCTGATTCTCCTTCCTCTGGAGACCACATTATCTATTCTGTTCTATTTTATGAATAGTTTCTTTCTGAAATGCACATCAGTCTACATGCTGTAAAAAGTGGCCAAAATCCGATGAAAAACTGGAGAATTGTTGATCAAGGTCACTAAAGACAGCGAGAAAGTCTGATAAATTTGAACTGATCCCAAATCAGTCACACAAACAAAATTACTTTAGCAATGACCTGAATTTTTTTATTTTTTTTTTTAACCAAAATTTGAAATGAGCGTTTTTGTTGTTGTGGTGATTGCTCAAATGTTCAAGATGTCAAGGCTTCATTAAGGCATGATTCATTTTTTAGATCCAAACAGAACCAAAGCAAAAGAATCACAGTTGACTGTTGGCAGCTAACCAAAAGTACCACATCGTTCTCAAGACTTGTAGAAATAGTGCCACAGTCTGATTTTCAGACAGATGTCCGGTGTTTAATTGTCATCCTGCGGATCACTTTTTTCAAACAGTCCGCAGAAGTTTCCATCTGAAAGATTTGAGCTTCTGTGACTGCAGACAAGAAGCGGCGAGCTGTCGGGTCTTACTGTGAGGTTGTTGATGCTTTCAGACAAAGCTTCTATTTGTAAAATGGTGTTCTCTGCTTTCACCATCTGCAACACACACACGCACGCACACACACACAGACACACCTGTAACAAGTCACTGTTGTAGACATGCATGCATGGCTTCCAATAAAAATACTTAATTGTAATACATGAATGCAGTTCCAGACAAAAGTCTATGTTCTTTCATCATTGTCATATAAACCACATTCGTTTAGAATTTAACTACACAGTTAAACTCCTGTTTGCTCTGTGTGCCGATGATACAAACATATAGAGTGGTTTTTTTAATAAAACAGATTTGTTGCCTTTGATGCAGATTTTCTCAAATTCCCACAGCAGAGTCAAGTAACTCATATCGCCTCAAGCCTGCACATTAATGCCCACCAATATTTGGATTAAAAATCCATTAGAGTTGCACCTCAACCGCATGCTTTTTGTAACCATTGAAAACTTTTATGTCTGGATACTTGAATGCATTTTCTGGTAGAATAGTTGTTTATTTGCATCACATGGTTTCATGAGTCCAAAGTTTAGCAGGCTGGCTGATTAAAGGTTCATTTAAATAATTTATGTCCTCCTCTGCTTTTCCACCCACTTTGTACAAAACCTGATACTACCACCATGCAGTTATACCGTTGTAATATTGTAAAAACCTTGCACAGATAGCCCAAAATTGCTCCTTGCTGAAGTGGTTAAATGCTCAGTCTTCACTCCCTTTGACCATAAAATGTTTTCTCCATAAACATTTTGTATAACCAAATGGTCAGCTGCAAATCTTTTGAGCTCAAAAGCATAGAGTTTAGTTCATTTATTTATTTATTTTTTAGGTTGGCACATTTCCACTCGCTGTGTATTTTGTCACCGGCACACCAAAGTCACTGGTCATTGGCAAAGTCTCAACCAGTTCATCTCAGTCTTTGTGGTTCTTGAGAATCCTGACCAATTTCCTTTTTGTTCCGTTCCAGTGATTCTTTGGATCAGAGGACTTAGTATTTTGGCTCAGTTGAGTTTTCCCACATGGATCAGAAATTTCTGTCAAACCCAATTTTGTCATTAAAGTCCTGGAAATCCAAAAGCTTTTTAATGATTATGAACAATACGTAAAAGCCAAATCTACGCTTGGATGCGAATCAATTTCAATGAGCGCTGTCATTTCTAAAAGAAACCTCGCTGACGACGGCAGAAAATGTGCCTTTGATGTACATGTATATATTTGAGCCGGTATGCTCGGTTTTGACTTTTGAATTGGATCAAATCAAATTCAGTCGTGTGCATGTCACCAGGTCGTCAGTCACATGTGGAACGAATTGTTCAGTAGAACCTTAGAAACCCCAAAAATGAATGGCGTTCATGTCGATGGGTGCGTGTGAGCTTTTGGCTGAAACTGCATGTGCAATCTAAAATGGAGGTAAATTCCTAGTTTGCTGTCGAGAATCAGGATTTTTGTACCTGCAGCCAGATTCTGAGCCATGCTCATGCACTTCCATGTCACCTTTAGCAGGCGTGCCATGGTGTTCAGGGTTCTGACTGGTTAGTGGAGGCTGAAGCCACGACGGCCACTGCGACGATGAGGATGATAAAGATGAAAGCGGGTTAGTAGTTGATGCAGATTACCGAAGCATGCCGCCACAGTAAATTGGTCTTTTTCTTCATTTGATGGTGAAAATGTATAATGCGGCGTAATTCATGAAGAAATGCAACGCGTACTATAAAAATGAGATAGCAATGTGGGAAGAAGAAACAAATTTTACACACAGGATTTATTTTACTTAAATGATTTTTTTATATATAAATCTTGACATTTACAATTTTATCTTAGCAAAATGTCTTTGCTATAAAAATATTACACTCAGTTATGAAAATAACAGTATAAAAATCAACAATCAAGGTATCAAACAAAATATGCTGTAGTATCATTAGTCATGTAGTGATATAAATATTAAATAAAATCCCTCCACATACGTTATGCAAATATTGCACAAGTTCCTCTCAGACTGATCGATGAAAAATCATGCAGAGGCCGACTTCTATTAAAAAACATCTACTGGTGGCGTATGACAGCCTCTAAGTGTTCATTGAGGCTGTTCATATGTGTTGCATGAATTATTGGAGTTGATGCAACAGGAGTCCAGAGAAAGGCCTTGCTCTCTCGCGATGGGATGGATTAGGTTATTAGGCAAATGTCTGAGGTTGAGTTAGTGAGACATATTGTGAATCAGATGTTTATCAGAGCGTTTCCAGGTTTCTGGAAGCGTGAGGCACAGGTTCGGGATGATGGATGGAGTCTAAGGGAGCAGGGAGAGGTCGGGCTGCAGTCAAAGGAAGCAAAGCAGCAGCTATCATTGGATGATGGACAGCTGGAGAACGTCCATGGCGTTATCACTGGGGTTATTATGGTAACGAGTCAGCTTTGCTCTCCTTGTGCCCCACCTGGTCCCGGGTGGGTTCTCGGTCCAGAATGGGACTCAGACCTCTAAAGCCGGCGTATGGACACATCTGCACCCCGTTGGCCACAGACTGTCCGGACTCGGGCGACGAAGTCTCTATGGGACAGACGTAGTCTGTGGACTCGTCCTGCCGTCTCCTCCTCAGGTTTGTCAAGTGAGATAAGCCCAACTTCTTTGGCTGCAGAAAGGAGAGAAACGTTTAGCCTTCAAGTTCAATTTCACAACAAAAAACTTTAGAAAAATCAAACCTTTAATTTGAGTGTTTATTCAGAGGACAACATTTATTGTGAAAGAAGTTTCTAGCAAAGCACTGGTCCGACAATTAAAGGTACATCTGCTTGCTACAACTTTTACTTTTAGGACAGTTCTGTGTCTTCTACGAGATTCCAGAAAATAAAAATAATCCTAGATCGTCCAGAGTTTTAAGTTTAACTATCCACTCCAACAGGATTTGAAACAGTGGTCCATTAGAGACGCAGGGCTCATGGATTCAGTCAAGTTAATTTCTACACACATATGTTACAGATTTAACTTTTTAAATTCCTGAGAACAGATTTAGGCTAATTTATTTCTTTGCCAAGGAGATCATTCATATTTATACCTTCATGAAGTAAGAAGTTGAGGATTCCTCATTTATTTAAAAAAGTTTGATAAAAAAATATATGTTATTTTATTTGCCAGTAATTTGTGAACCTTTTGATCAGGCAGGAATAAAAATACAATATGAAAATCCAACCAAAATGATTTATTTCAGTGTTAAATTACAGGTGTTATAAATGGAATAAAATCTAAATTCACTTTAAAGCTTTTTTTTTGTTCTTGTGAAGAAAAAACGCTTTAAAGCTTTTTTAAAGCTTAAAAAAAAGAAGCAGGAAATGTAATTCAGCAACATCTGTAAAGGTTTCATCTGAGCTACTGCAGACAGAAACCATGCAGCATAAAATGCAACTACTTGGACTAGGGGAGAAATTCTCCCTTTGACAAATCTATTTTAGGGTGATTTCAGCTCTGTGGTTCATTTAACATACAGGCTTCTATTTAATATGGCTTTAGCATGACGCTTTAAAAATGCCCAACTGTTTAAGACCTTAAATAGTTCAACTGCAAGTTTTCTACTAGATTATTACTGCATTTTTAGTGAAATATTGAAGGACTTGGAGCTGAGGCTGCAGCATCCTAGAGCTTTAAGAAAAAGCAGAGGATCCTGCATTCATGCCACACTCGCAGGATTAAACTGAGAGAAGCTCAGAGATTAAACTGAGCTGACATACCGACGTCTCACCGCAGATTAAGGTGTTTTTCTTCATGCACAAAAACGGAGACGGGTTACCTGTGTGTGTTTTCTTGTATATGGGTTTTTGGATTTTCAAAACGAGCATTTTCTCATTTTCTTACCTTGACTTTAGCTGTGATGCTGAGTGGGGAATATCCTGCTGCTTCAGTGTACTCCCTCTTCTCCTGCTGAGCCTGTACTCCCACCAGGTTGTTGAAATTGGTGTTTAAGTGGCGCCTCAGCAGTGTTTTTTGAGGAGAGATGTTCAGCAGCATGGCCATTGTGTCGGAGGTAAACCGAGGCTCCAACATCTATTGGAGGATAAAAAAAAAAATAAGTAAGCTGCTTCCTTTCTTTATTTTCTGTTTGATCTCCAGTCACGACAGACGCTCACTATCAGCCCTCCGTGCACGCCGCTGCCCCTCAGGTTGGGAGCGTACTCTGCCAGGTCCACAGATCTCAGCCACTCCATGACCCGGTGGTTGGACCACTGGACCACTTCGCTGGGGCTGAACTCATTCTGAGAGGCAGAGGAACAAGAATGAAAGTTTGTCAGGTTTTTTTTCTTTGATGTCATAATAAATCGCATGAATTAAATCCTGATTTGAGTGTCTGTTAACTATCACTTCAATAGCGGATGTCATGATATACTTATATATTCGTGGTGCCACCATGCTGATCCAATTCAAACACATATTGAACGTTGTGCTGTGGGTCTGCTGTACCAAAGCCAAATGATTATTAAGATAAACAAATCTCAATAGCGCATTGTAAAAGTTGCCTCTTATGTGTCTATGAGATTTGTTATGCAAGCCAAGTACTTGTGTGCAGCACATGTACTTTATTATTACACAGTATAGTTCGGAAAAAGCACAGAGACGTTTATCTAATCCCAAAAATATAAACATAGGGAAACAAATTAAGCTTTATAATCTTGAAAGACGTTTTGCGCACGTGGGAATCAAATACCTCATTTCCAGGTCTGCGTCTAAGGCAGTTTGGGTTAAATTTGTTGACATGAAGAACATGAATGGCACACTTGATGCTGAGATGATGCAGCTGGCTGGTAACTTTGAGAAACAACAGATCATTCTAAGATGGACAAGAAGAAAACAGAGCAGGTTGTTCATCCTGTGAAAGCAAATGAAATGTTCCTCGCGCTGCTGTACGTCGGTGAAACCCCAAATAGAAAACTCACCACAGTGAGGTACTGCAGCATCTGCCCGTCCACTCTCCCATCATTAAACTGATCTTTGTACTGAGGGAGGCCGATGTCATCAAGCCAACCTGGAACAAAGAAAGAACAAAGTGGATTTATGAAGGAAACTCTTCAGGAAACAACTTAACGCAACAAAGCATTTTGGAATGGATTACATACGAGTGACCCAAACATAATCGAGCTCTGCAGATTTTTCTGGCTGCTTGCTACAGATGCTCTTTAAGGACAGCTGGAGCTTCTTCCTGTGGAGTGGATTCTTCATCGCCAGCTCCTGCAGACAAAATGGAAAGAGTTAAATAAAAATAAAAAACCAAGTAGGCTTAGGAGCAAAGAGGAGTCGAGCTGATTTATGAGGCTCATGAAACAAACAGGCAGCTTTTGTAATTAAGAGCAATAAAATTCACATTGATCAAGATGCAACTAAAAAAGCTGGCTGAAAAGCAGAGATGGGCGTAATGAAATAACAAACAGAGGCAAAGATCAGACAAGACGAGCTGAAAATTACACGGATACGCCTGCAGACAGTTCAGATTGTTAGTGCCTCAGGTGACATTCACATGAATCGAGTAAGAATATTTGTGCGTGACTTACCTTCTCTAGGTTGTGTGGGGTTGCCGCCAGCAGAGTCTGACCACTGCTGACCCAGTTGTGAGCGAGAAGGCCATACTGACCAAGTCCGATGTCCTCCAGCCAGTCGCAAACCTGCTCTGTGCTCCACTTAGAAAATGGCAACTTGAGATCTCTGGTAGAACGACACAGCACAGTTCAAAAGGCGATAATGGTTTTTGTAATGCTTGCACACAATAGGAACAGTTGAAAGTTTCTCAATGTGCTTAGTAGTTCCAACACTTGATCATTCCACCATCCCCCTCTATTTATGGCCATTATTTCCCCAAGCATGCATCCATGAAGCAACCTGACGTTAACAGTTGCTTTCCACTCCACTCATGGTTGTGCCTGATGTAGATGCACCAGCCGCTTGCAAACAGAATCATTTATACATCTGTCACTCCTTTCCAATTGCTCTAAACGATGTCCAAATATTGTTTGTGGAGGCCCAAACTTTTTGACTGTGAATGCGCTTCAACCATTCATGAATGTGAAACTAAAGTTATCTTCAGACAAACGTTTTCACTTCATAGAAGTTAGATTCTATGCCACAGCTTAGTTCAGTGTGTGTTCAGTTTAGATTTTGGTAGACTTCATTAGAAAATAAACATGTTGTACCGTTGTTTCCCTGAACGGGTCAGCCTCGGCCCAGCTGTAGCTCGGAAGCCGCCCCTCTTGAAATCTCCCATCTCTGGATCGTGAACCTGAACTGGGCTGCCCGACTGACTGCGACGAATTCTGGACACAAATAGAAATGATACGTTTGTCCTGTTCTGTGCCCACTTTTTATGTGTTCTGCACAGCTTTGCTTCTTACCTTCCCCAGAATTTCTTAATGCCTCTGTGACTCTTCCTTTTCTCAGGAGAGACAGGTGACTGTTGTCCTGAGTCCACTCCAGAGGACAGGGGGGACTCTTCCAGTTTCCCTGCGTGGTCTGACAGGCATAAACAGCACATGGTCACAATCAATGCGGCGTTGCATTTTATTTTCCTTGATTTGTTATGGGCCAAAACCCGTATGCTTGGGTTGACAGACAAGAGCAACCTGTAACAAAATTCAAGCTTGAATTAAATACATAAACCCCCGAAACAAGCTGGAGATGGCGACCAGATGTGATTCCAGGGAATTGGTAACCAACAACAAAGATGGAAAGGATCACAATGAGATGCAAAATGACAATGCAAACAGAAGTCAGCAACCACCAACAAAACATGATGGGAAACAATACCTGGAAAATAATCATCGTTGAAGAATGGAACTTCAAAGATGAACGTAACAGCACAGATATGAAGACATGAACAGGAAGTTACAAAGTGCCAGAAATGATGCAACTGAATAAACTCAAAAACAAACAGCAAAAAACTGCTGCTTTAAAAAAAAACACAAAAAACAAACAAAAACAAAAAAACACGTTTTGTGCAGAAATAGTTTTCAGACTGTAAAAATAACTCTTTTCAAGCAGAACGCTTTGAGCACGTTTAGTTATTTCCCTGATGAGATGCAGTACCCACCAACATCATAGAGGTCATGTTTCCCTGGAGATCCTGAGACATTGATGGTTAGTGCAGCGAGAAAAAAGCAGGAAGAACAAAGCAGAGGCCAGCATTAGTCACACCTACATGATCTTCAAAATAAATGCTGCAATACATTCTCCTTTTTTACAGTCAAGGACATGCAGATTTGTTTTTTACATTTTTAAACTCCAGTTAAAGCTGTTGCCTCCAGTGGCAAAAGTATATGTTTCAGTTTCACTTTTATTTCTAGACTTACTTCTTCACATTAATATCTTGCTCTGAAATACAGAGCAGACTGTAACAGAAAAAGGAAGTCAGTTCATGTCAAATTTATTCACTTTGGTATGCTTTTTCAAGCTGATCTGCCCACATCCTTTAAGTCTGCACTCTTCGTCCTCTGTACCTTTGATTCGCCTCCTACTTTAAGCTCTGGCTACATAACAACATAAACAGAGTGGTGGCCATGAGCTTATACGGCGAACTTAAAGTTTTAGCAAATGCTGATGTCAGAGAAGGAGCCAGGGTTTATCGTCATCGGCCCTCTCGAGTCAGGAGGGAATCCTACTAATCCTGGCTTTAGAGCTGCTTGATCCTCGGTGAAAACCTTTTCCCGGTCTGACTATGTTCACTTCAGAGGCTTTACTGTGACAGGGAAAATCCTGTTTTCTCCTGGAGCTAAGTGCTGTTTTTGTTTCCCTGACTTCAGCGCGGGAACAACAGAGAGGACATACAGTACCTAAAGCTGGTGCGCTGGCACTCCTGCACCGAACTGTTGTCAGAACAGAAAGACCAATCCATTAGCAAGATGACAGGAGACGGGGGAAAAAAATGAAAAAGAGCACAAACATGAAGCAGCTGAAGCAGAGTATGTCAAAAAGAGTTATTGGGAGATTATAATTAGGTTTTCATATAAAACAGTTGCTTAAAATAACCCAGCAAACATCAGTTATGACCACTATGTGTGTCATTGAACCCCCTTTTCCTAACTATATCCTGCATTAGTTGGGCAACCAATAGGTTTTAGCTTTCCTGCAAACGGGAACAATTTCTTAAAATTGCACAAGCAAGACCTCTATAACTCATATGAGTTCCAGTTTATAACCTGAGTTGACCTGAGTTTGTGAAGTTGACAAGTGACCATTACAAAACAGAAGGACCGTTCCGCCTGGGAGCCCTTAGTCAACCCTTTTTGTCCACCGTCATAAAGTAACACTGTTTAACACAAACAAAAAAGTTCTCACTTGCAATATCCAGGATATTTATACCAAATAAACAATGTCACTTTGTCATGACACAAAAATAGCTGCAATAATACACAATTTTTCCTCCCTTCCTGTCAATGTATTGACAGTAGGGTTATGGTACTTTTAAAAAATTTGTATTAGTGACATGTAGGCCCATTGGCATGGATTTATATGGTCTGCCAAAGATGAGTTCTCCTTGTGGTAGACAGAAAGCATGACAATTTAATGAAATAAAATGCTTCACTTAACGATAGAACATGACAGTCCACAGATTTTAAAAATAAGATTAACATAAATCCTTTCATATCACCAGGTGAAAACGCACCATAAATACTCACCCAGGGTATAGTCTTTGCTGTGGTTGTGGGCAGGAGATAAATACTCTGTCTCTCCGCCTCTGCTGCTGCTGTTCAGCTCATCCTTGGGTTCTTTCTTTTTACTCAGTTTTCCTGGCAGAGTTTGGTACTTGCTCGGCTCCATTTGTGGACTCTGCCAGTGGAAAAGCATACAATTTAACATTTTTAAACCCTGGTTTGTGATCTTTTAAAATCATTTACTATTATCTAACAACCATATATATACGTATATGTAATTTGTTGCGTCCATTATTCACAAAATGTGTGGCTTTTCTCCTTTTAAAATCAATCCCCATGAACACAATTGCTATTTCAAGTATCTGCAAATCTGATATTCTCGTAAAAAGCATGGTTTGTCCACTGAATTGTGTTTTGAATCCATCTTTCTTAAGGTGAGATGACCTTCCACTCCATTGCATAACAACATGTCCTTTGGAGGTTGAATGTCTGACGATGCAAGAATCTGAGCAGGCATCAAAGTCAGCAGGGGGCTCTGGAGGAACAACTGGAGAAAGGCCAACAGACAGAAACAGCTCGGAGGCAGCGATGATGCCAAGCGCTGCAGACAGCTTCTTCAGGTAGGTCTTGGCCCTTTTGTTTGTGTGTATGTGTTTGTGGAAATGTTTTTCATGCATAGGAATCATTTGCTTCTTTCACTGAAATAAAAAAAAAAATAAAATAAAATCTGGCTGCAGTTCATTAGAGATCAAAAGGCCAAAGTGCAGCTGAAGTGTCATATCACAATGTTTTGGTGCGAGTTAAGTTTAGAAATGGGGACACACTTGGTGTATACAGGCAATTATTCTCTGCTACTATTAGTTGAAAATCAATTGTAGCCATATATTTATGTATAAATAAAAAGAACAGATTTTATTTCTAAAAGGTGGTATTGCACTGAGCTTAGTTCATACAATTATGTGCAACGGTTTTGTGGCATCCCTTATTTCTTTACATCCCATAAAAAAGCAGCGAAAGCCAAAAGAAAACCTCTATAAACCGTGAAGAATTATTTAGCTTTTCACGAATCGGTGAACTATGAAGCGTGTAGTGCGAGGAGACATGTCGACATGCAGCGGATCAGTACCTCTGCCCCTACGCCTGATTCAGTTTCAGCTGGCTGGATCTCTCCAGCCTGAAAGTAACAGAAAGAGAGGAGGAACGAAAACATGCAAACACACAGAATTAGCAGGTTAGCAATTCCAGGGATTAAAAGAGTGTGGATCAAGTTAGGACCTCTTTACAAAAGATTAAGACTTTCACAGTAAAGAAGAAAAATCAGCATGGATGTGGATGACCTTTATAGATACATAGACTGTCTTTCTAGGCTGCAGTAGTCAGTCAAACTATTTTGGGAAAGCACGAAACTCCACAGGGAGGTCCGGTGGTCCCCTATCGGGATGGCAGCACATTGGCGTTTTGTTGCAGCCTGGTGGGTTTATAGTGGCAGCTTATGTAGGACATGTGACCTCTTCAAAACAGCATGCATTGTTCATCAAGGAATGTGAAGCAGGACTGGGCTTTATCTAAAACTCCTACTTCATTATAGAAACGCTGCGATGGCAGTAGTCTATGTAAGTTGTTAAAAATCTTTCCACCATTGCTGCCAAATGCATTAAATCCAGCAGCTGCTCTTACTGTAGACAGAAGAAACTCAACAACAATTTACACTTTCAGCTTCTTGCTTATACACAGAGCAACATGCTCAGAAAATGCTGCTGATAAGCTGGTGAAAATGCTGGTGGTCTTCCACTAAAGTTTGAAAAAAAAGGTTGGCGGTTTCTGCATTATTAGTTTCAACATCTCGGCAGAAGAACAAACTATCAGCTTCAACCTTACTGTTTGTGTCTGCTGAAAAACTGATGGTGGAGGCACTGAAACCTCCATGTAAACAGGTATGTAGTAAGGAAACAGAGTGATATAAAAAAGCATTGTGGTAGATTGAAAACATTTGGGAAATCCCATCCATCAGTTGCCAAGATCACTATAAAGGGGCATCATTTTTATATACATAAATGCAGAGAGGACATTTTGTAAAACGTTCACCATCCAACTACATTTGGAGTCCTTGGATAATGGTCTTAATCCAGTGTAAAGGGGTCCTTAGAAAGAGCTGAAGTCGTGTACTTCTAGGTGACATATTAAGAAAGAGTGATAGAAGCGAATATGGAGAGCTGCATTTGGTTAATAGATTAGTTGCAGAGTTTTAAAAACTGATTAGTATCAGATAAGAGACCTTTTGAAAAGATCCACTTTGCAACTCTTCAAGACTGCTGGAGAGTAATCTGCGTCGATGCCTAGAAAATAAATCAGGATGTGTTTTTGGAAAGCTTTCAAACTGTTGCAAGACAAAGTGACAAACTGCAGCAGAGCTTACAATGATCCATTTAAGAAACTTGCATCACCAGTTGTCACCAACGAAGTGTCTATGGAGTGCTGGAAACTGAAAGACATGGCAAATGGAGTTAGTCACAGTAATAAAAATCTAGTTGGGAGTGTTTCCTCTGAACATATAAAGCATTTGTACCTTGACTCAAGTCCTCTCTGAAAGGGAGATGAATACAGCATGAGTGGAGAAGACCCTCTTGATGACATCTGTGCAAAAATAATAAAACATTCATGGCTTAAGACATCAAACTTCAAACCCACTATGCAGACTTTCTTCATATTTTCCAGGTTATGATCTTACCTCTGATCTGACGATATCAGAATGGGCTTTGTGTGTTATGGCTTTTAAATTCAAGCTGCCACTCAGCTCCTCTTCACTACTTCCTGTTGGTTAACATCAGGAGTTATTAATGTTTATAACCCCCCAAAAAAAACCTACACAAACATGACTTACCATGTGTAAGTGACATAATTTCCCTCATTTTTCTGTATTGACCAAGCAGGATAGTCAGCTCCTCTATACGACGATCCTGTTTTCACCAAATTCAAACAACATGGAGTTTGTTTGATTTTTTTAATCAAAGAAATCCAACCATGATAGCATTAACAGTAGAAACATTTTATTCACCTTTTCATCATTTGAGGCCAACAAAGACTCCATCCCCACCTTCAGCCTCTGGTATTCTTGGTCTAACAGAGTGAAAAGGAGACACTTTCAATTGGATCTTGGACAGCTCTCATGTACGTTTGTTCACGCTGTCTGATGGGTGCCTGGAGCCGAGCTGGAGACAGATGTGACAGCCATGCTAACGCGAATGAACAAGCAAAGCAAATGCATGGTGACAGCACAAGTGGCCACACACCATCACCTGGAACAAACACTGCAGTTTGACGACTGAGTAAAGACGAATGAGGTCAACACAAAAACCAGCCTGTGTTCACTGTCCAAAAGCATCCTTTAAAATACTAACGCATATCTGAGAAGGTCAACTAAACACTTTGGTTTGGTCCTTTAACTACCACTAATTTAGAGCTTAGTTACACAAAATATCTAATAAATATCTATAGTTCCTCAACTGTGCTACACTGAAAGGGGTTTTAATTATTGGGTGTTTGTATTATTTTTGTTGGAACGACTGCTTCATTGCATTCCTGCTAATTCAAACTAAATCTGACATAAATGTCACATTTTGAAATAAGCTGGTAACTAGAATGGGACAATATTTCATATATATATATATATACACATATATCTCTATATATATATATATATATATATATATATATATATATAAATTTAATTTCTATATAAATTAAACCTTATGTGCTGATTTAAAAGGATGCAGGAAGTTTTTGTGCTTTTTAAATGCTTTGACACACAATAATTCTGGTCTGGTCTCAAATCAAACTCGATCTGATTTATCGACCTCTCCAGAGGCCAGATTGATAAATGACCAATTACTTCCATTTTTTTTTTCTAATTTGCTGAAATGTAAATCTTAATTGCAGAACGTTTGGTTGGAAACCAGATCCACGAGAACATCAAGCTCACCATGCCTTACATTTGCTAATCAGCTGCTTGATATACACCTCCTCTACAGCAGAGGGCAGCAGAGAGTCAAGAACAGGTAAAGTACTTATCAGAGGAGAAAGGGACACGTTGGTTATGTGTTAAGAGTAATCAGAATTGACAGTCTTGCATTTTGCTGGCTGCCTCTCACTTCGGCGCTGACTGATGTGAGTCTGTGAGAGTGAGTCAGGTTGTCAGTCAGGTTGTCAGCCGTGCGTACCTCTCTCTGCGTTGTTGTTGGCGGTGCCGCCTCTGGCCAGCAGCTGGGTCTGTAAGCACTCGATCTCTGTGTCTTTAGAGACCAAAAGCTGCTGCAGCTCTGAGATTTCTGCCTGTGAACAGAAGCAATGTAGATAACTGTGAGCTGGCTTGCAGTTCTGGGTCTCTAAATATCAAAAGGGGTTTGAGGTGACCAGTGCAGATACCTCAGTGAGTCAAGGAACTCTCCCATAAATTTTGCTAAAGCCATGTGAGGTATTTTACTGATCAGCATCCTATAAACTGTATTTTCAAATAGAGTTTGAAAAAAAATGTAAGAGTCCTTCTGTGGCAGTGAAACTGGTAGCATTGCCATGTAACATTAATAACCATCTGACAGATGTCATGTCTCCAAGTCAAGTATGACCATTGGGTGCCGATGCTCCCTCCCTAAAACCTCGGGGCCCAGGAGGTCTGATTTCCATGATAATTTTAAATGGAGTGGATGTGTGAACAATGTATATATTTTTAGGTCTAGCCACCGATTATTAAGGTACAGTGACTCATCCATTCAAATAAATTAATGTTTTTTCATCTAAAAACCATTCAGTTCAAGCTCTGGCTTCACAATTAGGCTAAAAGGTGAACATCATACTGAATCGCAAATCTTTTGCACACAAATATAAATATATGTTTGCATTGAATTGCAAACGTGGTACAATGAATCACAAAATTGTAATGTAGCAGTAGTAGAGCCTTAGCTAAAGGTTATCTTTAGCCCCATCTGGCTACTTCTTAGAAAACCTACTGTACATGGCCTGAAATAGTGTGGAAGTGGGACCAAAAGCAATGAATTTAAACTTCTTGGTTCCACTGGGAGATGACCCCAATGGTAAGTCTACCAGCTAAATAAATAATTTCTCAACAAAATTAATTTCTTGCATCTTTGGAGCTAAACAAAATGAGAATCTAGATGTTATTTACATAAAACAAGTGCACTCCTGAGGTAGTTAATCAGCGATGACAAATAGTTTAACAGGAAGTGGTCATTGTTGAGCTGCAGAAAACAGGAGTCAAAAACCAGTTTGATGCACAGACGTTTGTGGTTATTCTAGCCTGTTATGAATGTTAGCTAAATGCCTCTTAAAGCTGCTTTTCAAAAGAAGCATTGATGCTACGGTAGAAGTCGAGAATGAAGGCGGAGGCAGCCAAAACCACGGAATAATTCAGAGGATCAAGATTGATTTGGAATCAAGGCCGCTTCTTTTCTAGAAGTAAAGCCTCCAGGCAGACACAGCCCATGCATTCACAGTAGCATTATATGGACACAATCAATGCAAACTTGCATATAAAAAAAGTGAGGACAGGAAAATTCACCTTCAGTAGTTTGCTTCTGGACATAACAGCACATAGACACGCTAACATAAACTTTAATAAAACCAAAAGTAAATGCATAAGAGGATTGAAAAACATTAAGTCACCAAAAGGCAGGGGAACAACTGAGTTCATCAGCGAAAAGAAAGGCTGTAAACCCAAAATAGCACAAATAGGACGACGCATGGCCGAGAGGAACACTGAGAGCAAAGAGGGGCCGCATTGTTGGGGGCGATCTCAAAAAGAAGAGGCAGGCGGCGCATTGAGATTAAAAAGAGAACAAAAAACTCATAAAAGTGATGGAAGCGAAGAGCAGAAGGAAGAGGAGGCACCTGTGCGCTGCGCCAGCGCTCCTCCCAGTGCTGCTTCTCCAGCTGTGTGTGCTCCACAGTCAGCTTGAGGCTGGACAGCTGGGTCATGAGCGACTGGTAACACACATGGAGAGAGTAAGAGATGGAGAGCTGGAGAGGGGACGGCAGGAAGAGAGTAATCACGAGTGAGGGAGGGAAAAAAGTGAAGAGAGCAAGCCACAGAGAGGAGTTAATTGAGGAGGAGACAAGAGGATAGAGAGAGTGAAAGAAGGGGAAGGAGAGGAGGAAAGGAGCACTGTGAGCACAGAAAAGCAACAGCAGTTTGACCTTTAGATTAATCGGTAAGAAGCAATGTGTTAGACGTTTAGTTTTTAACTTTGCTGTTATATATAAATAATACATGTAAAAGCACAATCGACCACATATGCTTATACTCTAGTTTATTAGTGAAGACAAGAAACTTCTAGTCTCTGCTGTTTGTGTTTTTGGAAATGTCCTCCTGCAGTTTACTTCAACTTATATCAGCCTACTGTGTGATAAATGATAAAGATCTGATATAATGAAACAATATAAGCCCCACAGCTGATTTCCCTTCTGAATCGTACTGGCACTAACACAAAGAGAACATCTGTTTCTTGTTCTGCACATGTCTGTGGTAAAACACACCACATGTGACATGTGCATCCACGTGTGAGCAGAGCGAATCAACTCTGTGTACCTTGGTGGCCCTGAGTTTCCTCTCATACTGGTTCTTTTCTCCCTCCAGCTCCTGCACTTTGCTTGTCAGCTGCTTGACTTCTTGAAGCAAATCCTGCAGACAAACCAAACATATTACTATTTTTAGAAGGTCAAAAGATAGATTTATCAACTTGTCCCCCCCAAGCCCCGAAGGTTTCAGAGTGGGCTGTATGCATGCTAACATATGAATGGGACTGGAGTCATCAGGCTCATGTGCAGTTATAAAAAGGGTTCCAGGGCTGTACAGTGCTCTGGTTAATATGGGGAAACATGATCCTCCTGAAACAGACACCACAACGTGCAGTTATCAGCAGCCAGGGAAAGAATAAACCCAAAAAAACACGACCGGAAGGCGTCCAGGTAGCACATCTGCCCGCTGACCGTTACCACTGTATGAGGGAAACCTTGTACTGCCATAATTATCATTACATGACCCATCCACCTGGTCAGAGTAGGAGGAAGCGGACATAAACTTTGTTAGTAACCAGAGCAGTAATCATCATGCAAACAATCAAACCACATCCGATCCAACGGAAATATAACACTGACCCAAAAACACTGATTTGAAGAGATTTATGAAAGAAAACTCATTTTAGGTGAAAATGTCTTCCAAATGTTTCAGTTATTTAAGGAGCAAAAGCAGAGGGAGATTGCTGAGGCTCTACCATCAGTCAGAGGTGCAGTAATCTTTGCGTTTACTGGACAAAATGTGTAAAATGAGATAAAGATGTATAGAAAACATATTTTCTCATCAAACAATATGAACAGGCCCACTTTCAGTTTTCAGTCTGAATCCACCATTTTTATTTCTAATTTCTTGGCAATTAGGAAAAAATCTAAGATGCCAGCCTCTCTAACAATATCCCCAGGGCCTTCAGAAGAGAACCAGACCCACAGCAACATTTATTTCTTTTACACATCTTGAACAGTGCCACCCACTGCCATTTGCGGTGGCATGCACTACAAATGCCTCAAATTTTGAAGCACTTATTGGGCTGCAGCTCCTCAAATAAATGGAAGCATTTGGAAAACTAATTGAAAGTTTAGATTTCTGCCAAAACCACTGCAGAACGTTACCCCAACATCCTGAGGGCCACATACAGATGCTCCACTCCAAACACACAACAAGAGAGGTTGTTAGTTTGATTCTGTGGAAATTTCCAAATACCAGCAGAGGTTTGTGGACTAGTTAAGAAGGGAGAGGAGAAGAGAAGGAAATATGGTGGAAGTATTGTAAGAGGAGTTCTTCCATCATCAGTTTCCATACATGCACAGTCTGTCTTTCTCCACTGTGTTTCAGAGAAGCAGAGCTCAGGTTTGACCCAGCATTAGGATCGGCGCTCTGAACTGGGTGGCCACTTGGGTCCCCCTGTTGGGCTTCCTTCTCCTCAAGTGCCCGCTTCTCCTGGATGCGAGTGCTGATCTCCTCCTGAAACTTGCACATCTGCTCCTGGAGCTCACTGATGAGATTTACCACACACTGGCAGGGATGGAGGATAAATGAGAAGAGGCAGACGATGTCAAATGGAGAGATGTAAGGAGAGGGAAAGAGAAATACACTGACGTTAGATGCAACAATAGGAAGAAAAAAAGAGAGAAGATGATCATTGGATGACTTGTTTCTTAATTTAGTCTGCAGATGGATTATGTCTTCTAATGTCTCGAACTCCCCTGGCTGTGGATTGAAATGCAATTTGAAGAACAGCAAGCATAATAAACAGAAAAAAGCCACACAAAACTTTTATTTGACTGGGGAACAATTACAATGTTGTTACAATTACAACAACATTGTAATTGTAACAATGTTGTTGTAACAATGAATAAGTCAGCCTTGGGTTAATCAGAGGCTAGGCATCTTTCCTCTCCATCTCACATTGCTGAAATACTGTGACACATAGATACATGTTCAAATATGTAAACTGGACATGCGTCAGGCTTTGTGCTCCACTTCCCCACAGGTACCATGTGACGACTGACAGGAAAGGAGAGGGATGAGCTGATAGATTTCTCTGGGGTTAGTGGTAGAAGCAGAGGGTCCAGGTAAGTGTGGAGAGTCGAGGAAAAAAACATCTCATGGTTTAAAAGGCAGATGCGCACACTTGATAATTCACTGTTAGGTGGGCTGTACTGTGCTAATTCACAGTCCTACTGTGCAAAAGTTATGACCTTCTTAATTTATCTTCTCTAAAAGAAAGGAATAAGATCAGCACAATGCAAAACAAAATCATTTCAGGGCTAAAACAATTTGATGTGATGAATAAAAAGCAAACAAACTGATACATAAAAAGTCAGTAATGACCTGACTTAAAGATGCATTTTTCTTCTGCTGATCATCCGCTGTATGCAAAGCCTTAAGCTGTAAGGTGGGAATGACTTTTTTCTTTTTCTGTCTCAGTATACTTTGATTTTTTATTTATTTAATAAATTCAATGTAATTGTAACATGCAGCTCGTATAGTGCCAAAATACCAAAATGAAAATTGATTATTGGCTTAGTTAGACAAAAAAAAAAAAAAAAAAAAAAAAAAGATAAGTAAATTGTATCTTTTTATTTTTAATGTAACTTGACAATAAGTAAACATAACTGGGTTTCTTAGCTGTATGAGTGGAAAATCAATTTCCATGTTTTGATTTTTTTAACAGTCATTTAACCCAGTGGTTGGATTTTTGTTTGTGGTTTGCTAAGTTGTTCTACATCACTTTTTGTAGGGAAAATTAGCAATGAAAGTTTACGGCAGTGCGTGCGAGTAGCGTAAACTCAGGGTACATTTGTCATATTAGAGTTAAGCTTGTTAGCCAGAAAGGTTCTAAAACCCATTAATCTTTTGACTGAAGGATATTTTTTCCAACTTAAAAGTCAAAGGTAAAAAATACAAATATAAATATTTTTATTGAAAATTATTATAGGACTAAAAAAGAAAAAAAGCAGCATCAAAGACAAACATTGGAAAAACCTTTACAAATTCTGTCTATGACTGAAAACCACTTTAAAATATTACAAGCAAGACAGGTTGTGTGGAAGCAAAATCAAAGTTATATTTTAATCAATTTCCAGCTATTTTTAGTCTAAGCAGAATGATAGTTATCTCCAGGATGAGCCTTTTTTTGTCTCCATCTTCCAAAGTTCAGATCCACAAGAATGAGAAAGACTAGATGAGAAGATAGAAAGGGGGAGCGATAAAAACAGGAGCAGTGAGGAAAACAAAAACACACATATCCCTTGTTTTATACAAAATAACTTGATAAATGCTTGCCCAGGAAAACAGCCTCATCTCACAGTCGTGAAATATTTCAGAAGCCTGTCGCATAACCTGAAAAATGCACCATCAAACTAAACGCGTCATTCCCAGGTGGCTGCAAGTTTTTTTTTCGGCGTCGTGCTGGTGGAGTTTCCTGAGGTGAAAGTGTTTTACCCCCAGGAATGCTCAGAATGGATGCCTGTCATTCCTCCTGACAGCTCACTGGAGCCTTGCAGCTGTTACAAAGCGCGCACAAAAACACACGTCGTTACTTTTACCGTTCCAGCTCCCATCGCTCCAACTAAAGCTAAAGATCACAGCTTTGTAGAAGAATAGTTGGCTCTGAGAGCCTTGGGACCTTTCTCCACACAGTTCAATAAACAAAATATTTTAAAGGATACATTCTTCAGAGGGGCTTTGTGAAGTTGATACCAGCTGTCAGTGTCTGACACCCTGCAGAGGTTAGTCTACATTGTTGTCTTAACTGTGTTTGGACACATCACAGTGTGTCCAAACCTGTTCTGTTTACAAGTGTTGCAAGTTTTGTGAAAAAGCAACAAAACAACCACCCACAGGTGAGGTCCAAGTATCTAAGTTGCCTCTTTAATAGGCCAGTTTCTTTATGTATTAATGGTGAGAATCAAAATGGATCATTTAAAATGTTTTTGTTTTACTTAGTGTGGGCGAGCTATTGACTGCTTGGAGCCTCTACACTAAATCCTACTTCAATCAACCAGAAGCATCTAACAGGCAAAAGAAATACATGAGAATTAGGAATCCCAACCATGTTCATTCTTAGTAACTTACACATGCAAAACAGAGGTGAAGGGGCAATGTGTGACTGATTGGTAACCTCACTCAAACACTCATTTCTCTTTGACAAACTCAAAGGTAAACAGTTGACTAATAATGGCACTCAAACTCTTGCATATGACAAAATCTATTTTTTGTCAACCAGTAGAATATAGTGTGAAAATTAGCTCTAGAGAGCTACCAGAATAGAACGATTGACGAGGAGATGGAGCTGCACATATGACGTTTAGAAAGAAATTGAGCTCAGCTCAGCTTTTCATCTACTTTTCTGAGAGAAACCAACATTATAAATGTCTCTGGTAGAGTCTGGTCACACCATGGATCACTTATAGAATCAAACAGATGACGGTTTTAGGCAACAGGATTTGTATTGCAAATATCTTTCCTGGTAACGATGCACGGCTTATAAGACAGGTTTGTTTTAACAGCACATCCTTTCCATTCAGATTTTTTTCTGTTTTCAATCATCATGTTACCTCCCACTTGCTGCTTCCTCCTCCCTGTCTGCTACTGCTGATGCTTATCACTTTCCATCCATATATTACTGGCCTCTGCACGTCTAGAATGCCGCATCAAGTTTATTCAGTGGAAACACAGCCCTTCTTAATGCCAAACAACAAGAGCTTTCTGAGGCTCTGCTGTGCCAGTGGGGAGCAGCTTAGTGTCAAAAGAAACAAATTGCACACAAAGAAAATAACTATCACAAAAGAAGACAGCTAAACAGATAAGGCTGGAACACATGCATTTGAGCGTTATTATTTGAGACCCATGAAGGTCTTAATGAGATTGTTTCAACCTTCAGTGGAGCAGAAACTTCCTGCTAAGCTGAATAGAAACTCTGATTCAGAGACACACAACACGCAACCTTTCACTTTCTATAAATTACATCACCTCAACAGGTTTTCATGCAACTGCTGCATCTCTTAGAATACGATACAGTTTTAAATTATACGTTACATTTTCCTGTATTGAATCTCATGGAACCATAAATAGTGATGGCATGTGGTGTCCTGGGTTATTTTTCAGCTCAACTTTGGAATGACGTTAAATCTTTCATTGCAAATTATATAACGGAGCGCTGTCCATTAGAAATAAACAGAGGAAATTTAATTTCTTTTGCAGGGAGCTTTTTAATCACATTGCAATCTTGTGATATTTTGAAGGCCTGAAGGTGAAGTACGCGTTCTTTCTTTAAAAGATTTTGCAATGAGACTATTTTTGTACTTTGAACTTAATAGCTGTTGTGGAAACCACCTGATGTGTTCTGGCTTGTTTGAGAGTTTCAGTGCTTAGATGCGTCTCTCACCAAGGATACCACTGTTAACTGTGCCAGTGACTTTTTGTGGTCTTGGAATATTTTTGTTGCATTCATATTGCATAAGTAATAGTTTCAAAACAAAAGAGCAGGTCTTTCATCACCTGATTACTATTGCACTTACTTTTGGCACAGACCTGTGGAAAAAAAAAAACTTTATGGATGTGTGCTTTGTTGACTCGTTTTAGAGGGACATTCCAACCAATAAGACAACAGGAAAACTTTTGCAATCAACAGTATCTTCCAGATTTAATTACTGCTACTGGTGTATTGCACAAAGTGAATGGTAAAGTGATGACCGAGACCTACATTGAAAGTCTGTAACTTCACCTCAAATCAAGAGTTGGTTAAACAAGGTTGTGAGTTCTAACCAAACACTCATCAAAAGGCTCTTGGGGTAGAGAAAGAATGACACTTGATGAAACCTCATCAACAATTTATGGACTACTTCAATTAACTGAGTTTGTGCCAAGAAATCCAACCGATTTAAATTAACTTGCACATTTTTAATATGAAAGAGTGGTCAATTGTCCAGAAGCTTGCTGTTTGGCTGAAAATGGCCATCATTCAAATGAAACTCGCTAAAAGAAAAACAAACAACCTTTTAACCAAATACTAAAGCTAATGTATATGTATATTTATGATGCTACGGCACAGTTTGTTCACTTAGAGTCAGATTAAACACAAATTCAAATTTGTCCACCCAATTCAATTTTTTAAATGTTTTTTTAGAAAACTACTGAACAAAAACGACACTCTAGGAAATTTACAATTAAGGAAATTGTTCACAGAACGAAAATGGCATTTTTGCTGTCTTTGAGTGAAGTTGGTTGACATCCCATACCTCAGCTTTGCTGTTCTTTGCATTTGCAGCATCCTGAGGGTTTGTGCTCGTTCGTGTTTCCTCCATGGTGACCAGCTTCAGCTTCAGGTAGGACACTTCATCCATTAGATCCAGCTTCTGTGTCTCCAGAGAAGTCCTGCTCCTCAGCTCCTGAAAAACAAACAAACAATGAATGTACTCTGTAGATCCGATTCCACACATGGAAGAAGAAAAAAAACACTTATGTTGCTTTTGAAAAACCCAGGAGCAGAAAATGTTTTACATGTGTCGTTCATGCAAGGATTCCACTCAGCACAATCTTCTTCCCACACTATGAGAAGTCTGGCTGGGGGATAAAGACCCCACAAAGCTAAATATACATGCTCTCACGCACACACAGGCTTGCTGCAAACTATTAATAACGCTGTCCTTCATTGGTAGAGAGGAAAAGAAAGCATGTCTGGAAAAGACGCAGATAAGAGATGTAGTCTCCCATGAGCATGATAAAGTTTTAGTTTTTATGACTCGTATGTAAGCTTTCAATTCCTCATTCAAACTACTTCCAATTCCTCTTATGCGTCTACAAAAATCAAACGTTAGCTGTAAATGTCATCATCTTGACCAAAATACTTTTGAGAGAAATTGAAAAGGAAATTAACTAGTGATTTTTTTTTTCCATCTCAGTATTAATCCAAGAATATGATCGTCCTTTTTTTCTGAAGTTGTCATCCGGGGTGTCTTGTCGAGTGACTTGCTTACATTTTGAAATGTTCATTTATTTATCTCGCACACAATTTTCTATTCATTTAACAAAGCGTTAAGGGAACCATTTACAGAATGATCAGCACACGATGTAGGTTTAACTTCTTACCCAAAGACACTTGAACATGATGGAAATCAAACCTTTTTAACAATATAAACTTCTCATTCATGGTAATACTAAGATACATAAATGGTCAATTGATTTTTGTCAGCAGGATTTCAGGTCAAACTAGAGTCTAATTCAAAGTGAGACATTTAACTAACCAAGAACAGAGGCAGATTTTTCCCCTCTCATAACAACATTACAAATTCAACATTTAGATGGGCAACTGAGATTCACTTTTTTTGGGAAAGCAAAACACTAACGGGTATGTGTATCAAAGGTCTTTTTTATAGAAAGACAGAATGGAGCTCAGAGTAGGGGAACAAGGCGCACTCCTCCAAATCGTGCCTGAGTTTGCTGTGCTGGTTGCTTGGAGACCGAATGAAGTAACGAGGTTTTCGTGCTGCAGTTAGAATACAGGCGGGCACACACAAGCCTGGGATTACATTCCTCAACGAGAAACAGGAAAAGCGAGGAAAGAAGTCACAGCTAGAAGAAGTAATGGGCTTCATGGTGACATCGTCAGCACTGGGAAACTTTAGATCCTTTTAGCTGCTACACCAGAGTTTGTGTTAAGGTGTAAGAAGCTTTTAGGACCCATTCAACTGGATAAAAATATCAGTGGCGTTAAGAAATCAAATGCTTTGTAATTGGAAATATAACTGAACAATTTCTCCACATAATCATATGGCGATATCACTTTAATCAATTATTTACCCGTCTCTCTATTCGTTTTCGTGCTTAATGTACAAAAGTGACATTAAAAAGCATAAAAGTCAACACTATGACCACAGATGAATACAGTTCCACTCAAAGTGGACATAGTAAACAAGTTGTGTCAACACCAGAGCCACACAGTCAGACAGTTAAAAGCCCATAATCACTACAGCTCAGAAAATCTGCTTAGTTATGGCAGCTGACTGTCAGTTTGCAATCTCACACCAGCGTCATATTACAGAGGGATAAGCTGCAATATTTAGAGGTAATTTATCAGACGTCTGTGGTGGTCTGCCACAGCTCAGCTGCTTGACATTTGCTTTTGCTAAATTGTAAGAAGAAATGCGTGCCAAATTATCCTGTCCTTAATATGCCTTGCTCCTATCCTAAAAAAGCTTTGATCATCTCCTAACTCGGGTAAAATAAATAACACAGAGAACTGTCTAAATCTGGACTCCAAAGAGGTTATTTCTATAGTAACTCAACTGGTTTAAATCAAGAGAAACTTCAAGTAGAGTCTACTTTAAAATTATTAAGGAAAAATATATATTGTAGATCTTTACAATAGCTTTGTTTTATTTTTTAAACCTTTCAGTTGAACCAATTCATCTTGAGGGTTTTTCAAACTCCAAAACAAAAACTGCTTTAAATTTAAAATGCATTAATTGAATTTATTTCAAATTAGGATTTAGTGAATGGTTAAGGTCAGTAAGATGTACCTGATGAACTGTTGGGACTTTAATGATGACCCTGTTTGGAGACATATCATTTATCTGATTCATCTGGGTGTGTGCAGGTCTTGCTTCCTGTCCGAATCACTTCATTACAATACTGCTAAAGAATGTACAAAGGACTCAGAACAGCAGATTCAATTGGGAAATGTCATATGACAAAGTGTGGGAGGATGACATCCGTGCTGACTGCAAGACCATTTCATGTTACTTTAGTTATTTTTATGTATACAAACCTGAAATAGCTAAAGAAAAGACTGGACATGGAGTTGTATGGACTCTGTAAATGTTTTTATTAACATTCTGGAACATATTATGATTCCATAGTTTAATATGTTGGCACAAGCTAAACCTTCTGCTTTTAATCACCTAAACACCGTCATTTGTTGGTTTGCAATTTAACACAAAAACTGATGTCAACAGATTTAGGGCTCTAATAATGGGACATTTGCCAGTTTAACTATCTAGTCACTATCTAAACTAGCTAATAAACACTATTTACACGAGTGAATACTGCAGCAATAAATCTTTACTGACACAAATACACCTGATGAAAAATTGCATAATTTTTTAGGTCAAATAAAAAAAAAACACTCTTAAATTTAGAGAATAAATACAAATCGAAAACTTAGTAAAAACATTACATTTTTCAGTATCATTCATTATAGTATTCAAGAGAAATCTTTTTGAAGGTCAAAGCTTTACAAAAGTTCCTGGTTAGAAATCAGCTACAAAACTATGATTGGTGCATTTTTATGTAGAAAATTGAGTTTCAAACTAGTTCACACAAATGCAAGCACACAAATAGTGATCTACAAGAGGAAACTGAGGTCTGAAGATAATACAGAATAATTAGTCAAAGTGGTTGGCAAAGGTAAAGGGAGCAGCTCTCATTCTCCGTTTTTCAGCAACTGTCTTTATGTATCAGATTTAAGAATCATATTTTATTACCAACTACATTGCTGAACAAATTAAGGAAATAAAGTTTTCAGGAACTATAGGTCAAATTCAGTGTTTAAAGGTACTGGCTTCTCTGTACAAGCAGTGTTTACTCATCAGTGATGGAAATATTTGGATTTATCAGCAGTACATCGCAGCCTAGCATAATCCTTGTTGCACAGACGACTTATTTTAGCTTGCACGCTGGCAGAAGCAGTCCAGCAGAGCGAGCAGACATGTCATCACATTTTAAATTCTTCAAATCTGACTTCTACATATACACAAAGAGGATTTAAGAACCAGGAGAAGACGAAACAAAATACCACACGAGACAAAGACCACCGTTATCAATCCCCACACCTAAATCTTTCTTTACCAAACATCTTGTATCACTTGGTGTGTTTGATCAGCGGTCAAAATAAGTACAGCAGCTGTATATCAGTGCTGCTAGAGCTTCAAATCATGACTGACTGCAGAAAAGATTTACTGCTGCAGCAATGTTAGTAATTGGCTGTCAATTTGAGATACTGTATTTTGCATTTCTATATAAATCTAGAAAATATTAATTAAAGCTAGCAGGACGATAGAAAGACGCATAACACCCCTGATAAGGCTATTTATGTCGGAGCTGGAGCCTTTTCACACTCAATGTGGGCAACAAGGGGGACAAAGAGCCCATTGAGAAGTTTAAACAGAAGGCTGATTCTGTGGCAGTCAGGATTGGGGTCCTTTTGTGTCCAGGCTGGCAGAACTCATGAGTTTGCTTCACTGCTGACGTCAAGAAAAACAACTGGAAACAATCCTGGCTTGATCCATTGTCAAACTGGCTCAGAGGTGGTTTTAGTCACCTTGACCACAAAAAACGTAAAAAACACATGAGGGCAGACGATCCAATTTGTGCTGTGTTTAGACGAGGCGTCAGAAGACGCACGCGTTTCAAAAAGCCTGAAAATACTATGTACATCTTTACTTTCCAACATCTGGATGAAACGGTATTCAAAAAAGTCCAGACTGAAGCTAAAATTATTTTTGGTCCACTGGACTATAATTACTATCTGTTGAGCTAGCTGCCAACGTCAGCATGTTCTCACAAATATGCAACATGCTGACAGAAGGAAAAATGTCTGTTGTTGAGCAATTTAGTTTGGCAATTCGCTGTTTAGCACAAAACCTAGAGGAAAACTTCAGTGATCACATCAACGTTCATTATTAATCCTCCAGCAACTTTAAATGTGTACAACGTATTATAGCATTCACAATTGTATTTTGACTTTTATCATGATAACCAAATGCTGCTGCTTGTGTTTTAATTCAGTGCAGATGGGAAAACCAATATAGTACTAAAATTATTGTTCAGTATTTGTAGGTTTAGGAGCAACATTTAACTGACACGAGTCTCATTACAACTTAATTTGCTTCACTTGTTTAGTTGTGAAAATTAAAGTAATTAGTTATACAGACTTACTTCACACATTTCAAGCATTTATTTGAATTACTAGATAAAAGATAGTGAAAGTGTGAAATGTTTCTTTAATGTAGAAATTTAGAATGATGGCTGGAAGATGGGATATAAGGATATAACTATAATGTACAGTATGTACTGTTGATATTTTCCCTGGGTATGAAACATGCAAATTATCATATTAGAAGCACTAATAGTCTACTTTAGGCTAAATATCTTATTTTGCATTCCAAGCATCTACATTTAGGCAAGATATATGTGCTACATTCAAGTTAATCTCAATTTAAATCTGTTGGACAGCAAAAGAAAGAAAAGATAGAATTGTATAAACTGAGGTATTAATGGGTTAAGTGTGTTGCATATATAATTTTTGATTGACTGGCTGATTGATTACAATATTAAACAATGCAATTTTAGTATTACCAACCATGCTAGCATTACAAGAAAGACAAGTTACCTTAATTTTTAGTTTGCTTTAGGTCGGACAAATGTTGTCTCATTCATTCCAGGAAACTGTTGGGCTTTGACTTGTGTAACCTACTTGGTTTAACCTGACTTACATCAGCTTGGAAGATAGGAGTCAAAGGTGGCCAAGACAAACTGCAATAAGCAATAAAACAAACTACCACTCCTTTATTTATTAATTTCCTCCCTGAGCTGAAACCTTCAGCACCAACATTTAGCCATTCAGTTCGTCAGCTGCCATACTGGTGTTAATTAACACCAGTTGACTGTTAGGTTTGTAATTTAGCTTTAATTAGTTTTCTTTCATCGTAAAGTTTATCTATGAAAGCTTGACTTCAAATTAAAAACATTTTAATCTCTTTTAAAAATAATTAAGATATATATGAGCTTAAAAAATCTATCTTACATGTAACCATTTCAAAACCATTTACTAATGTATGAAGCACATTAACTAGTATAGCAAGTAATGCTAATTATTGATGGTTTATAGTCTTATTGCTAAATATTGCAACTGGTATCAAATGTAAATTATCCGCCTCTTGTCTTGTCCATCACATTTTGGGATGTTGGAAACGTGGATCAGTTATATAACAGCTGTTGCAATGATATTCTGAAAAACCACAAATATTCAATACAAAGTGTTAATTATTCAGATTTGGAACTTGTTGCATTCTGCAGATTTTTTTCGATATCAATATTGCACATATGGATATTGCCACAACATATTTAGAAACTAAAAAAAGAAAGTCATAGACTTCAGCTGCAAGTTTTGGTTAGTGGAGCTAAATCTAGATCATTAGCGCTGGCATTCTGTTGAGTATGATAGATCTGTACTTGCAGCTGTGCCATGTTTTAGATATCAGTAGTGGAGGCGTGTGTAGCTGTAAACGTAGGACATCTGAAAAGTCATAAAAGAAGGTGCTCTAACCACAAACATTCAGGTTGAAGCTGCGCAAGATGGATGTGATTGTGATCTCCAGCTGGCTGGCAACGTATGCAGGTAAACATAGTGCAGTTGAGTTGTGTGAAGCCCAAATACTGATACTATCAGTAGTTCTGCTCCATGGTTACCTTTTTTTGACTTATAATTTCAAACAAACATAGTTTATTCTTTTAAAAAATGATAAACATACCAGCAATTACAAAAAGTTAAACATAAGGTGACTGACTAACATGACATGAAATAATAATCACATTTAATAGGAAGCATTTTACACATGTGCAGCACTATCATAAAGACTGCTTTAATTTAAATAGAATATTAGATGCCATCGGATGACAGAATGAGATTTTTTGCAAATGTTAAAATTCACAGCAAATAGTATTTTATTTGTTTTTACATTATTTACCTGTTGCAGCATCTCCTCTGTGGAAGCCAATTTCTGTCGATGCTCTTCCAAAGAAGTTTCCAAGTCTCTGATTTTCTCTCCTTGAGCCTCAACTTGGTCTGTCAAAACGCTTACCTGTTGGAGAACAAAATCCTTTAAGATGGAGGCTTTCCATTTTTCTCCTTAAGAACCACAAAATAACAATGAAGTTCACTTTAAATCCCAACTGCGATTACTTGAAACCTTCAAGCAGTACTCAAAAGTTGGGGAGGATTGCTCAGCAATTGACTGGGATAGTGTGATTTTCATCTTTAGCATTTTTCCAGATAACTTTCATAGTACAAGATAAAAGCCAAAATAGTAACTAAAATAAAGTGCATCCCAAAAAGGTGTGTCTGCAACTTTGGAAACTAATGAAAAACATAAACAACATGTTCATAGCATCATGTTGTGCATTAATCCAGAATTTCATTGTAATACAAACTGGTGTTTTTTTGCAAGAAAGAGATGAATATTATGCCAATAGTGTGTGTGTGTATATATATATATATATATATATATATAATATATATATATATATATATATATTATATATATATATATATATATAATATATATATATATATATATACAAACAACCTTTGGTAGGGTTATCTGCACAAAACCCTACCAAAGGCCATGAATTTTGGACACCAATGGTTAAGATCAAAGTACATTTTTGTGCTAGGATGATCTACTTAAAGATCAATTCAGGTTTGTTCGCAGCAATTTTTGTCCATCCAGTCAAGGAAGTCGAGGAATTTTGCTCAAAGGAATGTAAAATCTCTCAGTCTGGTAGAAATGTAACCCAAAAAACTTACAAACTACTGCAAAATAAAAAAGTTTCTGTAAAACATTGACTCAGGAGACCTGAAAAAACATGCATCATTTTCCTTTCACTTTGTGAGTTTATAGGTCTACCACATCAAACAATAAGAAAATACTTTGAAGTCTGTCGTTGCGACGTGACAAAGTGTGGAAAAGTTCAAATGGTAGGAGTTATTCTAAAAGACACTATATCTATGAAGTCAGAAACTTTTGTCCTCCAACTCACTTTCCGTAAACAACACACATTTATACTGGCATATCTCAACATCCATTTATTTAGCAACTTGTCACTCAGGAATGCGTTTCACAGTTACTATAATCTCCCAGACAACACATTTACCTCCTGCCAAACACATTTTAACCCTTCTTTTATTACCGCAGTGTGCTAAATCCATCTGACAGCAGCTGATTCTCTGTCACTTCTCTGACTTTCAGCCCTGCAGTCATGTCTTGTCTCTCAGCCAACTTTTTCACTCAACACGCGTTAAATGATCTAACTACCCCTCCTTTCCAACAATGCGCCAAATGCAAGTGAATGAAAGCAATGACTTGCTTTTAAAACACTTCTAGGCACACAATCATGTAAATCACAGGTAGCCAATGATTAAAATGAATGTGTCTTATCACCAAAACAAGAACTACTGCAAGCACCTCTAGCAGGACTGCATGAAGTGTAAGAAGGAAGTTTAAAGTACAACGTCTTACCTCCGGTGAACACAACAAAATAGTTCCTTATTACTACACGGACGTCATAAGCCAACCAGAGTGTTATGTCCGCTAACGCAGAGAGAAATAAATGTTGAAGCAGAGCTACACCTCAGATCTGCAGTCCTGAAGCTGAAACAGGTAAGGAGAATGTAAAGCGGAAACCCACAAGAAGGACAAACTGTCAACAGCCAATTAAATCCTCCGTCAAAGAAACAGAAGCCCCGGTCATCCCTGGTTATCAGCCAATCAGAGCTGATGTCAGATGAGGAATGTGTAACGAGTAGGTGTGCATGTGGGGGAGAGGTGGCGGCAAGGAATGAGATACAGACTTTATGATAGCTTTGTGAGCTGGGGTCGTTCAGTCGAGTGTGAGCGTTGCAGAAAAAAAAAGGTGCTTTTCAAAGAGCAAAACAAACACAGTCAGGAAATGGCAGCCTGAGGAGCAGCTTCAAAACTTCTAATTAAATCTGAGGGATTAAAGACATACTCTGGAGATCACAGCTGCCTGAACTAGCAGCTGTGATCTGAGCGCACACAGAACCTGTTGACATCACATAGTTTTGAGACCTGTAATCATCCCGTACCTAAATTTTACAGTCTTGACATTTATAGTCGCTGTAGAAGTTGTCAGTTTTCGCATGTGGTTGTGAAAGTGTTGATTTGTGATGAAGTAACACAAAATATATGGGGGTCTTTGATTATAGACTATAACAGCTGGAATGATAGCAAAATCCTGCCAGAAGTTAATATTATGAATTTAAATTACTGTTTGAAAACAAACAGGAGATGAAGCATTTTGCATATTGCTTCATTAACATTTAAAATTACTGAAAAAAATTTGCTCTGACCTGCAGCACCAGAGATTCCTTGTCTCCTTCTAGTCGAAGTAGTCGTTCCTGATAGGTTTCATTGTTGGCTGGAGTGCAGAGGCTCACCTGGACACAAGAAAAAAATCATGCAGATTAATAGGAAGCTTACGTAGGAAGAAGGAGTAGAGCATGCCAAAAACTGACACTGACTTTGAATTTTTTGATGAAGTCCTAAGGTTTTCCATACAAACACACCAGACATTATAGTGGGCTATTTCTTCAGAAAGTTGATTTAAAAAACTTCTGCAAAATATGAGCCCATGAATTGACCGGTATGTTCAGTACTACATTATGAATTGTCTAGATTTGGGCTTCCAAATTGTGTAGAAATATTACTTACTATATAGGTGACTTCTAAATCCATATGCTGTTTTACACTCACTGTTTAAGGTTACTGTTGGTCAGATTTGCATAAGGAGCTAAAAGAATGGCCCTTGTATAAACTGGAGTCAGATGATGTTTCATTCCTATGAAACATCATCTGACTCATCTGAGTCTCATTTATCTCAAAACGGACCCGCACCGTCACCGAGGCTTGCGATAAAACTTTCATAAGACCTCTCTGATTCCTCCACTGACCTTTGAGTGGGACAAAACATATCTTATATAAACTGCTATGGATATATTTCAAGCCCCATGGCAAAACAGGAAAAGAGCAGGAAAAGAAGCTGCATCAGGCTCTTATCTAGAAATAGAAAAGGCTTCTGTAACATCTGTAGCATCTACTCCAGTACAAAAGGAAGAGGCACTCTGGGTCAGAATATCCCCCAGTTCTCACCAGAATTACATTTTTAACAACTTGGGAGTTGAAAATAAAACTCAAGCAAAGTAACTGCAGATGAAGAGCTGGAGCAGTTTGTATTTCTTTTCAGATTATGCAGTCATTTTGGCCTAAAGCTGCTCCTTCCTCAACTGTCACTGTCAACAGGGATTTTCCAAAAGAAACTGGAAATAAAACGCTTTTGGTTTCTATCAGCTTTAGAGCTACATACAAGCTCACAACTTTAAATCAGAAGAAATTTATTTGGCATTTCATATAAATAAAAAAAAATCAATAATCAAAGCAAATTTGTTCATGTCCATAATGTCAGAAGTAGTCAAATGTGCTAATAGTAGAGAAACATCATATTATGACAGGAAAAATGTTTTTCTGCTGTCATTAGTAGCTATGCTAACTAGACTGACCATTCACAGCAGGCAAAGCTAGCTGCAGCACAGCTCAGAGGGAGGGGGAGGAAGGATGGGCAGCACCACATGAGATTGTGATTGACAGCATTAAAAATCTCCTGTATCTGATTGGTTGTTTCTAGATAGTACTGGGAGATGGCAGAGGAATAGATTTTTAACAGATTATCTCTCATACTATACTGTCACAACATATTGCAGCTTTAATTTCACTTCGGAGAGGACGGGTTAAGAGGGTTAGAGCTGTTGCTGACTGACTCATCTGTTAAGTGGTAAAAGGTACAAGTGCCCTTATATCGGTCAGGGGTCCTTATATCGGTCAGGGGTCCTCATATCGGTCAGAACTTTTCATAAATACATTACATTTAAAGCAAGACACTCAACACTAACTGATGGTAAAATAACAAAAGCTGTCAGGACAGAGTTGAAGATGGCATTTATGGATCTGCTGTTTCCAGACTGGTAGAAACAGAGAGACCAGCCTACTGGTGCCAGAACCAGAACTTGCAGCTGTAGAATCACAAAGAACTGGTGGAAAGCATGCAGTAGCATCAATTCAGCACTGGGAGTTGTGGGAAAACACCTGGTGGCTCCTTGGTCCTTTTGATAAAATACAAGTAACATTCAGCCAACACCCTTCATGTACCACATTATGCACAAACATAAGTGCATAACTAGATTTTGAAGCTCCATCATAATTATTTGTAACAGTCCAGGACCTGATCTTAAAGTCAGAGATTTAAGTGTGGCTGGCCCTTCCTGCCATCACACCAATGACGCAGTTTTGAAAACATCTTTGTTTTCCACCGAAGCCGAACTGCTTTCTCCTTTATAATACAGAGCAACATCTGTCAAAAGCGTTTGCTTGTCCTTGACAGACATATTAATTCATGAACCTTTATTCCAAGCTGCATTACCCAGCAAGAGAATGTGGATGTAAGCAATGAAGACGCAAGAACAAATTACCTGTGCAATGAATTATTGTGTAAATGAACCTATCACCACACTGTGATCAAACACCAAGACACTGGAATAATCTCAGTCTTATGTTTCAACTTTAAATTTAGTTTTGCAGTAATGCTACACTATAACTTCTGGTAAGTTGAAGACCTCATGTTATGAGGTCTCTAATTGAAACTCCAGATTGGACTCCAGAGAGGCAGAACCATGTCAGGATGGTGACACAGTACTTGAAAGGGCTGATAATGGAAACCAGGCCAGCTTGTTTTTATCTCTCTGTGAATGCCTCATGTGAGAATGGTAAGAAAAGAAGAGGACACATCAAAACTTATGAGTAAATGTGTCAAATCTCTCTTGTCAGTGTTTGTAACACCGTTCAAATTCTATAAAGCTATTTGCAGAAAATTAGTTGGAATTTAGTTCTGTGTTTTCAGCAAAATTCAACCAAGTTGTACCAGTTAGGGGATTTCCAAAATCGACTAACCACTATGACTCACTTTATTGACCCCCACGGTTTTTACGACATGTTTAACAACACTAGAATTGATCCAAAACACCAGTTTTGGATGAATAAAAACTATAAAAGTAATATGAAGAATGTGACTTCAGATCTCCTAGAAAATATATTTTGGAATAAAATAAACTGTTATATCAGAAATGAATGAGAAAGCTCCTCTACTTTGAAAGCAGACAGTTTCGTCAAGATCATTCCAGATGTCAGAAGACAAAGACTAAATTGACAATATATTTTTCCAAGTTTTGGTTGGACCAATGGACATGGGAGTGGGTTGTTTGAAGTCCATTTTTGACCTGCTTTCTGATGACGAGTTTCCACTCAGGGAAAAGTATGTTTCAGTTCCTAATACTCTCACTGCATAGATATAAAGTACTTCATAGGGAAAATATACGGGGACTCACCAGTTTCAACTGCTAAAGAGGGTGGAACTCAGTTTATGATCCCAGAGTCTAAGAATGCATGACAGAGTGAAGCACACTCCTACTTTTAATGATTCCCTGTGATTTCTTTGGAAAGAAAACACAGGGACCTTTTAAATGCATTTCCGAAACCACCAAACAAAAAAAAGAAATCACATCCAAAGGTAATTTTATCATTTTCTGTGGCTATAGAAACGTTTGTTTTCATGTGTTTGATTCAGCAGTGTGTGGTTAACACATATGAAGTTTGCGTGATCTTACCATGAACATGTCGGTTCTCTTCGAGTTATCTGGCATATTAGGTTTACTGTTCTCGCTAAACTTTTGGGTTTTAGTTTGCACAGAGTTATCGGTCCTGACTCTTGTGTGTCTGTTTTACCCTGTGATATCCTGGTGAGAATCCACCCTGCCTCTTGACCCACTTACTGTTAGAAATTCCCAATTTCAACCCACTCGTGATGGAAAAAGCAGATATTGACAATGACTGGAATCGCTGGATGTGACAATTATTAATCCAGGTGACGTGAGTGAGATGTGAGATACACATTTATGTGCATAGGCACTTGAACAATGGAGCAAGCAAAGCAGTTGTTCCCCAATTTTTGAAAGTCGGCATGCATGCTAGAGTTTCTGCTCTCCTATTTTTTCACCCAAAGAAATCTGATCAACCACTGAAGTCAAATAAATTGAAGTCTCTGTTTGGCTTAATTGCAAAAAAACAAATAATTTAAAGCCCAACTGAAATATCTGGAGTCTAGATTAGCTGTGCACAGTATGAGTTACTACTCTGCAGCGTGACCTTTGTACTTAAACTGTGTTGCAGCAGTTCTGGCCAGGTGTCACACTCTAAAATGCAATCTCAATGGGACAAACCTGCATGAATAAAATTAAAAGAGTGGGTACAAAATGGACTATGACCGGGTTGATAAACGACTAGAATTAAAAAGTAGAAAAATTGTATGAAAAAAAGATGTTAAAAACACCTCTTTGAAAAATTACAAGACGATCTGTTTAATTTGAAGCAGGGGACATCAAAATTAGGGACAGTTAAAAACTATCACACCAAGTTAAGTCAAGGAAGGACTGATTATATAACTCATGACAGCACAACATGTCGCATAAACTGTGGACAAACACTTCTATCAGACATTGAATGACATTTCTTAACCGCTGATAAAATCTCACATGGCACATTCCCTCTCTGATTAAAACCTGCAGAATCAGTCGCAGCACCGTCAACAACCATCAACTGACAGATAATGCTTCTAGTCTGACAGCAAAGCCCATGTGAAGAGTGTCTTCATAAAGCCACTGTGACTAAGAGATGTAGCTCTACTTTTGGATTGTAAAGGAAATTACATCAGAAAACAGTCTGTTGCCAGGAAAGAACACAATACAATCAGGACAATGACATGCATTCTCAGGAGATCAACAACTCCCAAATTGTTGCAGAAGAGTTTCTGCTTTCCCTTTCAACAGTACTTTTCCTATTTGTTGCCTGTAAGAAAACTCCTTCCAGGCACGCACAGATTGCAAAATTAATTGTGTGGAATGTGCATGACAGACATGAAAAACACAAACATGAAAAGGACGCAGCCCTCACCTTTTTGAGCCAAGAGAAGTGTCTGTAGAAATCAATGGGAGTCTCCATGCTCCCAGCCCATCACTGGCCTGACTTTCTTCTTCTGTTTCTGCACGCGTTTTAAGTTTGTGTGTGCAATTCATCCAAGTACAAAAGAACAAAAAAGTAAAAGTGAAGTTACTAACCGCTGTACAGCATTCGAGTGCTGTTGCGATGTTCACAGCTGTGGAGGAGGAGGAGGGTTTTTATGATCTCTGCCTCCTGACAGGGACAACTCCCCTCTCCCTCTTTATTCTGTCCTTCCTTTCTCTCGTCAATATTACTCCTTTTCTCTCTCTCCTTAGAAACTACTCTTCATTCCAAAGTTTCTGAAAGAATAATCATTCTTTTCCTGTGGTCAAACACTGCCTCCTCTGTCCCCCTTTCTTTCTTCATTTTGGAGTTGCTTACCCTATTTTTTTTTCCTCTCTTTCTACCGAGGTCCGACTGACAGCCAAATGGCCGAGTCCAGAGAGGAGGGGGTAAGTGGGAGGGTTTTTCCTCAGTCTCTCTGTCATCTGTTCTTGAGTTTGGATGCCAAAAAAGCGAACAAAGCAGCAACAGACTCATGAGCACAAACAAACACAAAGTTTCTCTCCCCCTTTGAATCAAGTTGTAGTCCTGGTGCTGGAAGACTTCAAAGTAGAATCCTGCGTCGGCTCCATCTGTGCGTCTCATCATTTTTTTTTTTTCTTTGTATTTAAAACTACTAGCCTGGGGTCCCATTTCCTGTATATTTTGCAGACACATTCATCAAAACAATGTATGCCACTTGTCATGACAAAAAACAACAAAAAAAAAACGTACAGATAATGAATGAATGCGCCACAGGTCAGAAGCAGCAGATTGCAAATGATTTATGCTCATCAAATGGAAAAACAAAGTAGAAAATGTATCTTTGGTAGGACACATTTTTGCAATCAAACTGTAATATACTTAAAGGAAAATTATTTAAGTACATTTAAGTAAATTTGTTCTTAATTCTTCAGAATTAATAGTAAAAAATACCTGACACAATCTTTTTTTTTAAATTAAGATAATAACGTTCAATTGAATTTCATTTTCATTTATTAAATTAATATCCAACAAGCTAAAGAGAGAATCCACATTGTGCCAAAATACATCAGATGACTTTATAAAATGTTTTCTCCCATAACAAAAACTACTCACTGTGTTCCCAGTAATTACATATAAACATTGAAATTAAACAATTTCAGCCGCACTGGAGGCTAGAATTGATCTCAGCCTTTTCAAAACTTCAAAATGCGCTTAAAAACACAGCTAATTTCTGGTCATAAGTTCATGAGTTTAAGCTCAAGTACACTTAAGTTCATGCTGCACGACAGTGATCCAAAGTATTCCAGAAAATTCCTTTCTAAAAGGCTAAACAGCGGCTGATGTATGTCAAAAACTTGTTAGCATGTTATTTATGCTATAGTCATCTGAATAACTCTTAATATGTTATGTTAACATACCAGGCATGTTCTCTGTTCGTTGTCATGTAACGTTAGCATATTATTCAGCCTGTTGTTGCCTCTATTCTATTTTTATTTTAAATTGCCTTTCAAGATGACGTGTCTGTTCTTGGTGTTGGATTTTATCAAATAAATTTCCCTCAAAAATGCGACTTATACTCCAGTGAGCCTTATATATGTATTTTTCTTCTTTATTATGCATTTCATGGCTGGTGCGACTTATACTCCGGAGCGACTTGTAGTCCGGAAAATACAATAATCTCTGGGCAGGGAATCCGCTTTCCCAATATCTTGTATCTAAAGACAAACATTTGAGTCAGCTCAGTCACTCGTCATCTGATAGTCCTTCCTGTGTATATGTATGAGTTTCACTGTGAAGTATCCCAGGAGAGAAACCTCAGGGTTGAAGACTAATTATGAAGCCCAAACATCTTTGATCCTGCTCCTTTTAGGCCAGCAGGGAAGTGCAAGAGAAGAAGGAAAAGTTAAGAGTACAAGAAGGAGCAGCCAAGCTTCTGTTTTAGATGTCTTGATGATCTGGCAGGCGTTTATTAGTCCGTTTTAAAAATTTGCACACGAGCAGCTTTTTGTTTCAGCAAGATATGGAGATTTTCCAAGTTGCTTCTCATCCCATTTTGATAAAAAAATGCTGTGATAATCGGCTAAAAAATTGACTGCCTACCAAATAGATTGCCAAACCATCAAACACTATTGATTCCCCTCAACTGTGCACAACATTCTCTTTGCACATGATTGACAAATAATGTCATGCAAAGTGCATTCATATTCATAAAAATAATGAACTTGTGCACTGAAAATAGGCAGCAAAAAAGTAGCAGGAACAGGAAGCAGAAGACAAGAGGAAACTCAAAACAAAGAAGGAAAGAATAAAGGCGGAATTAGCAGTGGGTGAAAGCAGCATGGGAGACATCTGCTGCTGAGACAATGCACAAGCTGAAACTCTTTAGTTGCACCCATCTCCATCATTCTGCATACAATTTGACTTTTCTTTCTGCACAGAAAACAGCAACCTCTGCAGGACAAAGCTCAGCAACAGCAACCAACTGCTTCTGACAGCACAACCAGCTCTATGCCAGTAATCTGATTTCTAAGAGCTTAAAAACACTCAATCAGGCCCCTTAATTATTTTTTACTAATACTTAAGACTTCCCACTTGAAAAACATGCCCAAAACAAAACCAGCAACTATCATTCCAACATCGCAAGACAATTCTTTCAACTTTGGAGCAGTTTTACCTTACCTCAGAGTAACAGTCCAAAGAAATCAAGTCCTCCTGCCAGAAAATTGGCTGCTTGAATAAAAAACTACCTCATTTACATTTATAAAACAGACTTGCATGAGAAAAGAGAGGTTGGGTGCCTAAACGTGCATAGTCTCAGTGAGAGGGGAGTCTCTGCACTACTATATAGAGAGTGAAGGGGAAAAAGAGGGAGAAGGAGAGGTAAAAGCTGACGTAAACAGAGAAGTTGTAATGACTGAGAGGCCACAAAGGGCCGACAGACGGTGTGAGGGAGGGAACGTAGTGCAGCCAGGAAGTCAATAATAGCTAAGTTGTAATGGTGTCTCCAAGGAAAACGTACCAGAACATGTTCTAACTCTACTTGTTCTTTTAATGAACAAGCAGAGTTCATTAAAAGAACACCCTAAAACACCAGTTCTCCATGTGTTTTAGGGTGACAGAAACAGTGAAGAGTGGCATGTCAGGGTAAACATTTACCTCACTTTTCAAATCTTTTCTTTCTACAAGCACCTTGCACAACACAATTTTGTCAGGCAGGCTATTTTCTCGGTGGTTTAAGCATCTGATTAGTAAAATAGAGATAATAAAATAATCCAGCAATATATGCATTTCTTTTATGAAATTGCTTTGCAAAAGTTGAAGAAAATACATGAAGAGCGTTTGTCATTTCAGATGCTGTACTTACACTTCCAGTCTGCAGCCAATCGATAAGAGCCTGTGCTGTTTCTGGAGGCAGCTGAGCTCTGAGGTTGTCTCTCTCCTCCTGATTGGGCTGAACCTCCAGAGCAAGTTTGAGCTCCTCGGCTAACTGGACGACCTGCAGTGGACCAGCGCTGACAGGAGAACCCAGATCGTACACAGTGCTGGAAAACTCCATCGCTGCTGCCCTTGAACCTGAGTGGTGAGACGGGATGATCACTCGCTATTTTATTAATTCAACTTATAAAATTGGAAAATAAATTGAAAGAGCAAATCTGTGCTAACAAAAAGCACAGAAAAAGGACAAAAAATATATTCAACACACTGAAGTAAAGCTAAAAGAACAGGAAGCATGACTGAATTTGATCCAGCCATCTTGACGGCAGATTCTGAAATGTACATGTGTCACCTGGATTATTGCCCTGTAACTCATATTTAAACAGTGTTGGCAACAATAGCACATCTGGATACAGTCAAGTAAATGTGGTGATATAAAACAGCCACGTTATATGGTGGCTCAGCCCAATAAATTGTCTAAATCAAGCAAAAGATTGGCAATTCTGTCTAAGAGTGGTCTTTAACCCCTCCTGACCCACTCCTCTCATAAAAATAGATTCCTGACTGCAAAAGTAAAATATTAAAAAGAAAAAACTCCCATTTCAACATAACAGTTGGATTAGGGTTAGCACCAAGTGCCAATCTGCAACTTGAGTTTGGTGTCTGCCCGTTTCCACCTCCATCAAGGAACCTGCATTTTTCTTTTTGGTGGATGTTCTTTCTAAACTTAACTTTCAGTCACAATATCATTTGCATAAAGTAATCTGTGTGTACTGTCATCCTCAAAAGAGAATCAGAACTGGTATAAATTACAATTCAGCAGGTCAGACCTGGTAGAAAAGTTAAGTTCAGCAGCAGTCAGTAAATGCTTCTTCATAGTGAAAGCTGCCAAATACATCCTCCATGGGGTGCTGCAGACCCCTTTGCACAGCTGCTTCCCACAGTCACCCACATAGCTTCACTTATTTACAAAACTTAAAATGTTCCCCATATTTTACAACAGATCACTGTAGTTTAAATTCTTCTTTTCAGGATGAACTTTATTTAGTTTCACATTCCTTAAATGCAGCCACCATTAAAGCAGTGAAAGCATGAGGAGCCTTGTTCAAGTTCCAACTACAGCACAAACCAAACTCTAACCCAACAAACAACAAGTGGAGCACATTCAGATTATGTTCCCACCAGATCCAAAAACATTATGGAATGTAATACGACCAACGTATCTAAATTCTGTTGATAAGTGACTCTAATTTCCTTGTTAGTGATTGGCTGATGTTATCGCTAATGGGATTTTTAATGCGTTTCTATTTGTGGTCAGTGAGAGCTGGGATAGCGAGCCTCAGAGCACTCAGTGAGCTCAGCGGGTTTTGAAGCAGCTGAAGGAACTGTAAACAAAGCATAATTTTAGTCTAAAATAAAGCTAAAAGATTTAAGGTGCTGCTAATGGAGCTCTCGTTATTTATCGCATGGTGTGATGACAATTTTCTTGACCTAAATGCATAAATGTAGTGAGGAAGAAGAAATACTTGAGCAATACCAGTATTCGGAAAAAAGTGCTCAATAATCACCTAAATTTCTGATGAAACCTTTTTCAGTTTCTTTTTTAAATCTTGTTCTATCTGCTAATTAGACAAAACAGTCTGCACCTCATAACTTAAGTATGCTGAAAAATTATTGGTGCTGTACAGATGTGTGAATGTTTGCAAATTCTGTAAAAATACAACTTTGCATAACAATCAATGCAAATTGACCCATTTTCATCTCTAAAGTTAGTATGGAGCTTTGCACTTCAGTGCTACAAACACATAAACTCAGCCTCTCCTCACCCTGCGCCAGCCCACTTGAGCTTTCATGGCTGGGAATGAAGAGCATGTTGCTGATGCAAGCTTAAATCTTCTTTAACATGTTAAGCACATCCAGAAAAAACCTTGTGTGATACTTGTTAGTCAAAAAGACAGAAGCAAGGGT